ATTTGTTTGAAATAAAAGTAGACTGATGAATCTGATATAACGTATAGAATTTATGTGCCGTGATTACAAGTTGCTACAACTTTTGTAATCGTTGCAAACACGATTTTCTTTTCCCTGGCACAAAAATGACCGTACCCTGAAAGCAGCGGTAACGTGTAATTTACCTTTCCGCGATGGAAAACACCGGTCTCGTTACAAGCGCGCTGTTTAACCACTCGTTGAGATATAAATTTTAATTTATTCTCGTATTTCGATCATGTGTAGTACCATCGTTTTAAGCAGATGATCAATTTTCAAATACGGCTCCGACAAAGAACAGATTTTCTGAAGATAGAAAAGCATCGTTTGACTCAGTGGAGCGTATTAAAAGAAAGTGTTCTCGTAAAACTATTTTTGGAATCTTTTTATAGAGGTAAGAAAGAAACTTTCTGCTTCGTTTTTAAGAAGTTCATAAAGACTTGGAAGATAAAAATAAACACTTTGATGACGAAGAGGATATTATCGGATAATCGGGAAGAAATGAGAATCTTTCGTATTTCCGGTCATACGACTCGTGCGTAACACGAAATTCTACCTCGAATCAGAAGGAAACGTGGCGATGCATTATTCAGAAGAGTATCACGGCCACGAAAACACCGGTCAAGCGTTTTTCGCTGGAAAGCGAAATTAAAAAACCGGAAGCCGGATAGAGACGGCGTGAAGAAGTTCGAAATTTCGCAGAAATTCCAGCTTTTAACGTCTGTGGCCGTAACTAGACGAGCTATCTCTCTCCCTGAGAGGAATATTGGAATCTCGAGCAGCTTGCCACACGAGACATCATAGCCCTCGTGCATGCATATTCCATTTGCTTCCTGGCCCTTATTAACCTAAGTTTTGGACGCAATACTCTGTTCGTAATTCACCTTCCTTCTATTTCAACTTCCCTTTCTACTTCCTTTTCACTTTTCAACAGTAATACAAATTTGGAAACTGATAATTTTATAAATCGTCTAAAATTTTTCACTCATTCCACTTAATTTCAACTTCCCTTTCATTTTTTTTAATTTTCTTTTCCCTTCTCAACAGTAATAAAAATTTGAAAATTGATAATTTTATAAACCATCTAAAATTTTTCACTCATTCCACTTAATTTCAACTTCCCTTTCATTTCCTTTAATTTTCTTTTCCCTTCTCAACAGTAATAAAAATTTGAAAATTGATAATTTTATAAACCATCTAAAGTTTTTCATTTATTTCCACCTTCCTTCTATGTCAACTTCCCTTTTTTCCCTTCTCAACAGTAATAGAAATTAAAAAATTGATAATTTTATAGACCATCTAAAAAGATTTTCCACTTATTACCCAGCGAAAGTGTTATGAATTCAAAATACTCTAAAATTCGTTAAATTACACGGTTCGAACGATCTCGAATTCTTATTTCGTTGGCCGCAAAAAAAAAAAAGCAAATCGTACGGGAAGTTTGGCTGCGGGCCCCGTATTTAGAGAACCATGCTCGAACGTTTCCATCGTTCGTTCGATAAGAAACACGAACGGTGATTTCTGTCGTTGTGTCCCGGACCGTGAAGATAATGCTCGGATACGTCAATGCGTTAGAAAGTCGTTGTAACGAGTGCTCGTTAAAAATCACGGGAAGCGACGAGGAGGAAGTTGCGATGAAACATGAAGCGTGTCGCGCGAGATAGAAATTTGTCTATCTACCATAATTGCGTTTCCGATCGTTTTTTCAACTGGCACAATCACAGCCCGAGCTGTACACAACGCTTCGTTAATGTATTCGTTTTGTTACCCTTGTTCTCTTCGATTCGCTTTCTAAATTGTTACCGATATTCCGATATTTGTCACGCAACGATCGTAGAAAGTGTGAATCACAAAAATGAAGAACAATTTCGAAAAAAATCATGCATCTACGGTACGTTTATAATCTTCATAAGATTCAAGAGCTTCAGGATTAAAAATTAAGCCCGGATTAACCGTCAAAGTGTTAACATTCGACAATGATTCCGCTAATTCATAGGATTTTTGCAGTAATTCACGCTTAATTACAAAAAGATAAAGCTTCCCATTTTTACGACGGAAATATTGAAATCTTGGAAAATCATGAAGAGAGAAGTAGCTTAGCTCAAACGATAATTCTCATTCTGCTTGATAACTATATTCCAGAAACTTTTGACGTACGTTCAAATCGCGATTGCGCAACGATTCTCTTTTATTCTGAACTTCGAATGTCACGATGGGAAAAATGACTGGTATGCACCGTGTTGCGTCAAGTGATGTAAATTTAATGTTGATACAGTTGAAATAAGAAGGCTTGGATAAGACCCAAAAGTGCATGTAAGGATCATTGCACTTTGAATGCAACGATTATCATATTATGTTCGGGGCATTCCATGCGAATCCCTACTATTATAAAATTGCATTTGTTTAAAACAATTGTAAAACAAGCGATAAAAAAACTTTTCTTTTAATTAAAATAATTTCTATTAGTCCACTTTAGGTACCTAAACGGTAATTTCTATCAGTTTGTTAGTTCTGTAGTAATAATTTATTGAAAAAATGCGAATACTAAATTTCAAACTGCTGTAAAATGAACAACTTGAAAAATTTTTTAAAATCCCTTAAAAACTACAAAATATCTAATTTTTAGCAAAATCCGACATGGTGCTCCGAAACGTGTCCGATTTCGCATGGAATGTTTTAAGTCCTAAATAAGTGCAACAGCAAAATGACCTTACCTAAATTATCTCGTTGGTGAAACTTAACAACAGTTGTAAAAAAAAAAATGGTAGCATATTAAATACTGATAAGAATACGAGATTATTCTCGACGGAAATACTAATGAAATAGTGTGTTTTTATCGCTAGTGCTGAGTAAAAATGTTAACTAAAAAAGCGTCGATTATCTGTCTCCTAAGGACCTTGCAACGCGGTTAACTTATCACAAACTTAAACGGCACGCGTTGGAAATACAAAGAACAGTGTTGATAAAATGGATCAGTAATTTATGTATCGTTAGCCGGGTAATTAATTAACAATTCTAACAGACTTATATACAAAAAGTGTAATTTTTTTGTTTACAGAAATTTAAATGAAAAAAGGAACATCTGCAAAAATTTTTAGGGAAAAATTATTTCAGGGATATGTATTATCGAGCGAAAATTTCCGGTTCAACTTCGTCGTGGGTTTCAACAGATGGTGTTCTCGTCGAACAAATGACTTTGATACACGAATCTCGTCTAGAAACAAATAATCAACGACGAAAAGGAAAATGATTTTTGATAACAGAAGCTGGAGACCGATTTCGAAGCAGCTGTAATCAAGTTTACTGACAGTACTTGCAGCGTGACTGATAAAGAGGAAAGGAGGGGCCAAGATGCAAGAGAATACTCGACCTTAACGCTATCGATCACCGTGAAGCTGTTTAATGATGAGAGAAAATGTATACTCCGAATGAATTGGTGATTGAAACGTTGCGTGAAAATGAACGTCAGATGGCCTTAAATCTAACATGACGATTATTGTTATAATTATACAATTATCATAAAGTATTTATAGAAATCAATGATCAAATTATGTATGAAATTTCTAATGGTATTTGTTGTGAAACCAATGAGATTATAATATACTGTTAAATAAGTGTATATAATTAAGAAATTAGCAGGAAGATTTGATAAGGTCGGACAAAATGGGATCAGAGCAAAGTTCTCAGGGTGGTACGCAAGGTGCTAACGCTAACAGAGCCAGAAACATCCCACTGAGACGTGGTAAGAGTGTTCCAAATCGTGAGAGAGTACCAGATGATACCCCACCAAGATGTATAAGTCCTGGTGCCAGTATTTGTTCGGATTCTGATCTACCATATATATCGTATACAGTAAATAGACCTATAGGGGATTCACCAAAAATGACTAACAAACAGTCCCAGTTATATAGAGGAAAGAGTTTGGGTGCACAAGATATATCTAGACGTAAAAATAGCTTAGGTTCCAATAGCCACAGGTAAGATATTTATATATGCTTCAATGTTTCTTCAATTTGTTATTTATTAATATAACAAAAGTCTAACTTATTGTGACAGGAAAACTACCTCTGATAAGATTCATAATATAGTGGTAGTGAAGTCAGCTGCTGCAGATCCTACAACTGACAAGGATCCTGATTTGGTTAAGCTACAGAGCATTCCAATGTTCCTACCCATCATGCGTGGTACCCTAAATTTACCCCCAGGTGTAAGGGATCCAGAGGTTCTAGAAAGACTGGATCCCATTGGTTTGTTCAATTTATGCGCACGCTATCAACATCACCTTAACACTAATGCTCAAATGATTGCTGCTGAACAAGCTGCTCTGTATATCAACATAGAACCAGAAGTTACCAAAATTCTGAATCTGGCAACAGACAGGCAAAAGAGGTTTGCCAAGTTTGCTGAACAACTGAACAAAGTCCATGAGCTTAGCAAACAGCTGACTAAATGTCACTCTCTTCTAAATCAAACTTTAGAAAGTCTTGAAACACTGAACAATCTATTACCTATAGAGGAAAGGTTGGAACCATTTGTATGGACTACAGGATGAGATTAATGTATCAAATGGTAACTCCAAAAATTAAATTATATTCGAAATGTGTTTAATGGTGCTAAGATAATTCGGATAAATCTAACATAAAACCTGTTTCAATTCTTTTTGTTTTTACTGTTATTTATTAATCAAGAATGAATACCGTTAACTTCTATCCAAAGATTTCTAGTACCTATAGTATGTCATGCACAGAAATCTTTCACACGAAATATATATATTTTTTTGTTAATCCTAACAAACTTACGATTGTACAAACGAAAATGTAATTTTAAATGTTTAATTCCAAAAATACATACAATTTCCTATGACCAAAATTTGTATCTTTTATTAAACAAGAATAATTTTATGATTACAAAAAAATCATTCATCATAGAAATGCAACAAAAATCTACTAAAATAATACATTCCATAGCTTTTTTGTACATACCCTAGGTGTCAAAACCAGCAGACTTTTGTAGTTTTAACTTTCTGTATGTTGCTATAATATCGCTTTGCTGCTTTTCCAGTTGCCTCCTTTCTCCAATTGGCAAATTTTTACGTTTGCCTGATTTGTCTATAGAAACTTTCTTAGTATTCATTTTGGGTGCTTTACTCTTCTTTAGAACTGAATGTAACAAGAGATCTTTCTTGCCAGGCTATAAGAAAAGTTAAGTAGGTTTTAATTCAAATGTATGAATAAATAATAGGCATAGTAGAAGAATATGCACCTTGGTGGCACTTAAAGAGTCAGCCTTTTTTGGCCTAACTTTTATCTGTGGTGGTTCATGAACAATTTCCCCAAATTCAACTTCATCCTTCAAACTTTCAAACTCATCCACTTCATCCTCCTTCAGTTTTTCTTTTTTCAATTTCAATTTTTCCTTCCTTTTCTGAGCCTTTGTCATTTTAGGCTTATCAACAGCTTTCTTCTTCTTCTTTTTCTTGGTATCTTTATCTTTTACTTTTAACTTTTTAATGTTGTCCAATTCATCTTTGCTACACTTTGTAACTCCTTCGATGTTCCCTGTTTTTGGATTCCTATTTACTAGGACACCATACTTCTTTTCAAATTGAGTTTCCTTGAGAAAAGCATGAGTATCCCTGTCAACTCTGTGCAAAAATTGCTCTTTGCTTTCTCCAGCTTTCTGTCGAAATATAGGAACAACCTTATCCGGTTTAGCTTTCGGATGGGACAGTTTAGAATTCTGCTCGCCGACAGATATAAGAGCATTCTTTCTTTTCTTTTTCTTGTTCTTTACTTTAGTTATCTTCCCTGATTTCACTGCTTCTTTCAATCTCACTATTTTTTCTAAACTCTTCGGTATAGCTTGATCGTCCGCATCTTTTGGCGGTGCATTTATCTTCGTTTCTAACCTACAAGACAGATGTTCCTAACCTATGTAAATAATTCGAGAACAAAACTTATTTTACGCTCAACTCACTCTGCTTTTCGCTTTGCCTGCTGTTTGAAAGGGTCTTTCACACCTCGGTGCTTTTTTCCAGGAATTTTTCGACCCATTTTTCTTTGATAAATAAAGGAACACAACTTTCACGTGGTCGACAGTGTCGTCTGCTCGACGGTAAACACGACGCACAATGACGTTCAAAAGAACAATAAATTAAAATTGAAATTTCCTATTATCAATGAAGAAATTTAGAAAATGTTATCTTTAAATTAAACGCAGTAATTAAAATTTGATGACAAGATTTTAAATTTGTAAAATGAATCTAGGAGCCACAAAAAAAAAGAAAAATGTGCATCTCCATTAGAATCAGTAGTAAAACCCACGATATAGTAGACAGCACTTATATCTCCAACAAATCACGCTACATTTCAAGATTAAAAATATTTAAAACTCGAAAGATGTATAGGTAGCAAATTACAACTAGAGACATCTAGAAATTCATTTATCTGCGATGTACCCAAACGTATTTACAGCGATTGAGGTTAGATGACAGTGTTTGTTCAATCATTAACAATTGTTCATAGGTAGTTCATTGTATTAAAACTACTAGATTAATAGTGCAACCAATACTAATTTTACAATTAGCACGATTTCTTATCTCACATGATTATCACAAATTTGATTGCTTCAGAATCAGGTGGAGGAAATCATGAATCTGATTCGATCATCAATTTCCATTGCAAAAAATCAAAAGTGCAATTGTCGACAAGTGTATTCCACTTGTGAACGATGTATCCATGGGACACAAAAGCTGTTATCATCAGAGGAGAAAAGCGATAAGGACAAAGATTCCAACTCGGTAGACGATATGTCAGAACCGACGAATTGTTGCATGTCAGGATGTGCTAATTGCGTTTGGATCGAATACGCGGAAAAATTAAGCGCCACTTTGAAAAATAGCGATGCGGACGTTCAGAAGATGATCTTGGATAAAGTACAAGATCCCAACATGAGGGCGTTCCTCTCGATGGAACTGCGATTTCGAAAGATCATTAAGGATTAAGTGTCAAAACACTTGAAACACTGTATATATGTACATATGAATAACGAGTTAGACAATAAATGTTACCGTTAATTTAATCGTGCATTCAATTACGTTTCTTGAAACCCTTCCAATTACTACACAATCGAAATAGACAGTAACGAAAATAAATTTACGTTTTCTATAACTGTAGATAGATAGGGTAAAAATTTTGAGTGGTTCTACGAATTTATTTGCGACGTTGTTTCTGTTCGTCTCTCCTGATTTATCACTATTGCGAGAATTCTCATTAACGTTTCGTAATTAGCAACTTTCTGCTGAATTTCGAGCGCGGAAAATTCGAATTCAGAGCGAATGCATCGACACCCGCAAAGCTGTGCAACTTGTTTTCAGATGGCGGCACGCGTACGGAAGCGGTTCGAGATTAAATATTTATAATTGCAATGTATAAATTAAACACTGATCTTCTAGTCGGGTATTTTTGCTTTTTATTATTATTTGGAAAAATTTGGAAAAATTGAGTATGATGACTAGTTTCACCGGAAGTTAAATGATCTTAATTTTACAAATTATTCAAACTTTCAAACTTGGCAACAAATGCCATCGAGTTTGATATTAAACGATGACTCGATAATTAAAATATTACATATAGTAAATTTCTCTCAATGGTTTCAAACTCTCATATCCTTTGATTAGAGCAATGAAAATAAATTGTAATTATTATTATCTCTGTTTCTATACTGTACCATAAATCCGGCATAACGCGTATTTTTGCGCACCGTTTACATTACACGGTCGTTATTTACATTACATACATATGTATAAAGCCACTTGTGCCGCTTACGCCAGTCAGGAGAATGTGTGACACGTAGAAACGTGTTGGCGATCGAGGAGGCGTACGTGCCACTCGTTTTTCTATTTATTCAACGAATATGTTTAACAAAGACATTAACCGAGTTTACGATAATCGAAGCGGAATCAATTCCGATCGTGAAAGTTTAGAACGTGAATCTATTATAATTTGATTCTCGATTCAGAATAAATTAAAACGAGTTAATTATAAATGGGACACATATATTACAATAATTAAATTGCTGGAGTAATTAAATGAAGAAAATCCTCGATCTATAGATCAATGCGCTGATATTATTGGAGCAAGATAGAAAATAAAGATTGAAACTGAAACACTTCTGTTTTTATTGCAAAAGTAAAACTATCCTGATTTTCAATTCAGACTGAATTAAAACGAGTTAATTACAAACGAGACATACGTTACAATAATTAAACTGCTGGAGTAATTAAATGAAGAAAATCCTTGATCTATGGATCAATGCGCTGATATTATTGGAGCAAGATAGAAAATAAAGATTGAAACTGAAACACTTCTGTTTTTACTGCAAAAATAAAATTACCCTGATTTTCAATTCAGACTAAATTAAAACGAGTTAATTACAAACGAGACATACGTTACAATAATTAAACTGCTGGAGTAATTAAATGAAGAAAATCTTTGATCTATGGATCAATGCGCTGATATTATTGGAGCAAGATAGAAAATAAAGATTGAAACTGAAACACTTCTGTTTTTACTGCAAAAGTAAAATTACCCTGATTTTCAGTGGTAAATTCGAGGCACCTTTCTAAAATCGTACATCGAACAATTGCCCATTGTAAGAACCAGAAAGAAAATAGCAGAAGTCGAACAGAAATCATGCCCAACCTTAAGAACGACTATCATTGTTCGAACACACGTGGTAAGTAGGCGCGCCGGTACAGAAGATGTTTGTTAAAAGGCGAGGAGGATTGACAATGAGGCCACTGAATTTCCCCACTGATCAAACAGAAATCAACGGAGCCCTCAGCAGCCATCTTTAAAAATCATCCGGAAAGAGAAAGATAAATGCAACGCCTTGCGTCTAAATTCCTCTAGAATACTCCTTCGTCCTGCCAACCGTTCACTCTTTACCCAACATCTCCGCCGCAAGTTCCTGCTCGTTACATACCGCGATAACGATTCCATTGTCCTTGTTCCAAAAAAAGAAAAAAAAAAAAATCGCGATGCAAACATTGCCAGAAAAATTTAGCAAAAACGATAAGAGCGTCTGTCGAAAAGGTTCGGCAAAACCGTTGCTCGTAATCTTATCTCTGCCCCTGCCCACGTATCGGCTCTTTCCAAACGAGTGTACGCACGCGTGCACGAGTATAGTCGAACGGACGAGCGTATTCCGCGCGGACACGCTCGCTTTTTCCACGCGCACAGCCGGCGTTTCGAGTTCGCGTGCGCGCCTTTCCGCGTGTTTCCACACGCACACTGGTAATCAGGATAGACGTGTGGGTCGATTGGTATACGGAGCTGGTTTAAATGTGAGCGTGGATTATTTTCGCATATGCCGTGGCGCACGCAATCTTAGAAGTGGTTCTCGCGTTGACAGGTTCCGAGCGAGTTTTAGCCGGCTTCCAGCGTCGATCGGCAGTGCTTTCGTATCGAACTGTTGTTCGAAAAGTGAGATTGACGATCGAAGGGAATCTTCGTGGAGGATCTATGCTCCTCAGACGGCTGGATCAATAATCCAGCGCGAAGCTTAAACGGCGGGTGCAACGATCTACGATGCTTGGATAGCGGAATCGAGGATTTATGGTGCTTAGACAGCGGGAACGACGGTCTAACCTATCTTAGATCTATGGTGTTTGGACTCGACAATTCTATCGCAGCTGACGATCCTTGATCCTACGAAGAAACAAACCAATCAGGAAGTGTCGCGATAGGGAATTTGGAACGCGACACGGGAAGGAATTCTTATGCAACGCGTCGTCGTACAGACGAGTAATCGTGTAAAAGAAGGAACCATCGAGGCGCAGGAAAACGCGAATACTAATCGCGGAGAATTATGAATGATCTCGGTAACGAGGATATTCACGCGGTGCAGGGTGCTCGGCTGCTGGAAATAGCGTGCAATCCGTGCACGGAAACGCCGACAACTGGACAAATATACATGTTAGCCGCGTTGTTCGTCGCAACGTTCTACTCTATAGTTCAGTCGTGACGAACGGAGAACTCGGATCTCTTCTATGAAATAAAGAAATTGCGAAGATCGCGAATAGTATACCGGGGATCGAACAAGAATAATTTCGAAACACGCGATCGTTTCCGATCTTTCGCGAAGTCCACGGTGACAAAATCCAAAGTACACGCGAAACAAAGTATACCTACCGTGCGTAATTATTTTCAACGAGATTCCGATCGCTCGGACGGTTGCTAGAGGATATTCGTGGTCATCGTGCGCGGGCATCGCGGAAAAGTGATAACGATGACGAACCTGGACGAGAATAAACGATAGAATGCGTGCTCGTAGTAGATGAGAAATCGTACGGGATACGCGCGTACCTGACCGTTGAACATCGAGGATAGCCGTGTGAATTTTTAAACTATAACTCTCCATTGGAAACGAACCGTTCCCCTTGAAACTGTTCGCAATTTCGGCGACATTTTGCGATTCTCTACGATGACGGAAGCTATTCCGACCGCAACGGAGGAATGTAAAAGGATAGACGATAAAGTTAATCAGTGATGCTCGTAGGAAATCGTAAATACGATTGACGTCATCAAACAAAGCTTCGAGTTATCGTCGCTTTTTATATTCGACGATTTGATCGTTTATTTGAAAATAGTCTTAAAAAAATTTATGAAATCTCCGTATACCATGGATTAGAGGTACATAGTGTAAAGTGAAGCGGTATTATTTTCGAAGATTTTCTTTAATTATTCCAAGAGTGAAAATTTAGGAATTTGTCGATGAAATCGATGGGAAATTGGTGAGACGAGAGAAGAGACACGGGTGGCATCGAAATCGTGCAACGAAATGCTTATGATCGACAAAGGTTCTTTCACGAAAGGAACCAACGAGGAATTGGACGAGCATAGAACCACCAACGTTAACAGCATAGTGCCATTGAACGAGTTACTCGTTAATTCAACCGTTCCCGCGGCCACGGTTGCAGTAAAAGTGTGCGATGATTCCGCGGACGAAACCGGAAGGTGCCAGGAGAAACAGAAACGGGGCATTCTCAGCAACTTCCAGAGAAGAACCTTCAGCAGGATCAGTTTCAAAGGGGAGACTGGTCCTTTATTGAGCAGGTGGAATTATCTTTTATTTTTTTTCGTTTTCGCGCATTCGCGAAACTGATGTTTCGTTTCAATTTATCGCTAGCCGACTTATGACACCTCTAATTAGCTCAATTTTCTACGATAGATAGTAGTACTATAAAAACTCGAATATTTTCGAAACATTCGTAAACAATGTTGCTGCGTGTACGAAAATCATGGTAGTTCCACCGAACGTCTTTTCTTTCATTTATTCTTTGTAAGTATTTTACAATCTTTATGTTTGTTTCTTCGGAATGAAATTTGAAACAATCCATTTTGTGGTTTAGTATCTTTTTACACGTTTTGAAGCGAATGAGATTTCGGGGGTCCGAGGGCCCTTCACATATATGAGATAATAAAAAGTACCTCAAATAAAATTTATAAAATTAACATTAAAGATTGTATAACTAATTTAGATTTGTATTTACATCGATTAATATTCAAGTAAACATTTGCATTCTTACAAGGGACATTACCCAATCGACACACGCCGATTTTGATGCCCTTTGAGTATGATATAGAACTCAAAAAAATATTTGACCTGCTGAAGGGGTGAAAAAAATGACAAAAATAGATTACTTTTCAATATATTTTTTACACAAATAAATTTATCAAAAAGATGGCTACATAGAAAAATTTGCTGTTCAAAAACACACAAATTCTATTTTAAATTTTTCGCCTACATCTAATAATTCCTGAGATATTCAAGAAAATATGTTTTGCAACCCCAACTTTGAGGGCTATTTTCACCCCTTCAGCATGGATGATTGCCGATAAAAAAAATACGTGTCAAATATTTTTTTCAGTTCTATATCATACTCAAAGGGCATCAAAATCGTCGTGTGTCCCTTGTTAGACGCAAAATCGTCTTATGAGGGCCCTGGACCTAGTCTGCCTAGGCCTAGGGCCGGCCCTGATTTAAGTAAACGTTTATCTTTACCATTGAAAAGCCCCGAGACAAGTGTATTATTAATAAAACAAGAATAATTCAAAATTGAATGAAGACGGTAGTTTCTCTTGAAATACGAAAGATTTCTCGGAAACGCTATCGCGAGATGTTCTTGGAATACTTTATAACGGGAGAGACGTGATAATTTCGTGCAAGACGCCGCGAAATTTTCGTCGGCGCCGTCAAAAATACCCGCAAGATCGTAGTGAAAACTGGATCACAATACATGGCTCGCGACCCCGCGAAAATAGCGCCGGACCGTTCCCGTTTCCCTGCCACGATCGGCAGAAATCCTGCTTTCCACGACGAGAATAGAAGCGCCTAATTGCGGAAGACGCCTCGGTGGGAAGCAGGGATTCCCGACGCGGCGCTGGGCGTCGCTCGATTTACGTGGGCGCGCGATGAAAATCCTGAATGTATCATCGGTAATCCTTTTTCCATTACCGGGCATAAAATCTAAGAATCTTCACTTTTTAAAACATTATAACGTCTTCAATTTCAAAATTAGTTTGTTTTAAATGAAATTAAGGTTCAAGTAAAGTTTGAATTTCAAACAATTTCGATCACGAATATCCTCGCATAAATCGCTAGGTTTCTAAACATTTTCTCCTCTAAAATGTAGATTTACATATCAGGTTATTATCATGATTCATCTTTTCCGTCTTGTACTTAAGTAAACAATAATGCATCTATAATGGGATCGAAGGATAACACGTTTAATATTTCCCTTGAGGATAATTTTAAAAGAAATGAAATAGCAAGATTTGCGATCTACAATCACACTATGCGTTACGATTCATCGAACTCTGATTCATCCCGTGAAAATTGATCTCTGATGCAATTGGAACCTCGAAGAAGAAACACTTCTATCGTAGTCGGAGGATTCATCAATGAAAACGCACCTTATCCGAAATGATCGATGAATAAAAATTGCAATGATCATCTGTTTCGAATATCGTTTCGTGTAATCGAGGCTCCATCTCTGGCGGATCAAAGGAATCTGTCCGATTGGCGAACGCTGCCAAGCTGGCGTGCAAAGACAAAAGGGAAATTCGTACGCCAAGGGTCGAAATTGGATCGTCTCAGTATCTTGCGAGCCTCGGTTCGCTAACGAACCATTAACGGATACTTAATTAACCAGCCCATCGTGACCGCCCTTTTCTTATCCTCCGTCTTACCTTGAATTGTATTTTATTTTCTTCTTATTTCTCGATCATTTCCCTCGATGACGCGACGTTTTTATAAATAGTCCGCGAAGTGCGTAAATCAGTGGGTTCGGCAGAAAATTTTCTTTCGCACTGAAGGAGAAAGGAAAGAAATGTCGAATCGAGGAGGTGCGGTGATAGTGATAAGTTAAAAGTTCGAGGAAGAAGTTTCGGTGTACAGTGTGGATCGGATGTGATCCGTTTGGTGAACCGTCGGTAGCGATCGCGGATAAACGGATGTGGTGCAAAAGACTGATATGGATTTTCCAGTGGCTCTGGACAGGCTGCGATATTTGGCTCTGACGATGCGTTCTTTATTCGTTCTGTCTTGAGAGCATCCGCTAGAACGGCGGCCTCGCTCGAGAAAGCTTAAACTTAGACGCCGAAATTCCGTTGCAGCTCGAACCGAAATACATGTGTCGAGTTCTAAACGATGTTTAAACGTCGAGCCATTGTTCATTTTCCTCTTCTTTCTTTATTATTTTTTTTCTTTCCTCTTGTTAAATAAAAGTAGCTTAGAATAGATACAACGGGCAACGATTAATTAGATTCCCCCACCGAGGCATTTATTTTTATTATTCAATTTCGTTTCGTGACGAAAGAACGGTGATCGATCGTCGCTTCGGTGTTTACCGATCATGTGGTACAAGTGGTACGATAAATCGAAACTCGGACCGTCCCTTTCGAGATACTGTTGAATCGATACTGCGAGGGAATCGAAGTGAAGCGCTAGAAAATGGACGGTACCACGTCTAAAACACTTTCGCCGAGTTCTTCGGGCTCCGGAAAGGTCCACTTGGGCGAAGGAATGGCGTTATCCGGTTTAAGAAGGGCGCTCTCTCAAGTCTCGATGTTGGTCGTTAAGGCGACCACCTCTGGAGAAGCTGCTTGGAGAGAGGAATTGCAAAAGTATGAAAAAATTACCTTGCAAACCCTTCTATGATATAACACGATATCATTTAATTTAAATAAATAACATTGCGTTAACTTTAACAGTTCAAGACACGATCGTCTATATTAAATTATCAAAAATCTTCTTTCAACTAATTAAACGCGATAAAAAGAAATAATTTCCAATGCATCTCGTTCATTGTCGGTCGCAATAGATCAAAATGAAAGTGTCTGAACCAGGAACGATTTCCAACAGTCGAGTTAACGCTCGTTTCATCAGGACGTTGGCATTCTTTGAACAACAATCTCTTCGAACGGTTTATATCATTAGGTTTATTGCGTCTAGTTATCATAATCGCAGCCACTTTCTCGTCTGCTCTAAATCGTTCCGTTTTAACGGACGCGTGGGTCGAGGAGCTTTCGAAACCTTCGTTGCGAAGCGTTGTTTCCTAATCGATCCTTCTATTTTTTAATCGTTCTTCCAGAAATTCATTTTTTATTCTTTCGCACTATCATAGAATCTTCTTGCGGCTTTTCCTGATTAAATTCAGCTGGATAAATAAAAGAAAAAGGAAAATAAGTTCCCTCTAGCCGAGACGTTTCAAATCTTGCGAGTTTCCGACGTTTCTCTGAAAGTGTTCGCCGACGTAACGTTTCCTTCTGACAGATAAGAGCATCTTCCACGTCTCGAAACGACATCTTCCAGCCTCGTAAGCAACAGCTCGAACAGGTGTGGAAGTCTTAATCTATTTTCATCTTGGGTCAATATGTCAGGGTTGAACGATGCGAAAGCACACGAATTTAGAACGTCGTTTGCCAGGAGAACGAACCAAGCCAAACCGTTACCTTCTTCCATCAATATCCTAAGCTGTAATTGTTATTCTTTGAGAGAAACGACAACGTTTCACTGATTCCCGTGTTCGATCACTGTTCGATACCATCAACCAAGCCTCTGATCAAGTTATTTTTATCGTTCGAAGAATCCCCAGAGAGGCAGAAGGAAAAAACAGTGGCAGTCCATTTCTTGAGGATCCATCCAGAAAATTGGCAAAAAGACATGTTCGAGCCGCTTCGTGCAGGTATACAGACAAAAGGTACACTGGTGGAATTAATTCAGGACACTTTTAAATTTTTACTTGAATTTCGAATTTCTTCAAATTATTTAATATAATAATCATTGTTTTCTAATTTTAGGGCGTCGTTTGTATAAAAATTACAATTTCAATATATCCAAAGAGGTAGAAAAAAATTAATATTTTGTTGAATATTCTTTCAAACATTTACAAAGCAATTCATGTGAAAATATTAAGTATAAACATGATAGATTACAGTGTCAATTTAGCATAGCAGAATATACATTTTCTGCAGAAATATGATATAAAGAATATTTTTATTCAAAGTGTCCAGAATAAATTCCACCAGTGTAATTCTACGAGCAAAGATAAATTGAAATTGTAGAATGAAATTCTATTCTACACTTTCAATTTATTTTTCTCCGCTATCAATATTCATATTCTAGCTTACCCTGTATACTCGAAGGACATCTCTTTCGTCAGGATAATCGAACGAAACGAAAATATACGATACTGTTTTACACCAGATAGATGCGGTGCGTTTCGTCGAAATCCCTCTGACGTCGAGAAATGAGAAAGAAAATTCGTATTTCCCCGAACAATTTCGTTCAGGTACGTGAAGAGGCAAGTTCAAAGTGACAAAGATCGCGGGTCATCCTCGTCGGAGTCTGCCAAGAAAACTTTACCGCCTTTGACACAGGAATCGTAATAATCCGTGGCTGCGCAACACTGTCTGTAAACAGCCGGACTTGACTGTTCTAATCTCGATCTTGTCTAGCTTTACAAATTTTCGGTGTTCCTCATGGCCGAGTTTATTTTGGGACGAGTCGATCAGACGGGAACTCGTGTCTCGTCTGGCGAAACGTAACTGGAATCTTCAATCACACCCGGAAACTCTAGTTAAACCCTAACGCACGTGATTATCTTTCATTCTTCTTTAGAAAGATTTTCAAGGAAAATGAACCGAAGTAAACCGAATTTGCAATTTTCAATATTTGTTAATTACCTTCTTCCAATCGATATTAAATTCTGAAGATATTTTTAAAATTCCACTTTTCCTAACTACCATTAAACGTTTCCAATCGTTTAAATTCCAAATGCAACAAGTAGTTTCCAATAGAGTTCACCCCATTCTTCTTCAAATCGAACAATTTCTCCTCGAACGCCCACCGTTCGATAAAGAAAGTTCGAAGACCGCGTGGTATGTCACAAGGAAAAGCTTTCACACTGTATTTATATTCGAAATAGTCACAGGTTATTTGGAAACATTTCGCAAGATTCGCGAACTCTTTTGGACGAGATGGGTCAGTTTACGCCAGACTAAATTACGAGCTTTTTTACGAATTATTAAGGTCGATAGATTAGTACTAACAACTTGTTCAAACGTTTCTCTATACTCTGCTGAAGTGACCCAGATAAAACAAGATCGATCAAATATTTGGATGAACCCAGTTTCTCGATACTTATTTTCATATCCAGGGAATTGAACTTTCCTCTGTTTGCTTTGGAAGATTATGGAAACCATCAGAAAAAGATTCCTCAGTTTTAAATTTTCTAAAAATTTCTTTAAATTATGAATTTTGAAAATTCCAAATGAACTTGGATGAATCAAGTTTCTCGATACTTATTTACATATTCAGGAAATCGAACTTTGCTCTGTTTGCTTTGGAAGATTATGGAAACCATCAGAAAAAGATTCCTCAGTTTTAAATTTTCTAAAAACTTCTTTAAATTATGAATTTTGAAAATTCCAAATGAACTTGGATGAATCAAGTTTCTCAATACTGATTTGCGTATTCAGGGAATCGAATTTTGCTCTGTTTGCTTTGGAGGTTTATGGAAACCTTCAGAAAAAGATTCCTCAGTTTTAAATTTTCTAAAAATTTCTGTAAATTATGAATTTTGAAAATTCCAAATGAACTTGGATGAATCAAGTTTCTCGATACTTATTTACATATTCAGGAAATCGAATTTTGCTCTGTTTGCTTTGGAAGATTATGAAAACCTTCAGGAAAAGATTCCTCAGTTTTAAATTTTCTAAAAATTTCTGTAAATTATGAATTTTGAAAATTCCAAATGAACTTGGATGAATCAAGTTTCTCGATACTGATTTGCATATTCAGGGAATCGAACTTTGCTCTGTTTGCTTCAGGAGAAATTCCTCAGTTTTAAATTTTCTAAATGATGAATTTTCCAAGTTCCAAGGATTGAAAATGTTAAATTATTTTGCAAAAGGATTTCAACTGTTCAGAAGTGCAATTCATATTATTAAGTGTGAACTGTTGGTCATAAAAGCTTTCATCAAAAGAGCTGCTCCACGAAATTCTCATCGAACCGATCGAAAATCGTGATTCACGTGGAAGGGGAAGACGATCATGTTCGTCTATCGATTTTTTAGCGGATTGCCTTCGATCGGTCCCTATCCTGGCGCGAACGATAGCATTTCGACGATAAATTACATCCTTTGGCATTAAACTTCGTATATTTCCGAGCAGACGATACGACCGTTTTAAACGGCCTTTAGAGTAGCCGTGGGTGGCAAGCTGGTGTCTCGTTTTTCATTTACCACGAAACGCAACTGTGTAACCATTTCTTTCGTCAAACCGTGAATAAATAAAATAATAACCAGTTGCACAAACAACTGTACACCTTTCACTCTTCTCGCGACCATTAAACCGAAGATAATAAGAAATTATCCAAATAACAAGATTAATTCGAGAAAAGGAAGATGATATTGAATGAAAATAATAATTGATTTCCAATAGAGATGAAAATATACATTCTACGATGAACGACTGGATAGAAATCCCATTCAAACAAATAAGAAATGATTGATTCTTCATCCAATTTCAATTGTTATTACAATAACGATCATTGTTTTCAGATATCGCCAGACGAGGTTCAGTTCTCGAAGGATACGAAAGAGGGTGGTTTTCAAGCACGGCGATTGCAATGTCGTACAAGGAAATGTGGCGAAACGACGACGACGTTACCTTCAGGTAATTTTAAAGCATTTCTAAAATCGTACGCTTATGTTCGTCGAGCTCTGCCGTTCAAGGCGATCGCGCAAGTGTCTGGCAGTAAAAATGATCGTTTACCTTTTTACACGATCTCCTTCGGTCCAGTACAAGGAGACGAACTTCGCGTGTCTCGATCTATTTTGTGAATACGATTACTTGCCAAATTGCCGCACGCTTTGATGTAATATCATCGTATCCACTCGAAACGTTTACTATAGAAGAATACTAAAATTACCTTCCTTTCTCTTCATTTTAACAAACACAAAGGCGCCAGGTTTCATTCTTCGATTTCTAATTTTGACCACCAACGTCAGAGTTTCAATAATTTTTCTTTTCTTTCTTTTTTTTTTTTTTTTTTTTGTTTTTCAGGACATTTTCACGACACTGGTGGACGCGCAATGGAGATGGACACTGTTGGTGTTCTCCATGAATTTTCTACTGTCCTGGCTTGGTTTCGCTCTGATATGGTGGCTGATCGCGTACAGCCACGGCGATCTAGATCCAGAGAATTATACGAATCCGAATCAGACGTTCACACCGTGTATCGTCGACATTCGTGGATTCACCAGCTCGTTCCTATTCTCGATCGAGACACAGCACACGATCGGGTGACTAATCAAATATTTCCCCACGTATTATCAATTATCTTTGATCAGTGATTCGAACGAATTTCAGACGCTATTAATCAAACAGCCGCTTTTGGATGAAGTTTCCCTACCCTTCGATTATTTAACATTCAATTAAACTGTTCGTGCAGTAGAATGGGACTTGATATTAGGACAATTAACGAACGAGAAGAGTAAGAGAATAGAGAACGAATTGATGGAGATTTCTCGTCTTAGAAAATCGAGACAAGATATAAAACTATGCATGTTACCGAGCCTTGAACAGGAGGTATCCTGACAGAAAAAAAAAAAAAAAAAGTACTACACGTAATTCGAGTTTATCTCGGTTTAACGTACTTTCTAAAACCTATAATTAGTTCTCGATACGAGAACATTAACACGTTGACTGGAGTCAAGAAAATGATCACGTGTAATGAAATACACAGTAATAACAGTTATTAAGAGATAATTAAATTTGCTTTAAAATTACTCAAATTTTTTCTGCAGACAATTTTTATTAAATTTATAACATAGTTCGCCAATGATCTATGTTACAGTCGACGTGTTAAAATATTCAAATTAGGTACGTTTAATCGAGAAATAACGAGACACCTTGTCTCCTTCACTGATTCCCTACGATCTTCAATAAATCATTGAATTAGAAATGAATTATTCAAAAGGTACGTGTAAATCTTCGATATAAATTGAGAGTAACATTTCTATAGATAAGTGTCTTCTCAAGGAAATACTCAACTGAACGAACCATTTAACGAAGATTTAATTTTCTATCGTCGCATCGACGAATAATTAGTGTCATTTTCGTAGGTACGGTTCGAAGCATCCAACGGACGAGTGTCCAGAGGCGGTGTTCGTCATATGCATCCAATCGATGACCGGTGTGATTCTGCAGGCCTTTATGGTCGGTATAGTGTTCGCGAAACTGTCCCGACCGAAGAAGAGGACGCAGACGTTGCTATTTTCGAGAAATGCCGTGATATGTCAGAGGGACGGTCAACCGTGTCTGATGTTTCGCGTCGGTGACATGAGAAAAAGTCACATCATCGAGGCTCATGTCAGAGCTCAGATGATCAAAAGGAAGGTGAGCTACGCGAAAGAAACAAGTGCGGTCAAGCCGAAACTCAAAGTACGCTCCTTGATTCAATAAACCAGAGGCGGGCCAACAAATAAAAATTTCACTTTGTGCAATATTTTTGTTAATATACCTTGAATGAATTCCTCAAATATCGATTCATCATAAAAAAAATAAGTTTAATTATATTATTAAATATAAATTTAATTTAATTAATAGAAGTATATGACCCTTGTTCAAAATCTTGGCGGACCTTACCAAAAAATCTGAAAAAATTCTATAATATGTGCCTCACAAATAGAAATGTCTCTGATTTTTTTCAGAATTTTCGAATGTCATTAAATAGGAGAAATTGGCCAAAAACTTGGCGATTACATTTTTACCCTTAATTATCCTCCCAGATGAGATACAGGGTTGAAACTTGGCACAGATTGTTTTTTTTTATCACCTATCGATTGGTTCGAAGCAAGTCGAATTTGGTTTGGTGGCACTTTTGACCATCTTATCCGGCTAAAGTTATTTTAACCTGAAACACTTGCCACTTACGGTCACTGTGTTTCTCTATAATTAGACGCTCGATGCATTCGTTATTCTTCTCTCTGACGAAGGATATCGATGAAAACGATTCGATAAACAAATATGTGAATCAACCGTTGGAATTTTAGGTGACCAGGGAAGGAGAATTGTTGCCGTTCTTCCAGACGGAATTGAAAGTGGGCGGAGATGGCGAGGAGGATAAGATATTTTTTATTTGGCCAACCACCATTGTACACAAGATCGACGAACAGTCACCGCTTTATCACATATCAGCCAGTGATATGCTGCGAGAGCGATTCGAGATCGTGGTTATATTGGAAGGTAGAAGAATTTATTTAGAATTACAGCGGTTGATCAAATTATTAGCCAACTAGTTTCTAAGATTGAAAATCTTCTTAAGGGGGCTGTAGCATTTAGACTTTTTGTCACTTTTGTACAGGCCAAACGATAAGAGTTATCGAAAAAATTCTTGCACCATTGTGTTTGTGCCGGAAAAAAATTTTTTTTGTGCCACTTTCAGTCTGACCGGAAATGGCCAAAAAAGGGTTGGCTCTAGAGCGAATCTCGCTCTAATTCACTTTAGCTTGTTATTAGAGCTACTCGCATAAATTGATGATTTTACATAAAGATCATTAATTCTTAAATGAAAACCGAGTTTTTGTTATTTTTTTATGGTGTATTGATGCTTGTAAAATTATGATACACAGTTGAAAAGAGTGAAAGTTCTTGACTTCAACCCCATCGAAAATTTGTGGAAACACTTATTATTAATAATAAATGTTAATTGATCGAAATATGGGCCAGAAATAAAGCAATCAAATTTTTTGTATATTATTATTGAAGGATTATCGATTAATTGGATCTACAGTGGCTCTATTTCTACAGAAACACGAAAAACCTATTTTTCATACCGTGGCTCTAATAATTTCACCACCCACTGTATATTATTCAAACTAAAAGACAGAAATTTTAATAACTCTCTGATTCCAGGTGTAATCGAGTCGACAGGTATGACTACTCAGGCTAGAAGCTCCTATCTACCGTCCGAAATTCTATGGGGTCACAGATTCGAACACATAATTACTTTTAAAAAGGAGACCGGAGAGTACGAAGTGAATTACACTTTGTTTAATAACACGTACGAAGTTGATACACCGTTGTGTTCAGCAGCTGATCTGGATAAGATCAGAGCTATACAACGTGCGAAAGGAGGTACAGAAAACTTGCAGCAATTTTTTAAATATTTAAATGACTAAAAGAGTGCAGGATCAATGGCGAAAATAAAAAGCGAACTCTATTTCATGAATAATTAACTCTATACCTCGATCAACATGGATCGAGTTTATTAAATTCATTGTGCAAACTTTCATTTAAATGACTTCCCGAGTTAGCAATTTTATTTCCAAGAAATTTAACATAATCGAACGACATAACATCCAAAGTATATATTTAGAACTTTCTGTATAATTTTCATAATTTTCCAATTAATACTCGTTTTCTTTATAACAAAAAATCAAATGGTTGCTTTGAAAAAAGAAATAATAAACGAGGAACCAGATTCCTGCAGTCTCTTATCGAGCTGGGTTATTTTTGCTGCATCTTCTATCCGATTATCATATTCAGATTCTCGTTACGATTTCAGAACGTATGAGCACCAGTGGATTCGCTCATTATCGCGACGCGTCCAGCAGTTCTTTGACCACCGGATCCGGTTCCAGCTTGGCATCGTCAACCGGCGGGCTACACATGAACATCCCTATGGCGCCACTGACTCCGATCCCGGTCATGATCACCGGCCCTGACGGTTCTCTGAGACGCGAGAGCATGCAAAGCGGTCAAACCGAGGCGAAACAGCCGGTATTTTATACCCAGAACGAGGTGCATATTTTCTATACTTCACGATTTTCCAATTTTTAAAAAATCATTTTTATTCCCACGCAGTTCCTGGACAACGAGTCCCATCCAATCGGCTACATTCCGGAGGACTCAACGGGCCAGGAAGATTACAACCGCGTACTGGAGGACATTAACGCGACGTTGAGGAAAAATCGCGTACACGGCAAGGAAGAGAAACGACTGCACAGAGAACCATCGAGGTGTACGTTAGATTCAAGGAAAAGCGAATCTAGATCTAACGTGGATATTATAAGAAGATCCAGTTCGAGGACGACTATAGATCAAATTCCAGGGCTTAATAATCCTCTTCCCCCAAAATCACCCTCTCGACAGCATTTAGACCCCAGGTAGGAAAGAAATTACTGGAATGTTGAAATTAACACGTTGAACGCCACTCGTCAGGGCCGACCCTGAGATTTCTGGAGCCCGAGGCGAGCTCCGAAAAATGACATATAATAAAGTACCTCAAATAAAATTTATAAAATTAACTAATTTAGTCTTCTTGCATTCTTAGACGCAAAATCGTCTTAAGGGGGCCCTAGGCAACCGCCTAGTCTGCCCAAGCCCAGGGCCGGCCCTACCATTCGCTGTAGGACGTATTGAAGCTCTAATTATTATAAATAGAAGTAATTAATTTTCAAGTTTTAAGCTTTCCATAACAATATTATTTAAAATAATGTTTCTCTATTTTCTTTTAATTATTCAGGCATGTGTAATTTACGGTGTCGTTCACCGGTGACCCCCATGGCGTTCAACGTATTAAAATTCCTAAGCTCCTTTTACAAGAATATACTCATTCCTTGAATTTTATTTCTCTAGGCACACAAAGTTCGCTGAATCAGGAGAAGCGTACCGCGAGCCTCCGCCTCATCCTCACCCTTCCTCCAGGAGATCGAGTTTAGGCGAGAATCAGAAATCGAAGGAGATGCACAAGAAGACTACTTTCATCGTCGGCGACGACGAGCACGTTATAAACGTGGAGCCGACGATCGCGAAGGGATACCTGCCTCGACACGAAGCGTTGGACTTCGATTCATCGAAGACGAATCATCATCCCCGGCACAGAGGCCCTCAGGAACAAGTTTAGGTGAGCGACGCTTCGCATCTTATACCAAGTAAAGATCCTTGGAGAGTACAATCGTTCCGTTTCGCGATCGAAGACTAGGATTCCCGCCAGGCAAATTGCCTTCGTCGGATCAATTACTCCGCAGGCGATTTGCAACGATCGAGCCCTCTTAAAACAACTCGACTTCACCGTAGAAGTGGTCTTCTAAATTGTTCTAACTGGGACACAAAGACGTCATGCCGAGTAGTTTTCATGCATATGCGCCGTTGGCTCAAGTTTGTCTAACTACTCTGCATCCGGTTCGTTTCTGACGATCAGAGTATCTCTGTCTTTCGTTTCCCCGTTTTGCATTTGTTCCAATTTCTCAATGACGGAATAGGAAGCTGACTAAAGACCCGGGGGGGGGGGGGGGGGGGGGGGGGGGGGGGGGGATTGCAGATTGTAGAAATATTCAAATTACAGAAATAACAAGTTTCTATTTTCTTTTTTTTTCAAATGCAAAATTAATTTGTCGAGAATGGACACTTGTAAATAAAGATTTTTTTATTTGATTTTCTATCATAGTAGCAGAATAGCAACGCGCAGGAGAAATTCTCCTCCCTGTAGTAATATAGATAACGACACAACACGTACAGAGAAGACGCTCTATAAATAACTCGGTGTATGTTGAATTTAGAACGACATTATCAACTATAACGCTCCGATTCATAGCCCGAGGCTGTGTCATCGTTTTAATCGAGCCACTGCCAGTTCACTTTACACGCGATAGATAACGAGATCCTGATGTGCAACGGGTCGCGAGACTCGGCTGAAACGTCGATCGAGTTTCGTGATAAAATTAACAAAATAGAATTACTTCTATTTTTAATAATCAGAGCTTCGATACGTCCCACAACAAATGGCAGGGCCCGCCCTGAGCCTAGGCAGATTAGGCGATTGCCTAGGTGCTCGTCGTTTAACAGTAATTAAATTTAATATATTTCCACTGCAAAGTGTTTATCTTGAAACATCTAAAAGATTTTTAACGATGATCGGTACGAGCCCCGGTTCGAACTACAGTAAAAGCTGGATATATGCAACAAACATTGGGACCCAGACGGTGCATATATCCAGCCGAGGTGTCGATTCTGGGCATTTAAACGTTGCATATATCCAGCCGAGGTGTCGATTCTGGGCATTTAATGTTGCATATATCCAGTCGAGGTGTCGATTCTACGTTCGTACACAACATGCGACATGTTGCGTGTTTCATGCATCTTTGGTGTACGGCCTGCCTTATGTTTGGTATCATTTTAATCAGAAAAATCTCACAAATGCGTTAGTAAAAGTTTCATTAAGAAAAAGTTAAAAATAAAAAAGTTTTATCGTTGAATTAGTATTAGTCACACCGATATAACGGTTCGGAACGTATTACACGGCTTCCTCGTCGAGCGTCTCGGTTCGCTTAGGGAGATCCCCCCAAGTGGAGGGAATAGCGATGTTGCATATATCCAGCCAATTTTTCGTTGCATATATCCAGCTTTTACTGTATGTCGCGAGATGAGGTTAAACGGGTGCGGAAATCGTCAGTTAAATGACACGACAGAACGATCTTAATGGCGATAAGGCAAAAGGAATTATCCCTTTCATTCAATTTAAGTCGGCGATGCACGATTCGGAACGGGAACAACACACCGTTTCGTCAGGGTATTCCAGATCGTGCGTGATGCAACGCGCGATTGTTGAAGGGCAGATGGATGAGTAGAGGATTAAGTGGATATCCAGAGAGCCGTAGGTTAGTTAGACGACACGACAGGATGAGTTTAGTGGCGGGAAGTGCCCTCGTTATCACGCCAGTCAATTGTTTAATCTCGGCCTAGGCCTCTTCCCTCTTCGCTACCCGCTTCTTTCGTCGTGCTTTTCATCCACACGCGACGGGCACATGACACCGCGCGAAACACGGTAAACCGGCTATCAAGTTACTCGAGCACGTAGATTTCGCGCGAGTAACACACGGACGACCCGTGTCCTTGCTTACGGGCTACATTTCACCTGTCTCGTCGAGCAGCCTCGCGAAACGAACAACTAGGATGCTCCGGGATCAAGGGATCCGCTAAAGCCGAAGAATTTAACCTTCTTAACCCTTTAATCGCTACGAAAGAGTTGGCAGTTTCAAAGTTGAAATAATTAATATTGAAAAATGGAAAAAATTGCAAATTAGAAATTTCACTGTTAACGATATGGGTGATAAATGAAAATGAACTTATTTTCTCGGGAGTTAATTTCTTCTCGGATCATTGGCGTCAACGACCTTTATTACGTCAAGTCAACCGGGTGTAATTGCACGTCTCGATTCTTCTGTCGCTCCTCGCAATCGCGTTATCGCGAATCTCTCCGTTTCTTATTCAAAACAGCTATTGTCTGGACGACAATGAGCACCGTCTAGAATGACAGCCGACACACACGGGGATAGAAAAAACAGCGAAGCCGTATCACCTTGCAACGCGAATTGCGACATCCTCCTTCGGGATTGTCCTCGGTCTGATATGCTGATTATATGCGACAACTATCTTGCGTAGAACGATTCGCGTCTAACGCCGATCTCCTTACGAATCCTGCTTTGAATGTAAATTAGCGATTCCAGTTTGATTTGGAAAAATTAGCAACGAAAGAAATGAGGAAAAATGAAACTTGCGAAGGAAGTAGAAAATGCAGTTTTAAAAATAGAAGAAATAAGATAAATTCAAGGAGCGAAGAAGAGGATGGGGTTCGACTTTCCCGCGATAAAATCACCGCCGTTTCACTGAACGCGAGAAAAAGAGTAATTGTTTGAAAAACAATTTTATTACACGCTTGTTTACCTCATTTTCACGGCAATCATGACTAAGATAGCTCGAAGGTCGTCACACTTTTAAAAGCGAGACGACTTACGTGTTACCACAGTCCTGCATACGCATAATTCACGCTTTTTCAACGGAAATTTCATCCTGACATTTCGAAGAAACAAACAACCATTCAAACAGGTTCATGAACGATAATTAACGAGATGAACGCTTGCAATTACCACTGACTTAACGACGGATGAACGTATGAAAAATTGCAATTTTACGCTTTCTGCGTTAGTGAATCAGACGTTCGAGAAATTCTAATACGTCAACTTTCCGATTAACCCTTGGATTAATTGAATTAACCCTTGGATTCGGCGCCCCAAGACGGCGGACCATGAAGGGAGCCCCAATTTTAATTTAATTTTGTATTTCGAGGGATGATTCTAAAATTTTCAACACATTATCTAATACGTCAACTTCCCATTAACCCTTGGATTTGGCGCCCCAAGACGGCGGACCATGAAGAGAGCCCCAATTTTAATTTAATTTTGTATTTCGGGAGATGATTCTAAAATTTTCAACACATTATCTAATACGTCAACTTTCCAATTAACCCTTGGATTAATTGTATGAACCCTTGGATTTGGCGCCCCGCGACGGCGGACCATGAAGAGAGCCCCAATTTTAATTCAATTTTGTATTTCGAGAGATGATTCTAAAATTTTCAACACATTAACATAACATAACACAAAACATCATAATGATTTAAATACAAGAATTTCCTCGAAGAAACGACAGGTGTATAATTAAAAATATTTTTAGATAACAACGGTATCAGACGTCTGATCTAAAAGTCTCGAGATTAATTACAGCCACGTTCAAGGTTTCCAACATTCAACGATCAAATCTGAAAAATTCATTAAGAAAAGAGGAAAAATTTCGTTGATCCAAGGGAAAAGGAGGATGGTCAGTTGTCAAAGTACCAATGGTGTTCGTCGAAACGTCACGGTCGTGCCCTCCGGCCTCGTTGACGTAATTGGTTATTATCACGGCGAAGTGTGTCCCCTATTAGTGGATACCAGTGTACACAGTGTGCCCTGTTAGTGCGCATTAGCGTGTACACCGTGCATACAAGCTGCGAACGCACGTGCTCTGCTCGCGAAACGATCTGACGATCAACGAAAAATCAGCTCAACGACCAAGTTCTAACTGTTCTCCAATGGAATAATGGATGGGAACGGTGGTAGATATACTAGTCCAGCCCATCGAAATTTATTCACAAATTACTCGTTCAACCCAGTAATATCAAATATAATTATAATTGCAAAATTGTCTAACGATAAAAGTACTTGATCGAGAAACAGTTTCAGGGTGATAGAAAATGAGAAAGTATAAATATTCTAAGCAAAGAAACAGTTGACAGGTGTTGATGAATTAATACACCTTGAACAACGTGGCAGAACACGCATAATAAGATAACGGCGTCCTCTAAAGAACCTAATTTCCATATCGCCAAAAATTCAGCCTTTGACAGCCTAGCACTCGACGTTCTATGAATCTCATAAAATATGCATAACATCCATATGTGAATGTTGTTTTCGAATAATGATATCATAAATTCTCGTAAACCTGTCAAGGTTCGCGAGACTCGCCACTGAATAGATAGCTCTCCACCGTTCAAAGTGATCAATTTACGGGAAAATTTGATTTGCCTATAAATCAGACGGTCATTTTTCAAGAAATTTTGCCAACAATTTTTAACGCTGTTATAAAACAACCCTGAAGTATTCTACTTGAAATTTATCTAATCCTCTGTATCTTCTATTTCTTGAAAAAAGAAAAAAATTATTTTTTCTGATAAATTGAGATTTTTTAATGGCTTAGGTGGCCAAGTTAGATCGCGAATGCTGCATATTTTATAACAACTTCCTAGAATCAGAAATCGTTTCATAATAACAACAATCTCGTGAAGTCATCCGACGTCACGATTTTCGCTTCCAAAGGTGAATATCTGAAAAAAATTTAGCACGCGTGAAACTTTCAGATGAATAAATTAAAAGGAATTCGTAGCCAGGCCGTGATTTCTAAAAATCCATCGATTCACGTTGAAAATCGTTTCGCCGGAGGTGAACGAACACCTGCGATTCCGTGTAAACAAACGATCGAAAATTCTCGAGGCGGAGGATTCATCGAAGACGAGCAAAAAGATTAAAAGATACATCGGGTATGTTCAGCAACAGGTTCGCGATCGTGTGTGTACGTGACGCGTTGCTGAGGATCCTCGATCTCGTTGAAGAGGTAGGAGGAAAAGGCTAAGTAAGAGAGAAAGGAGAAGGGATAAAGACGGGCGAGGAAGGCTCGTTGACGTCACTGGACAAGCTCGCTGCTTGGTACGCTGGTTGCCAACGCGAACGCAGTTTCACGAGGCTTCCACGTCGACCTCGTATCTCTACGCCTTTTTTTTTTTTCCAGCATTTCTATCGAAAAATCCAGTTACCCGAGTGCGAAAAATCACGCGGAGAATTCTCCGTTGTCCCGAGAAAAGTGTGGCGGGAAATTCGTAATTCAAAAAAAAAATAAAAAATAAAACGCTACCGGTGCCGAACGACATCTGTGGATGCAAGGTGCACCACGTGGCGAACAGTGTCAATGACTCGTGTTTGAAACACGATCGCAAAAGGTGTCGATTTCCCGCGTCTCCGCTCTGATTATCGCTCGGAATCTCGCGGATATTGTAAGGAAATCTGTTCGAGGAGACAGTGGATATAGAGAGACGTTTCCGATGGAATCGAGCGGCGATCGTTGGCATCGCTGTGCCGTCTGAAAGGTAAACGCCGATGACGTGAGAGAATGCGTTAATTGATCGGCGGAACAGTTCACGTGATCCGTTAGATGATGATCGGTGATTAATGGCGGGCGGGACGCGAATTTTCCGACATCCGATCGCGTGTCGACCTCGTTTTCTATGAAATCGTTGTTGTTGTTTTTTTTTTTTTAAATCGAAAAGGAAGAACAGTTTGCAATTTGTAAATGGAAACTTCTGATGCAGCATTCAAAGAACTGCGCCGAGCCAACCTAACCCGAGACGGTTTGATAGGCTCACGTGCAGATTTCTGCGTTCTCCCTACCGGAAACGTCCCTCTTCTGTCTGGATCCCTATGCAACGATCACAATTAAACCCGCAATTATAACAATGGAAGTACCGCGATGTTTATCGATAAACGTCATTTCATTCGCGAAGGAATAAGAAAACCGATTGCCCATTAAAACGGGTAAACAAGAACACTCGAATTGCAGGTGAATTTATTTCTAAGAGCCAGACGATCTTGTTAAATTGTAGGAAATATATTTTAAACGCGCCAGGTTTAACTGCATTTTATTCCAGCGCGTTAATTAATAAAACATTTAATTGATGTTCTGTGTAGAGGCTGATAATTTTGATAAGATCTATCGTGCAGTGATTTGATCGATGAACGATTCGGTAATTTCTTAATCCAAATCGAGGGGAATGTTCTTTGATGAAAATCGAAAATTATCTCTAACGACGTCACAAATATAAAGTGAAATCATTCTTATTTTCTACCTATCGAAATACCGACACGTTTGCTGAACGTTGGATTAAACGCCTTAAATCCAGATATTAATATTATTCAAAATTAGTCACCAGTAGGATTTGTATTTTCTTAAAAGTCCAAATGATCTCACGAGGTGTAATGATTTGATAAAACCTCACCTTTCACAGGTGACGCAATAAGAATAACTGTATCGCGTGTGTGACACATATACATAAATATTCGGAATTAAAATTTTTTCCGATTCGATGATTTCTTCAAATTCCTTTCTCTGTATCATTTTTCTGGAGCTCAATTATTTATCTGTACTACTGAAATGTATCCCTGATGTACAATTGTACACCGTTTAAAACAGAATGCCTTATTTAAAATTGGACCAAATGACTTGAGGCTTTTGGAGAAGCTATAAAAATTAATTTACTAAGATATGTACTTTTGCTGTTTTAAAAAATTACAGTTCGAAGTGGTGAAAAAAATAATGAAGGGTAATTTTTCGACTTTTCTATATAAGTCACGTTCTTAAATAAAAAGTCGTGATTTTCGGAAATTTTAATTACTTGCAACTTTTAAGTGCATTGATCGATATCGATGAAATTTTCAGCATACACATAACTGATTTGAATCTACGAAAGACATATTTTATATTTTCATTATAGACTCATATAAAAAGGTTGAAAAATTACCCTTTACTATTTTTTTTCACGATTTCGATAAAATGTAATTTTTTAAAACAGCAAAAATACATATTTTATTATATTAATTTATAGCTTCTCCAAAAGCCTCAAATCATTTTTTAAACGGTGTACGAAGACTTTCGTGATTGACTGTACGAAGATAATTCGAGGAGCAAAGGGCTCGTGTTTCGCATCCGACGAAATTCACGAATAATCGACGGGCGAGCGGTGTTTTGCGTTTCGCACACGTGCCAGGCTGGTTCGCGCGTATGTGGCACCGTGCCTGCATTATCCCCGCCATAAGAGGTAAACGCCATGGCATCCGTTGGCCACAATCTCGTGCTACCGACGCGAATCTGAAACAGTTGCGAGTCCGACGCGCTTACGTGCGCTACTCCAGCTGGAAAACGCGGGAAACGTTCGAACCCCGAACGAGACCAGTCTGATCAGTGAGAATTTCATTTATTTTCATTCTACCTTATACTACTGCATTTCATTGCCGCGTACCAATTAAAATTCACGAATTATCGCAAGCTTTGCATCGATTTTGAAAAATTAGAATTTTAAGAAATTTAAATCTGACTATTTTTTTTTTTTGCTCGAGATTAATTTCAATTCTTTCAGTTTATTAAAATTTCATTAACATCGACTGTACTGTGAATGTTTTTATTCTACCGAAGGAATGTTACTCGTTGATAAGGAAATTGTATTCTTAATTAATCATTTATGCAGACTTGTCTGCGTTTTAACGAAGAAACGTGTTGTTTGCCTCGAATAACGGTCGGAACTTTCACTTTTACCCTGTATAATAGAATCGTTTTCTCCAAATCTACTTCGGTCTCGTATTCAAATTTGTTAAGTTCCTATTTTCGACAAATTTTTACACGGCCACGGCGCGATAAGGACGTATTTGTGAAAAGAAACATCAGTGAATCACGTACTAGGGAGTATAATTTATGCCAGCGAGTCAGATAAGCGGTATTTGAACAGAGTTTACGTTCTCGTGTTTGTCAAGATATCTGCAACAAGTGTGTTTCGTCGTTCGCCGGCTGACAGTTCTCCAGATTGTTCGAGACGATAAATTTGAGAAAGGCGCGAATAAATAAAAATCGTAGGAAGATCCTTTTCAATCGAATCGCGTTACGTATCGTTATTCGATGATTCAGAGATTCCGATTCCGTTGTAATCAGTCGAATCGACCGAATAATTACATAATAACTCTTTGATCGCCCAATCTATCGAACCGTCATTTTTCCAAGTACGTTTCGCCCATTTTTTCCTCCGCGTAATTCCTCATTTTTCTTCTTAACCGTGAAGCAATCAACGCGTAATCGCACAGTCATTAACGCTTCGATTTTCTAGTGTTCAGGTATCTTTAATTACAAAAATTAACTGCTTGGTATCTACAACGAACGTTTTCATTAAAAAAGGAAATATTTTCAGTTATCAGCGACACAACTGGTTCGAACGTAGAAATAAAGATAACATTAAATTTCGTTTAAGCCGAGAGACGTATTTCCGGTTAATAAAATCAGCATCGATCTCGTGTCATTATTAATTCATCAATGATTCATTCCGTCAAGCTAATTTCCTAAACATCATTCAGAGACTATCCCTTCACGATATTGAATAAAAACCGGAAATCGTCTCGCTGGCACCCCAATCGACACGCGTGTTTCCGTTCGTCGTCGTGACGTAAATTCATCGGCATTTATCACCCTTCCCCGTTCATTCCATAAACCAGTGCTTCCCAACTTTTTTCCCGATCAGTAATTTCCTTTTATAATAATTTAAACATTTCACCCCTGTGCCTGTTACAAAACATTTATAAATTTTGAATTTTCTGTAAAAATAATTAATTAAAAATAACAGAGTCGACACCTTTGCAATTAGAAATATTTTGCAACTCCTTAGCCAGGTTGGAAATCCGAGTATCAAACGATTCTCCCTCGAATAGTTTAATCTGACCCGTGGCAGAAATTAATAATAAAAGAAAATAATGGTCGATTAACGGTGAGATCGATTGTCCCTATTAGGGACGTGGAATGGTGGGATTCCAGGAACGGAAGGACGGTGCGAATGCCGTAGGAAAGTGAGAGGGAAACGAAGGAACGATGGCAGCAGAAAACAGAACTTTGCTCTTCGTGGCCGACAGCCGTGAGTCATCGTCGCGTGGTCACTTCCAGCGACTTCATTCATCCTCGATGATGATACAAGAAGAGATCAGTCGTCTCCGTTCTTGATCCTCGAATCGGAGGGAAAACGAGCGGCGAACATTCGGACGCGTTTGAATAGGTTCGAGCTGTGAAAGACCGCGCTTAACAGAGACTCGAGAAACGAAAGAGAAGAATATAAATCGAGGATGAGTTTGATTTGCTCGATGGAGGTTTCTTTGGACGAGTAAAGGTGATAAAAAAAAATAAAAGAAGAAAAGATCGAAGCAGCATGGAGGAGCCACAGAAACTCTTTCGTCTACCGGGTACCATCGAGGAGGAGGAAGAAAAGGATACCGAGGTTCAAGGAAATATGGCCATTACAGAGAACCCGATCACAGCCGATTCACCCTTGCTAGGACAAAGGAACACTGGAACCTTGTCCAGTCTCCCCAGGAACATCACCCTCGTCAGGGTGAGCACCCAGAGCAGTAGCATCGGTGGTGTTGGTCGGCAAGATTCCACCAGGTAAGATTATTTTCTAAAATAATTTAACTAAAATAACACAGACCTGCGATGAGAAAAATACAAGGGAATTGATAGCTGAACTTTATGTATTTTTTGGTGCTGATTTCAAAAAAATAATGAAAAATTTCTATCACGTTTTCTTGAAAAATTCAATTTTACTTGGATTTTTATGAACATTTACTAGCATAAAAAATTTTGTTCGGCGTTGAATTTCTTCCCTCCTTGCCTGACCATTATTCTACCTACGGAATACCCCTCTGTGACACCTCCCTGTCGCAGGGAATCCTTATCTCATTACTATCTTGGTTCGATTGCTGAAAAATCAATTTGCCTCAGCAAGAATCGATTTATTTATTTTACATAGATTTAAATGGATAAGAATCACTGTTGCTAGAGATAGTACATGCAAAATTGTTCGCGAGAATTCCTTTTCAAATAGGATTTTAGCAAAAATATCGATATCGATTTTACAAAAAATCCTGACGTGATAGAAAAAAATGGAGGTCATTTTCGAAATCAGCACACTAAATGCTTCTCTTGTGTTTTTCAAATACTTCAATTTCGCTGGCCTGTGTAAACGACTGATCAGGATTTTTGTGACTTTTTAACTGAAAATCTAGATTATCAATTTTGATCATTCTTTGCAAGCCGATCACAGTGGTCACTGTGAGTGTTTATATAAAATAAAATCGGAGATCGGTGGTGTCCTTGAGAAATGATCACAGAAACCGATATCCATGTTAAATCTATGAAAGAAATCGGATTTTTAAATCACAATATTGCTCCAGTATGCCAGCGGATGGCGGCCTAGTTTAAACTAGTCATAGGAAAATTACGAATTATAATTTTTCGTGTTGGTTTTGGTATTTATAGGGTACTTCCGTGTAAAATAGTTAACGTAGGTTAGTATCATACCACAAACATTAATAATTCATAGAGCTGATATTATCTTTGGATTTAACACCACGATTATCACCTCGCCTATTTCTAGAATTTGTCGTACAATTAACGAGTGACAATTTTACCAAGCAGATATAATACTTGATCCAACCCTCGTTCTATCCGAGCATTGAAACAAAAAATTGAACAAATATTTCTTGCAAATATGAAAAATTTTTATTTGCTCGATGCGAAGTGCTAAAAAGAATACCGAAGGCAAAAACTAACCCGAGAGCTATGTTTTCTCAGGGAAAAAAAGTAGAATAGCACGGAACCGGAAATTTCTACTTTGCATGCGAAAAATCAACGTATCGCCGGTTCTAGCAAAGCAGATGTAATCGCGAGGCGATTACAAAACAAAACATGGCAGTTTAAGAATCACGTGTTACCCTATCCAAGGTAGCGTATATCGGGAAACGTAGATCATTCCGAGCCGAAGTATGTTATGCTTTGTTTGAGGAAATCATTTTCGGTGTCCCGCGGAGCACAGATGGTGTTTGGGATTTTAAATAAATGAGGAAAGAACCAGGAAAATACCGATCCTCCGACGAAAGCTTTCAAACAGCTTAATTAATGTTTTGAAGAAATGAAAACAATTTCTTTTTCGAATACTTGAAACAAATGTTAAAGCCAAACTCCCAGAGAATTCATCGGTCTACATTGCTGAATTAACCGCCATCTTTCAGGCCCTCAAAATTGCCCTCGACAAAGCTTACCAAAACAGCTTAATACTCACAGACTCCAAAAGTGTAACAACAGCTATCAAAAATCTAGAATCAAATAATGAAACTATATTACAAATCTTCGAAACTCATCAAAAAATGTAAGTATAATATAATCGGCAATGAAAAAGTCGATCAACTTGCCAAAAAAGCAGCAAACACTCAAAGGATAATTAATGAAGACAAATTACACTTATACGGAGAACTACTCAAGTGTTACACTCACTTATTAATGAAACTTTGCCAGCTTGTAGAGCTCGTCGAGCTTAACACGCCTATACCCCGTTTTGTAGGCAGACGGCTAATTGTTTAAAAGATACTAATAATTATAGTTAGTCAAAATAGAATATAGAATTTTAGTTTAGAATTATATAGAATTTTAGTTATTCAAAAAGAGACAAATTATCATTAAAAAAATAAAAAATAAAAAAATGGGAACCAGGGATTTGAACCGATGACCTTTAGATTACGAGTCATGTGTTTAACCACGGAGCGGATCCAAGACTCGCAATCTGAAGGTCCTCGGTTCAAATCCTTGGTTCTCAACATTTTTTTTTTTTTTTATATAATAATTTTTATGTAATAGTTATTCAAAAAGAGACAAATTATCATTTAAAAAAAAAAAAAAAAATGTTGGGAACCAAGGATTTGAACCGTGGATCTCTAGATTGCGAGTTGTATGTGTGAGTTTGTCATACTTCAGAATGTAAGGAGTAACTAACTGTAATTGTTAATATCTTTTAAACAATTAGCCGTCTGCCCCCAAAAGGGGGTATAAGCATGTTCAGCTCGACGAGCATAAACTATTAGAATCTTCACTCAAGGATAACTTAAAAAACAGTAAAATCCAGGACTTAATTAAATTTATAAAAGATACCAAATTGATAGAACAGATAATGTAAGTTTTACCTACTCCTTGATGTCCCTAAATAAAAAAAAACCAATATCAATCTGACGTGATTCGAACGACCGAATCGTTCATAATTATTTACAGGTATAATTTATCGAACGGTGGTCTATTAACGTCGTCCCTGCAATATATCGTTTTATCGAGGTCGCTTAACGAACTGTTTTGTTTACCCTTTACCTTTAATTCACGTTCTGCAAAAGGTGTCGTCGCGATAAGTGCGTTACAAATGCGAGTCTTGTCACCGAGTTGCAAAATTTGCAAACGAGCCGCCTGACCTTCGCGAAGACTCGCCAATTTATCTCTTTTCGTTTCACTTCTCCGAGATGTATTTGCAAAAACGAGTGCTAATTGTATTCGAATCAGCCGGACTGAATTATCCAGTTACGATGCGATGAGTTACGACCAGCTGCTGGTCTCCTTTTGTAACACGACTTTTGCGAAACTACGAAATTAATTTGCAAACCGTAGGACGGCTTGATTAATATCCTTCATCTGCATACGCGTCGTTCGAATGAAAAAACGCGTTTCATCGTTTATTTCCAATCGCATGATTTTTCTATCGTTTTATTATTTCTCCTGTATTTCTGTGCAATTGCGAATCGTCGCTGGAATTTCTGACATTCTCTCGGGTCTCTTTTCAAGAAACTCTGCGCCAAGACTGGAGAACGGTAACGAATGAAAGAAAAAAAAAAAGGAAACAGAACTAATTAAACGACGGTTAAAAATAACTGGAATTCTTTGACGAAGACCTATATTCGAAGCGTTGTCGCAAGATTGCAGCTACGTTTCATTCTTGCCGGATACGTTTTTACTGGTTCGTAACTCGACGCCTCGGTCGACGATGTTGTTAAGAAACTGACACGTTAAACACCAAGGAAATGCAATTAATTTATGAATAGTTCGAAGAATTTAACTCTTTCGCTAGCTCACCTTCCACGAGCCGAAAGGTCACCGATGTTAATCTATGATCGCGGTCAGAATTAATCGCGGAAACTCGTTACGATTTCTCGCGGCTGTATCAGATTTCGCGTTTCCTGTATGAAACGTGAAACACGTAGCGAATCTTCGTTAATTTTTCCTGAATTTCTATTAACCCCTCGGACGACGGACCATGGAGAGAGGCAATATTTCAATGCAATTCTATGTTTCATATTACTTCCATTTTCTAAATTTTACACGGTTCCTTTAAAAATATTATATTTTATAAATTTGGGTCCGTTATTCGAAGATTAAACTACGTTCGGCGATTTAGAAGCAATCGGCACACTTTGATCGATAATGATTCATTTTCCGTTCGATAGAAAAATGAAACTGTACTTCGATAAAAAGGAACTCGTTAATACGGATTAGTCTTTCCAATTTTTATTTATTATTACGTTACAAAGCGACGGCGTGTATCATTGATTTAAGACCCGACGATAAACGAATATCTATCGGGATCAACGACAACATGTACCGAGCTAACACAAGTAATCCAATTATTACCTGTCCGTCTAATCTGTCGCGTTTATCTGCGCGGATTAAATGTGCAATAGATACGATAAACGAAACCTAAGGACTTTAGATATATTGATTCCAATTCGAATCGAATACCCTACTATTGATGGTAAAAGAATTTTGAATAAATATTTCGTCACTCGAAAATTCAAGATTCCCAATTAAAACTCGCGAATTTCGAAAAATCTCGCTGAAAAAAAAACACGAATTTCTCTCTGGATGGGAGTGAAAAAAAGAATCTTCGTGCGCCTCAACCTCGTAGCTCGTCCGATCTCGTTAGTTTAATTAAAAGCTCGTTATCGAAGCCGACGACGTTACGGTTGGGCAGCTCGCAATGAGACTCGACCCACAGTGAGCTTACACCCGATCGCATTAACGGTGCTGCCACTTTCGATCCTTCGAAAGAACGCGAATCCCGCAAGTGTCCTTCGTCCTACGATGTCGAACCGAGGCAAATCAGTTGTCAGTACCGGAAGAAGGACAAGAGTCTTCTCGCCCCGAACGAAATCGAACTCGAATCGACGCCGTGAGAAACGAGACACCTGGTTGGTTTTGTTCAAAGAGGTAGAACATGTGTTCTTACAAAATGATTCGATTTAAACGTGAAGTTACCTCGTGAGAGAAATGAAAATTGTGTATCTTGTGAATCGTAAGAAAAATCGTGTCCCTTTGTGAGTAACTAAAGATCAATTTTCTGGAATCTGATTTTCGTTTCACGTTCATTGTTTCGAAATGAGAACGGTTTGCATGAAAATTATTCATTTTTCTATGCTTAATTCAATTATACATTCTTATCAATTTTCTGTGCATTTAGAATTGTGTCGAATATAATAATTATAATTGTTTTAAAGGAAAAAGAATGTTAGTTTCTTTTTCATGAACGATTCGTGAAACACGTGAGAGAAGCTGCTTTCGAGCACTCGTTCTGTAGAATTAATACTGTTCTCAATTGACGCCTACAAGCGATACGACCTCTTCCACTATGGGATAGCGCCATTATAATGCGCACGGAATAAATTACTAACAGCTGATGCGATTCAGCGTTACCGGTCTTGAACGAGCCCTTCCGGTAACGGTTTCTTTCTGCGATCATTGCCGAATCTCTTTTTTTCCACCAGGATGCTCCAATTCATCGACAAAGGATCGGGTTAATATGCTTTAATGACCGGGATACTTCTCGTGACTCTGATATGTCATTTTTTTACGCTAGCATTCTGTACTTCGTTAATTTTTCATTTGAAAAAGCGACGATTATATGTCACGCAACGAGATCCTCTGTTCCCATAAATTATTCAAAATGATAGAAATCCTAATTAATCTTCAATTAAAAAAATCTTATAATCCCTTTCTTGTGTTCTCTTTTTTATTGTTCTTGCATGGTTAATTAAGCAAGCTTGAAAAATTGATAAATAATTCGGTGGAAGGGAAATGTTCAAACAGATAAAGACACGTATCAACATAAATCTGTGCCACGAAATAATCCTTTAGAAAATACGTGGTAAAAGGGGGAACATGTTAATTCGTGATAAATTCGCGTGCATGCAGTAATTGATAAAATGTTTGAAAAGAGGATCTTAATCAATACGACAATTTAATCACCGTCAGAGATAATTTTGAATTACGATTTTCTTATTTCCGAGTCATCAGCGTAAGGTGACGATGTTAATAAACGTCACGAGTAATGTCGCTCAGCTGATTAAACTATAATGACCTAAAATTTCCTGCGACCTAATTAATTCAAACTTTTATCCAAAACTAACAAAATTTTTGTGCGATTTCAATCTCCAATTCCGTGTAAATTAAATATTAGAAAATATTGAAATAAAATGAAATAATCGCACGGAAAAATTTGTTTTCGTAGGTTATCGAGAGTAAAAAGTAATAAAATTATATCTGAATTTCGTGTTTACGAGTTCAAAATGTCACCGATATCAATTATTTTATTACCTCGTAAACAACATTAAAATTTGTATGATACGATAGTTGGAAAAGTTTCCCTTCGTTCGCGTAGGATCCGCTTTCATTGGGCGCGCGAAAACGCGTCCGCTTGCGTACGATCAGCAATTTCACCAAGTACGATTCTGATAAGAGATGCCTGCTTGTTGATAAGACATGCCCCCGGACTTTCAGTCAAACCGAGTCAGTGGAACATCGCGGCTGAGTGAATCTCGCCGGTCGTGTTTTACCAACACGCTCGCGGTTTCGCGAGTAACACTAAGAACGCGTTATCGCGGGCCCATTACGTTCGGTTAATGAGCAACAGATAACAACAATAAACGAAGAGGACACAAAAAAGTGCAATCTTGTAAACGATGTTTTTTCCACCCTGGATTTAATAGTAACAGCAATAAAACCGTGCGATAGCTTCGTCCTCTCTTGTTGAATCTGTGATATCAGTATTAATTTTCGAAGCTTTAAAAGCATCTAAACGATCAACATCTCTTTCATTTTGTGAGTAGTTCTCTGAGATATTGTGTCAGTCGAAGATCGAGTAATTTTATGTTAATTTAAAAATTTTGTATTATTACCCTGCAAAATTATAATTGTTAAATTGCAACGTTTGAAAAAATAAAAATAAGGTAAAGAGAAATGAAATTAGAATACACTACACCAGGGATCAAAATGTTAATATCAGTTTGAAATCTAAGGCTCTGGTGATTTTATATTAATCTGAAAATTTCTATCATCTGTAATTTGTAAAATTACCAATTGTCAAATTGCAACATTTGAAGAAATAAAAATAAGGTGAAAAGTAATAAAATAACGATACACACCAGGGATCAAAGTGTTGATATCATTTCGAGATCTGACTCATGATTTTAAAGCTAATCTGAAAATTTCTGTCATCTATAATTTGCAAAATTATGAATTGTCAAATTGCAATGCTTGAAGAAATAAAAATAAAGTGTAAAGCAATAAAATAACGATACACGACAGCAGGGATCAAAGTGTTGATATCATTTCGAGATCTGACTCATGATTTTAAAGCTAATCTGAAAATTTCTGTCATCTATAATTTGCAAAATTATGAATTGTCAAATTGTCATAAGACGGAAAGTAATAAAATAACAATACACGACACCGAGTATCGAAGTTTGCAATTACTAGAAAATTTTAATATAAAAATTCCAAAAGAGTGCAAAGTGTAAATGGAAGCGATTGAAATGCAGTTCTGAGCACCGATTGTTGTGAAACAATGACATGTCAAGGATGATCGAAGAAGATCCATCTAACTGTCGTTAGATATCGTGAACGAAAAATAGAGGAAGCGGAGGAAGTTGTCAAGGGAACCGATAGGACAGGTGTTTGCAGTGACGTAATCAGTCCATTTTCTTGCAAATGAAAAGAGCAAACGTTATTGTTAGTAACTGATAAGTGGAGACCGGTGGTCAGGTATTGGCTCGTGCGTATAAGACGTCCTACATCATTGCTCGTACATCAGTAGATCCTCCAGCGGTTAACTCGACACCTTGCGATCATCGAATACCCAGCTGTTTCATCGACAAACAAGATTGGACGATGATGTCGAAGAGGATTTAAAGGTCAACGTTTAAAAAAGATCTGGACGAGAAGACTAGTGAAATTTTTATCGTGTTCTAATTAAAGATAATAATCATCGAACGCCGAAAACAGACTGTGATCATAGCAAAATAACCCAAACAAATTCGATCGCGGTGGAAGTCAAAATAACTTCAGATAATCATCGGGAATGTCTTCGCTTTTTGCCTCGATGGTGATTATCATTGGAGATCGATCGCGATAAATTAAAAGACGATAATTAACAACGGGAACTGGATTTTCCATTTTGATCGCCAATAAAAGTGATAAATAAACAGAAACCGTACGAGGCTGGCAATTATTCAGGAAAGTATCAGGAACTATCGACACTCGAGGTGAGTGAAAGAGTGTAAGGATTTTTCTCGTGAGAAATTCCTTGGCTTATCGATAAGTCGCTGGTCGACGATCTAATCGCGGGATCTTCAAGATCGCGGAAAGAAGAGGTGTTTGCTTGAAGAAAAAATCCTTCGGCCAGGGATCCTTGATCGATAAGAAACGAGAAATTGAGGTCTCGACTAAGAAGAATAAATAATAATAAAGAGATGACAGAAAATTCTAAGAAAATCGTGTTTTGAATAAGAAAGTTCTTTCACCTCAAACGCACACCTGATTAAAAGATCCAACGAGACGATTGAATATAAAAATAAAAAAAATGAACGGAGAAGTACCAAAGAGTGCAGTTTCGAATGAAAAATCCTCAGCAGAGAAAGAAGAGAAACAAAATCTGTTGCCGACGTTGGTGCAAACTGTTCCGGTGATCGTAAAAGTACCAAACAGTACGTGCGCCTCGTTCAGAAGCAGGTAAATCGCGTTTCAGCAATAATTACCTGTCGAGAGAAGTTTTTTCGCTGCGCAATTGCTTCCGCGTTAATAAACGGAATAGCGTTGATTATCTATTCATTAATGCCGGGAATTAACGTTCATTGCATTAGGCTCGTCTCGCGTTTTCTCTCCGATCTAATGTACTTTTATCCCCGCCTCTTTCTCCTATTTAATTACAACCGGCGCGACATCTTAATTCGATAAGAGGATATTTTTCCACTGATCACTCTCCTTTTGTTCAGTTATCTAGTAAAATGTACGCGCGTCTGTTCTCAGAATAAACACTTCTATCCGTACGTGTTAATTGAATAATCAACTGGAAGAAGAAAAAAAAAAAAACACTAAAATTCCAACCGAAATCGCGATGCAAATATTTCAATTTTAAATATTAAATCAAAACATTCTTCGAGTAAGTGATAATAAAAGAAACACAAAAGTGCAATAAAACTTTTTTTACAAAATGTTTCTTCTAAAAGCAATTCTCTGTTATCAATTTATCCGAGAATTAAGTTGATTGAAAAATTGCAGTTCGATGCTTTGATCCCGGTTGTCGATTAGAAATCAATCGAGAAACTTTTCGCATTTCTCTCGCAGAATCATAGGAAAATCTGTTATCAGAATTTCACCGATAACGAGAAAATTCAGATCGATCGATATCTCGAATCGTTCGAGGTCAAGTATGCTATCGCGTACGAAGAGATCTCGTCTTGCGAAAGTATGCAGAAAGTACAGAATCCGATGAAAACAATCGTTATCGATATAAAAATAATCGGAAATCGTGATCGTTCTTCGATCCGATCGAACGATTAAACGGACGAAAGAAATCACGGTGTTCACCGCGTGTCGACGGCACGCCGATTGATTTACGCGTGGCAATAAATAAATTGGTAGATAACAGTTGCTCGGTTATCGTACGGAGCCAAAATGGCGACTTCCTTTCGACCGTGTAGCAAAGGGTGGCGAGCACGAAGGTCTCAGACGGATCATCGAACCGGTCGCGACCGAGTGTTGTGTCCGCGACGCTTCTCTTTCCTCTTAAAAAACCAAATTTCAAATCATCCGTTCGCATCGTAATTCGTTTTAAGTAATCGGTGCTCGATTAAAAATCAATTCCGATAGTTATTCAAACGATCAATTTCGATGAAAAACAGTGTTCTATCTTCGTCTTCATTAATCCTAACGAAAGGATGATCTAGAAATGGGTGTAAACGTTTGTTCAAAATTATCAGAGCTCCAAGTCTAACGAGGTTCGATAATTGTGTTGTTAAAAAGAAATTAGTTCGATTTCGAGTGAGTGTTTCGTTGGATTCGCGGTTTCTTTTTCGAGGGCGGAGAAAATTGACGAATTATCGAGACGATAGGGCTTGTCATGGAAAGCTTCAAGAACGATGACGTACAATGCGAAGAGATCCATCGTGAGTATCTTGGAAAGACGAAAATTCTACTGGAAGGGACATTTATTATTTAGTAGTCGAGTAGTATCACTTCCGAAAATGGAACATTCAGAGCAATTAGCTAAATAACACTTCCTAAATTTCTAATTGCCTATTTGTCATTTACGAATTCGGATGAATCTACGGATAGAAACTTCCCCGGTGGATGGAATAAAATTTTCCATTCCCGATGGTCGCGCGACGCGTTCATCTTCTCGAAGATTATCGGAATAAAAATATGCTAGTAACGCGATAAATTGTCGGTTAGAATTTTCATAACAAGTTCGAGGAAGAAGGAGAACGGGTGTGAAACAATCGGTCGACGCTGAACGAGAAACAATATGATCCTCGAAATTTGTTATTCAAATCTGGTCTGATCTTCTCGAGACAGCCGCAGACCTTGGTGACAATTTTGCAACGCGCGTAGCATTTCAGCGATCGGTGGCATTCGAACAAATAATTTATGCCTATGCATGTTGTGTAAGAAAGAAAAAAAATGAGAGAAGAGAAATACATATTGTTATTACGTCGCGTTCGAAAGATAACTCTTTCGTTTCGAGTCGTTCGTAATTTCCACTTAGAATTGATTTTCACACGAGTCGCGATCGGACAACGAAACATCCTTCGTGGAAGCGTACGTCACGATTAAATAATTGACGTTGCTATGGATAAGATCGAAACTGGTAGTCGTGCTAGAGATAATCATCTCGTACGAAATCACAGTCTCTAATCACCGTACGAGCTTTCCATGGCCTCTCCTATCTCTGTCGACCAGATAAAAAATTCTTATTGTTCAAATTTCAACTTTCTTAACCCTTCTAGAGAGCGGTCATTCTAATCGCAATCCGTTCCTTCAATTATTTTCGTGTATCAGAGGCAATCGGAAGTAGGCGACTACGTCGACGAAATTTTGCAATCAAAAACACGTTCGTCTTGTTAAAGAAGTATTCGTCTGCTAGAATAATCGTTTTAACAAGCGATCATAGACCTTAGCCAAACGAGCAGAATGAAAACGATACAAGTAACCATCAGGATGGTCCAATTATCATTTATCTGAAACCTAATTCCCGTTCGATAAACATTAGTGTTAAGATTTGGCGCGACTCGGAGATTAGAAACGAATATTCCATTAAAACTTGGAAAAATTTTCAGGAGTCGTTACAGAGCAGGTCCAACGCGGAAGCTTCGTCGACGAGCGGTGTTAAAGAACGGGGACTGCAACGTGCTGCAGTCGCGGATCTCCAGACGTTCCCTCCGTTTCCTCCAGGACATATTCACCACCCTAGTGGACACGCAATGGCGATGGACGTTGCTCTGCTTCAGTTTGAGCTTCGTCCTCTCCTGGTTAGGATTCGCGGTGATCTGGTGGTTGATCGCCTTCACCCACGGCGACTTCGACGAACGTCACCTGCCGCCATACCAGACGGAGAACAACTGGACACCATGCATCTACAACATATTCTCCTTCACCAGTTGCTTCCTGTTCAGCATCGAGACGCAGCACACGATCGGTTACGGTAGCCGTTCGACCACCGAGGAGTGTCCCGAGGCGATCTTCGTAATGTGCATTCAGAGTATCGCCGGTGTGATGATACAAGCGTTCATGGTCGGCATAGTGTTCGCAAAGATGAGCAGACCGAAACAGAGGACCCAGACGCTGTTGTTCTCGAGGAACGCGGTCATTTGTCAAAGGGACGGTGAATTGTCACTGATGTTCCGTGTCGGTGACATGAGGAAGAGTCACATAATTGGAGCTGCGATCAGGGCTCAGGTGATTCGTTCGAAGACCACAAAGGAGGGGGAGATATTGTCGCAGAATCAACAGGAATTAGCCGTCGGCACCGACGGTCAGAACGAGAATCTGTTCTTCATCTGGCCGACCACGATCGTCCACAAGATCAACGCGGACTCGCCGTTTTATAACATGTCCGCGGAGGACATGCTGACGGAGAGGTTCGAGGTAGTGGCGATCCTCGAGGGTACGATAGAGTCTACCGGGCAAACGACTCAAGCTAGATCCAGCTACCTGCCCCAGGAGATACTCTGGGGTCACAGATTCGAGCCGATGGTATCTTATTCGAAGGAGAGACAAGGATACGAAGTGGATTACTCGCTGTTCAATAGCACGACCCAGGTCGACACGCCTCTGTGCTCCGGCAGAGAGCTCGCTGAGTTTTATAAGGTGCAGGAGGAGCTTCGTCATGGGAACGGTAAGTGGTTCGGTACGTTAGGAACGATTTAGAGTTAGAAGATCTTAGTTGGAGACCTAACGCGTTCGCTGCAGTGGATAATTGAATGACTGGCAGCGAACTTGTTAACGAATGCAAGAGGAATGATAGAATTGCAAGCAGGGGCAAATTAGTCGAGACTAGCGCGAAATCTTGGCAAAAGCAAGTTTTTCTTGGATTTAAGAAAATGGGTTACCCCCTGATCGAGCTGATTTTCCTTCATCTGGCGAATCCAATGGTGGTCATCCCATCCCTTAACTCCCCCGAGGGGTCGGAAACTGAAATGATCCGAAAAGTGGTTTTTTGCACCGATCTTAATGAGTACATCGTTTCTAACCTGACCCCACTTGCCTCCATCCCGCCCCACAGGGGTCAAAAACTGGTCCCAACAGGTCCTTAGGTTAGGTTAGCATAGGCAAAAAACCACTTTTTGGACCATTTCAGTTTCTGACCCCTGGGGGGGGGGGGGGGGGGCTATCTATGGCAAAAAAATCAGCTCGATAGGAGGGTACCCCATTTTCTTAAATCCAACCCAGATTTTGTTTTCGATGTTCAAATTCGATTCCCTCGAAAACAAAGTCCTTCCTTTTCCATCGAAACACTCTCCTACCCCGCGCTGCGTATTGTATCAATTGCACGGAACGAGTCGTTCGAGTTTTACTAGAGCGGAATGTCCGGTGCAATTAAAAATTTCCGTCGCGTGGCATGGCAATAACAGGTTGCAAAATAACCACTAACGATCGGCAACAAGGTCGTGCGTGTACGTAGTTTAATTGGGATGCATACGCGAATGAAACTAATCGATACCGAAGCAACCAGCCCGCTAGCCTCGTGCACCAATCTCTGTTCCCGCTTCCCTTCGCTTTCGGCTTTCGCTTCGTCTCTTGCATGTTTCATAGCTCTGTGAACGGGTTTCGTTTTCTCTCTTTGATTCTGTTGGTGCTGGATATATCGTAGATGGAGGCCTGAGGAAAATTCCTAGCGAGCCGAAATCCGCGACGGTGATAACGAACCAACAGCCAGACGCCACGGAGTTCCTTGTGTCGCAAGGACACTCTTCTTCCCACGGATCATCGAAACTTCACATTGACATTCCGTCGATCGACGACTGCCCTGGGGTCTGAGCAAACTTCCGCTTTAAAATAAGGAGAAGGGTACCACGGTTTACGATATCCAGCTCTGCCGAAGATATCCATCGTCGAAACGGCTTGGAAAAACCTCTCCCTTTTGGCGTCAGACGATTTATACCAACAGAAGGAAGACTCTCTACCAACTATCGCTATTAATGAATCTCTTTAACCCTTTCTATGCTATCGTCCCTTAAAGGTGTCTCGAAAATTCAGAAATTTCATTATTTTAATCAGCGAATCTCTTAGCGCTGAAAGGGTTGAAAAATCTTTCCGAGACTGATGGATTTCACGAAGGAAATCTCGAAGAATTGTGACTCTGATCTGTCTGTTTTCGTGCTTCTGTCTGTCTTTCGTGTTGTCCTGATTCCGCTGAAGATCGTATTGCGACACGATGCGAGGCAACTGGCAGGTTGTTGGTAAAGGGTTTATATAGGACCAATCGCTGAATCACCCATTTTTCCCGTCAAAAATTCGAAAATTCAATTACAATTATCCCCTTTTCCCGTGTAGAAAGATATCTCTGCGACGAAACCCTTGTCTAAGCTCTGTCTAAGCGTTAGGCTGATTTCCAGGTGCGATAATCGACGAGGATTTCCTAGGGGAGCCCTGTCAGGACGCCCAGTGGCATTGCGGTCATCGTCCAGCCACCGTGTCTAACCATCACCACCATAACCATCCCGTGACGTACGTAGACAGTGCCAGAAGCGAGACCAGCACCGAGGAGACGATACCCTGTCGTAACGCTTGCAGGGACACCTCCGTTTATCACGGACCGACGATACCGTCTCGAGATCACGGCCAGTACAAGATCCTCGACTTAGATCCCGACGGTATTCAAGTGATGGCCGAGTGCGAGCTTCAGCAGCTGCCGGAAGCGGTGAACAAGGAGATCCTGAAGAACAGTCGCGAGATCATCTTCGAGGAGCCAGAGACATGGAGAGAAGGGAGCCCGTTACTCAGATCCACCTGTCGACGTGGGGTAAACAAACATCCTCTGCTGGACGAAGAGAGGAGATCATTGAACAGTTCCAGAAGAAGCCTCTACCATAGGAACATTATCAGAGGGATGGAAGAGGAGAAGAGATCTCTCGATGGTTCCAGGAAGAACCTTACCGCGTCCAGAAGGTATCTGTTGATTCCTTTGGACAGCAAGACTCCAGAAACGAACAAGGACAATCTTCCGGTAACCAGAAGACACACTGGGAGCAGGGAGCGTTTGAATTCGATGAGGAAGAACATTTGTGTGAAAGGATCGAAGGAGACACCGGAATTGATCAACCGAGGGAGATTGAACTTCAACGACGACAGACTGATCATCGAAACGGAGAAATGTCCGAAATTACCTCGGACCCAGGAGTTGTTGTCCGAAAGCAACAGGACGTCTCTGTCCGATCCGAATCTATCACCGAACGGGTATGCTTCCTCGAGGTGTTGCCAGTCGCCGATTCTGGGTCATCCTATATCTCCAGAGTCCGGGTTCTACGAAGGAACCCAATGGAGCTCCAGTCCGGAGTGCGTCAGAAAGGATCTCCGGGTTCCAAACGAAGCGGCGATGACGAGAAACAGAAGGAGCTACGAGAATGCTCAACTACAGGACGTGAACGAGGCTCTCTCGAGGCCGAACAGCGACAACAGCTCGCTGGACAGCGACGAGTGCGGCAAGAATTCGTGCAACGACACCGTTCCTCGGAAATATCCCGAGAGGAACGTTGTTTCGAAACAGCCGATCTCTTACACGAGCGTCTGACGAAGAAAGTGTGCCTTTCCCCGGACCTTAGTGCCTTATCGCTTCCAAGTGCCAGTGCGATCGCGTTTTACGTACGATTCGATCGTTTCCGAAACAAGGTATTCGTGATCGGTCGTTGCTCAACCCTCGATTGCAAAAACGTAACACACTTATACGTTTCAGGATTTTTTTTTTTCTTTCTTTCTTTCTTTCTTTTCAATCTACAATCGCGATACGAGAAATTCTCTCGGTCGTACTTTCTCTTCGTTTCGTCAGAACGATTAATAAAGGAAGGATATTTTAGATTCTAGTCGATTCCGATTGGTCGTCGAGGGTTGAAGGACTGAGAATAAAGATAGACTAATCCACGGGCTTGTTTATATAATTAGATATCGGGTCATTCCATAAATAAGTGTCGTTTTTCACGCGCAAGTTTAATTAAGGACGGATTCTTATGAAAATATTTTCGAAATTTCGTCGAATAAAGAGCGATGTTAATTATGGAACGAGTCGATCGATTTATTATCTACGAAAACCGAGTATTTTTCTGATTCATTTTTTGCATTGATTGTAAATCGCTTCGAGGCCGCAGGTCGGTTTCGAGGAATCAAACTCGCGTTAATTTAGAAAAGATTAATCTCGTAGAAAGCGTATGTTCTTCACGGATATATTTTCGAGAATGTGTTCGAAAGCGAAGCATGCAAAACGCTTTAGTCAAGTGAATCTCTCTATCTCTCTTGACGATAAAAAGAAAAAAGAAAACGAAAGTTCGAGCATTTAAAGTCAGCATGTTTTGTTTATAGACTTAGGCGTATACTAGGTATCGCGAGAATGTCTCTGCACTAAGATGAAAAGTGTATTTTTGCAATTTAGAAACGTACAAACGTGTTAGCGAATTAAGTCGAAGACGAAAATCACAGATACATTGAATATTTCTGTGCTTTCTTCGGTTTCCGAAACTTTCACGATCGTACGCGAACAAACTTTCTACACTTTTGCGCTCATTCTCGAGGAACAAAACGATCTGGAAGTTTGAAACTGTATTGGCGATGGAAGACAGAAGAAAATCGTCTTTTATCTTATAAGGAGAAACGTAATTAAAAACACTCGTTTAATTAAAAAAAAAAAAGGATAATTAAATAAAAATCATAGATTTTTTCCTTGTAAGATAAAGTAGCCATTCAGCTACGAAAAAAGTGCCTTGTTTCTATCCTCGCCAGAAAGAAGGTAACGTTTGTTCATTATCCGATCAGCCTCGTTGATATTTATTGCTTCCACGTTATTTTAAGTAATTAGCTGGTCGTTTGTATATAAAATGTAATTACAAAAAAGACAGTGTCTTCGATCGAGTATCGGTTGAACTCGGTTCCACTGTTTCAGCCGGATCGATTGAGAAAACAATTATTCTGATATTTAATTTAGGTGGAGAGCATCGAGAAAACCTCGGTTTGAATGGTTGTAACTCTGAGTGTTCCTCGGGGACATGGATTAACCTGCCATCGTGACTTCTAGCGTAAATTGTGAAAATGTTATTTGTAATAAAGACCATTCGAAACCTACATCAGTTTCTACGTTCCCTTAATCCTCGAATTATAATTTTATCAAAGATTTCTTATTAGGTCACCCCTTAATTTTAATTTTAATTTAATTTTTCCTTAATGAAAATAGAACGCAAACGATTTCGTCTGAATATCGCAAACGTTGTATCGAAAAAAAAAACAAAAAAACAAGAAGAAACAAATGAAAGCGATATGATACGGATTTCGCGAAGTTTGCAATTGAAGAATTGTCATTTCGCGAACGATCGCGCGTTTTTCTTGAACGAAACGCGTTTCGATGCTCCACTTTGATTGTTTCTCTGTTCGACGTAGCCCTCTGCTCCTTAGTTTTGCAAATAGTCGTGACTCAATTTAAATACGGCCAATTATTTCGAAATGCTGACTCGACGAACTTGGCTACCAACCGCATGAACGACCGGCGACCGAGGACGAGCGTTGTTAACAGTGTGAAAGTATCGACATTATGCCGAGCACGAAGGGTAAGTGATCGAAGAGAAGACGTTTAAAACTCGTTAACTTCGTCGTACGTATCTGTACCAATCGTTCCGATTACTTGTTTACCGTTTTTCCTTTCGAAACATCGAGAAACGAAATGGTGATCGAATTTATCCGAATCGAATCCGTTCGAACGTGTTACGTACCGATGGCTCGTTTAAAACTTCCACATTTCATTAAAACGTATAATAATAAGAAATGTAGCGACAAGTTAATTACGACCTCGAGAAAGATCGAATCATGAACGATGCCGCGATTCTGAAGTTGACTGACGATTGCAAAATATTTTACCGACGAGATTTTCATTCTGAGATCGGACATGTTTGGACGCGGTTCAAAAACAAAGTTCAATATACAAGGTGGTTCAGATTCTTCTGTTATACCGTGCCAATATCATTTAAGAATGAAAGTACTACTTTAACTTTTGAAAATTTACCAAATTTTTCATTTCTTTCACTCTTGCAGTTTTCGAAAATTTGAATATTTAATTTTAGCTCAAGCTTTTATTTTAGCTTTAGCCTTAGCTTTCGCCTTAGTTTTCGCCTTAGCCTTAGCTTTCACCTTAGCTTTCACTTTAGCTTTAGCTTTAGTTTTCGTCTTAGCTTTCGCCATAGTTTTCGTCTTAGCCATAGCTTTAGTTTTCGCCTTAGCTTTAGTTTTAGCTTTCGCCTTAGCTTTAACTCTAGCTTTCACCTTAGCTTTCACTTTAGCCTTAGCTTTAGTTTTCGTCTTAGCTTTAACTTTAGCTTTCGCCTTAGTTTTCACTTTAGCCTTAACTTTAGTTTTCGCCTTAGCCTTAGCTTTAGTTTTCGCCTTAGCTTTAGCTTGACCTTTCACCATAGCTTTCACCTTAGTCTTAGCTTTAGTTATCGCCTTAGCTTTCGCCTTAGCCTCAGCTCTAATTTAAGCTTGCGCTCATTCTATCTCTTTAATCTTAACAAATTTTTAAATTTAAACTCAAATAACCTTTGAAAACATACAGATTCTTACGGTGAAGACGTGTCTCTTCTCTACCCGGATAACCAGAACGATAAGTTCAATAGATTCTCAGAAACGCACTGCGAGACACCGATAATCAAAGGTGTGGTGAACCAACTAAAAAAATGGCCGACGGATTTGTTCTTCGCATTTCTAGCAGCCTGTCTGATACTCGGAAGTCTTGTATTTCTAATATTTGTCACGGTAGCTGTTTCTTTGCCAACCGTCGTTTGCTGTCGGTAGGAAGAAAATTTTAAAAGATCCAATTTTTCTTTTCATACGATCATCGAAATGATTGTTTGATATTTCAGAGAGGAAGAAATGGCGATGTTAGAAATGGGACCATCGCCCAGCGTCTATTTCCTTAAATTGGGGAACCAAAACTGGTCCACCATGGACCTTTGCTATATCGAAACCGCTGCATACAGACATCCCGACTTAAATGTAAAATTTCAATTGAAATATTTAAATTTCAACGTTAATAACGTCGGAATTTGTCACGCAGATATATTTGATAAAATTAACGAGGGAGGAGCCTTTTGGAACGAGTTTCAACGAATCCATCGTAAATAAAACAAATTCGGAATCCAGACAATATGATTCTTCGTTGGTAACTATGGAAGATAAATTGAGAGAAAGATTAGCACGTGCTAATTCTAATATAAAGAACATCAATGTCTCCATCGACAGATTTTTCAAAGGGTAAGATAAAAGATCAAGTAACGAAATTCTTTGATTGATTTAAATAATCTTCTTTTCCAGCTCGAAATTATCGAAAATCGTAAGAGAATTGAACGACGAAACGCTGGAAATTGCAGCCAAATCCCAGTTACTTTGGAGTGTTCCTGGAATTGCTATCCAACCAAATATGTTCTGCAATTTAGACTCTATGAAAGAGTTCCTTTGCAAGTGAGGATAATTAACTCAATTAACGCTCGAGTGATAAAGGAGAATAGAAAAAATAAACAGTTTACTTTGGTCGCGAATTTTTCAGCAGGAACAAAGAGAATCAAGAGGAATGTCTGCCAGATAAACTGGCAACTATTGAACCAGATAACGATATTCAGATAACAGGAGTTCCATGCCAGGCTTTCATGGGATTCCTTTTGCAAGAAATATCAAAGAAACACCAGAATGGAAAATTCACGTTAAGAGAAGCTTTAAAGAAATATTGTCCAAGGTGAAACTCGAATTTAAAATGTTTATAAATGAGGATCAAATTTATCGATTACTACATTTTGTTACAGATCGCATTATTGCCCGGAAATCCGGATTCTCGACACGAAGACAAAATGTCCAACCGATGCTTTAAATTGCCCTCTGATTTATTCCAGCATTCTGATGCACGATTATCTGAATCTCGAAAATCTTATAACGTGACAATACTTTATTAATAAACTGTACACGTGTAGTTTACAAAATACAAAATACAAATACGCTGTATCAAATTTACACTTGTCTTGATCTTCGATATCTATGAATTTTCTTTTATTTGAACGTTCTCTGTTCGTAAAGACGAAGGACACCCATCCATATCCAAACTTCTCCGACTAAATAATAAAATTTATCGTTCAATTAATAATCTACTTTGATAATTAAGAATTTGAAAACGTACGTATCAAGAGTATCGTTCCGAACGCGTAAGAGAAGGCCATTGAGGTAGGGAGATTCGAGAAAAGTAGCCAAATTACAATGAAAGCACCGCTTACATCGTACACCAGATCAATCAGATAGAGTATTATCGATGGAATGCTCCAGCGTGGACGTTTCTATAATATTCAACTAATAAAAGAATCTTCTTTAACCCTTTAACCGCGGGTGTGATTTATAAACCAAACACTAAAATTATAGCCAGAGTAATTTTTAAAATAAAAATAAAATAAATACAATAAAAAAAAATTTTTTAAAATAGAATATCATTTCAGTAATATAATTTAAAATTAGAATATAATCGGCTAAAAGTACCCGCAGTTAAAGGGTTAATACCGAAGAGAAACGATTGATTCTCACCGTTACAATGGAATAGGCAAGCATGCCGATTGCCAGGAAAGAAATCACGGAATAAGAAATCGAATACCCTAAGCTCAACGTGACCACAGCTTTGTGCGCGTATCCTTGAGTAATTTTACCATTTGCCAATATACTATACTCGGTTCTACCGTAACGTACGCTATGGTAGCTCATCAACAGCATACAAGTGGATAATAATAAAGCTTGACAAATTCGAAGATTTTCATTTTGCTTGAGAGTGAATGATTCCTGGTCCGCTGTATCGGTAGCGGATGGATAACTCGTTTTAATCGTTCGGTTTGGGAATCCATGATCGATCATCTAGAAAATACATTTTTACAAGAGAAATCGGAAACGTTAAGAGAAGATGAAATTTTCACGAGGACTCACGGTCGATGTGTGATAATCTCCGAATACGGATTGAACTCTACCAGGGTACTGGTCCATCGCGAGAATTTTTCCAATTTTGTTTGTCCCTTCGAAAACGAAATACCGAAAACAGATGCTTGAAGTGAATATCACGGCGTTATTCAGATTGTTCGTCGGAGAACGAATAGGAAAATCGTAAAGTGCATCTCGCGCAACCTCTAACCGGACAAATTTTCGTGGATTCTATCGAAAGAAAATGATCGAGCCTGTTTATCGGATAAATCGCGGGAAAACTTAGAAGAAATGGCGCGACGTCGTAAACGTTCCATCTTCTCTTCTCTGGAAACGGTGGTAGGAAGGAATAAGAATTCGGTAAGATTGAGATGCACCTGTGTGCGTGTATGTGTATTGTTTCAACGTCAAGAACATAGCAGTATTCATAATAGATGCATCGAAATTGAAACGAAATCATCGAGCTCTGATTTGTACAAAATCAATCAAAGGAATCGTCCGTGTTTGATAACATCGTTCGATTAATTAATTAACCCGTGTGTTTACAAGGGACGATCGAAAAATTTCCTAGAATTATTTGGTTAACCTTTGAAGTTTTACGAAAGAAACAATGAGATTTCGATGTAGACGAAAGATCAGCGAACGTAGAGGATATTTAGTTGGTGTTTCTTGTAGTATCGAATGAAAGGATGATGAAAAATGAATGAATAATGAATCTGATACTTTTTCAGCAGATTGGACAATTAGCATGCACCCTGTGCGATCATTACATCATGGGAAATTCGATTTACGTGACATTGCTCGGCTTCATTGGGACCGTTAGTCCATCGTAATACTCGTTAATTGTTTTGTGTATTGAGCCATGATTTACTTGCAATTAACCGACTGAATTGAGGATTATTTATCACCGATATTTTATTAATGTTTTTCTATTTACCAGGTGATCACTGCGTTCGATATTGTTCGAATAATGAATTGCAAATCTACGAGTAGATCTGTGTCTCAAACGAGGAGCAACGAAAGTGGTAAAATGATAAAAATAATTCTATTTGAAATATTTATCGTACGATCTAACGATTATTTTATTTTATATCAGTCCCTTTAGAAGTGGAAAGGGACCTTAAACTGATGACTTCGATTCTAGGAATCGAACATTACACCTTTATCATGCTGGGTGCAATTACAGTAAGTGATTGAACGAAACTTTTCTTGCAAATTAATTAATTAATTATTTTCGATTAAATATTTTCTTAGGAATACCCTGTGTTGCACACGCCCTGGCTGTTGATGCAACTATGCGTGATCATCGTGGAAATCATCGTATTCTGTGTGAAAGTGTTTATAGACGGATTGCATATGAAACGCGATGAAATATTGCAGTCTATTTTAACTGTGCACAATTGGCTCCAAGTCTTTTGTTTATTCTTTCGTCAAGCGCGACATACTCGTTAAAATCGATACGAAATTGACATAAGTATGCAAATTCACGAATAATTAAATTATTGTAATAAAATTAAAACGATAAAAATCGTATTGTAATACTTGAAGTTGTATACTATATCCTTGTTGTTTTTTGTTTAAAATACAGTTTATAACCGACAAATATTTCTATCATGAATAAATAAGTAAATAAAGTTCGATAATAATGGTGAAATTAAAAAAGAATCTCGATTGGTCGAGAATGAAAGACGAGAAAGAATATGAAATGAATAATCGCAAGAAAAGTTTCTCCAAGGTACACAAAATGTAATTATATTTCGCATTAAATAATTACATATCTGGTAACTTTATTAGGTAGAAGCACTTTATTTGACTCTAATGTGTTTTTCAACATACTGTTTGAGTTCTATTGCTTTGGAAACTGGAGGACGTTCTTCAGTTGGGAATACAATGACAAAATCAGCTGCATTTAATGCACTTTTCAGGAGAACTTATAGTAATAATATTTAAATAACATATTATGTTAATAGAAAATAATCTGATAATTCATTTAAAAAATATTAAACGAGATATCTCGTGTGAAAATTCTATATAAAAATTCTGCTCTATTTGCAGATTTAAAAATTATAATTCACGTGAAAAATGTAATCAGCGGACTGATAAGTACGGTAATGATGGTACTCGGTGATAAATATGGTATTCCTTATCTCTATTTACCGTGGTTAGTGAATACCATGAAAGGAATGGCTTTATATGAAGGACCAACGCTTGTGAGCCTGGCTAATGTGCTCCTACCCAACGTTACCGTCCCTACCGGGACTTTTATCTTTACCACCTTCTTTTTATACGGTACAAAGATCACGTATATTCGCCTTTTATCAATTAACAAATCAATTAGCAAATTACCCTATTACAGCGGAAGAGCTTTTTATTTGGAGCGACGTTTTCGCGAAATTTCAACATTGTTGGAAAGATTATCACTATCAAAAGCAAATTGCCATGGAAAAAATTAAAGAGAAATTGTTTATTGCACGTAACAAGAAAATTCTCTACCAAGGAAACAGGAATTATAAAAGGAATACCATTGTTGAAAAGATAAAAATTGAACAAAAACCAGTGGAAATTTGTAACAAAATTAATAATTCAAATTCTTTGGATTTTCGTTTGAGATCCATTAAAAGTTCAATTGGGGATAATAATTTATTTCCAAGTCAATTTTTAGACGTGACTGGTTAATCAACTTTTTACATAATTTTTAGAATTTATCGAAGTTTTGAAACTTATTTTTACATAATATTTATTGTTCATACAATTTTCATTTTTTTATTAAATTCTTTAATAATATACAAATAATTAATGTCGACATTTGGCGTACGTAATTCTTTATACCGTATTTTTCAAAAAGCGTCACATGCAAGCAATAAAAATTGTAAAAATAAGACACTTACATTTCGTTGTCTTCGATCAGCCACCAGTTACTGCGTGTTGTTTTGCTTCTACTGCGATGAAAAGGTGAAGATGGCTCGTGATCACAATAATTTCGTCGTTGGTATCGAATCAAACAGCTAATAAGGGTGTCCATTGCACATACTGGAAACACATGTTTGTTGGTTGTACATTTTTAAGATTTTCTAATTAGATAAGTATTTTCGATGGTTATAAATTATATTACTTACGAGATTTCACTATGACGAGTGTTTTCAACACACTGAGTACTTTATTTTCATACTTTTGCCACTTTTTCACTCTTAAAACACGGAGCCGAAATTTCATGCGTTTCGAACTAGACGCCGGTATCCAAAATGGCTGCCACTTTTCAGATTTCGATAGTTTCCCGCTGAAAGTTATGAAGTATGACGTCACACATTTCTACGAGAACTTTCGAAACAGAAATATCATATTTTATGCCAGAATAAAGCACATAAAGTGCTTTATTCTGGTTATTTTGTCAGGAATGATGTTAATTCAAGTGAAAATCGCCAATTTGAAGTAAAATTTGCAAATATATATTGATATACACCAAGGGTAGGTAGCTAGCAATGGACGCCAACAGGCATATTATGCTTTATGCAAATATTATCGTACATTATCAAGACTCACATATACATTATTATCTATTATGAAGATGGATCGATAATTAACATTCTGTGCATACTCACCTATTCGTAATTAACAATTTTCCAGCATTTTTCTTGAAATTCATAGCACCACGCGACCTGCCTCTACAACGAAACTGCGCGAAATAATGGAAGCTGCGCATAATTTGAAAGGGTCGCATTGCGCAGATCATGAATATCGAACAACTTTAATCGATAGCAATCTTCAATATATGTAAATTGTTTAAAACATATTTCTAGCCTCATTGTTATAAAATTAAGCATTCTAATGTTGCAGTTGTAGTAACTAAAATCAAGAGAAAATATTAATTTTAATTATTATATCTTAATTTATGATTGACCTACTTCGATATATCGAACTGATTTTGTTCGATACAAATTGACCGTTAATGTTTAAGTACATTATAGAACTGCGTATAACCGATGTTAGAATTATAGATATAATTAAAAACTGTGTATATTTTCAAGAAATTATTGAATTCCAACTATCACATTTGTAAAATAAGTGTATCCCGCCTTTCAGCTAGAAATGGCGGTAAAAAGAACACGCATGCGTTACTGGAGTGCAGTTCACATTGATGCAGGTTTTATCGTTGTACTCATGTTGTGCTTGACACTCGTACATACAAGTTGCACGCGTGCCGGTAATAAACCGTTGTTTGGTATAACGGTCGTTCCGTTAAATCTCTCTGAGCTTTTGTACATAAATCTGCTCATAATTATTAAAATAAAGCTTGTGATTTTCAAAATTTTGCGTGCAAACAACGAGCAATATAGTGAAAGCGTGTCTGTCCTTAAAAGAACGTTAATTCTTCAATAATTCGAGGAAAGGCGAGGTATGTAACTTTCTTTATATTCTATATACATTAATCTTCTTCTCCACGTTTTTGTTACATAATTGATAAAGGTTTATACCAATAAAAATGTTTAAAAATGGTGTTTTGCATATTTACAGAACAAGGTCGTCCTTATTTGAACGATTTTAACGGATATCATGCATAACGTGGAGTTTATTTTTATACATAGATACTTAATTATCAATGAGTTCACGCTTAATTACTCGCTTAATAACAAGCTTATTGTTACAAAAAATATTTGGATCCGCGAGACGTTGTGATATATTCATGGATATGTGTGTATAGAATGTTATTGAATGTAAAGTACAGCGTGTCCCGCGTTACATACACTTGTAACGACAGGTCACGTGTCCAGTATTTAAGTGTTCATATTGTAGAACACCGACTTGTATTAGTATGACTGCGTGTGGTTTCTCGACGAGATCCATATTTTTGCAAACATTGTTTGCGAAACATAACCTTTCAATTACATGAATATATTTTTAATTTCTTAATGACATATATGTTACAAAAAATATGAGATACTGTATGACAGTAAATGTTATTCTTTAAAGGTTATGAGAAAACTTGTTCAATACAGGTTTTCAAGGTTTTCTAAATGATTGATACAGTTTTCACAGTAATGGTCTTTTGTTACACATTGGGAAATTGCTGTAAATTGCAATAAAAATTGCTGTATCAGTGTTGTTTATACATAGCTTATTCTTTTTATTGCATTTATGGTACATTAATTTCAATGTAACAAATAACAAGGATCAGGTAAAAAATATGACAATCAAGAAAATATTATCAGAAAAATGCATTTTGTTTAAATAAACACTTGGAGAAAAGTTTTGCAAGCTTATTCATAAATCTTGTTATTTTATCTATGAATTAGCAAAACTTAATCTCCAGGTATGATGGATGCTTTCTCTTGAAGCATCTTTATTTTCCTTAAATCTTAATGGACGAATTGTAACTCACAATCCTTCATACGTTATACATTTTGTTGGTATATGTCCTCTTTTTCGCAGTAACAAGTTGTAGCAAAAGCTAAATTCTTCCTGCTGGCACGCATCGTTGCTTGTGTTGGCTCGAACAAGTTTAATGCTATGCTAATGCATATTACAAACATGCTTATTTCTCTAACTGTAAGGCGATTGAATTATACTATGGGCATCTATATTATACATTACGCTCTGTGTTTAAATTTTTAAGCAAAATTCAATAAATTTCACTTTAGCCTCTAGAAGATCTGAAATTACTTTGAGTTTCAAATCAAGCCTAATATAAACTTAAATATCTATTACAGCTTTTTGAAATAAACCGATTTGAAAAGTTGTTGACTAAATGTATAGACTAGAAGAAGTACGATAGCATTCTTCTTACATTAATTGACTAATTTCACTGCAAATAAAAACTGAGATAACTTTGTATTCTGTTCCGTAATGTTTCTGTTCTACTTATCATAGTACATCTTAGTTTCTTCAGCCTGGAAAGCTTACTTTCTTCCTACACGTTATCTTATATTCATGCACTTATAAATATTTTACGTTGCTGTAAAGATCTATATGAAGAGAAGATCTTTGAATTATTCAAACACTCAAATCCATCATAATGTATAAAAAGGCCGAAAAAATAAAACATGAAAAATCTAGAAGTATAAGATTTAGAATTTCAAAACCTTTTTATCGCACAGGTATCTTGCACAACCCTTCTCTACATATAGTTCTTTGCCCAATTATTTATCTTTTTATTTATTTTCTTTTTTTTTTGTCAAAGACTAGAGATTATTTGATAAATTGTACAAAACATTGCGTTCAGAAGGATGGCCAAAAATTGTGCTCCTTCTTACTCGTGGTGCCTTACACAGATTCAAGCTAGATTCGACAAACAATATGCAACACACGTTACCTGTTAATAAAACAAATGATGCGCCTTCGAGGTGGTCATTTTCAATTGTCATTTCAATTTCTGAAAAAGAAAATACACTGAAAGTTTGTCCCAATGCCCGACCCTGTATCCAAACTGTTCCCCTTAAATATCAAAGTTTATGCGATACACCTGAGTTTCTTTAATTTTCAAGATAGAATTGACAACTCCTCAAGATTGATCATGAAAGCAGGATTGAAATTTCACATCTCACCGAGCAATTCGCATCAGTGAACCAGCTGATTCACTTGATATTTGGACAAACCGAAGCTTTCCAGTCCAATCAGCGAGCCATGTTACATTATGGATGAACATTCTCTCCTGCCGAGCGCACAGCAAGGGTCGCCGACATCGAAACAGTATCATAACTCTTGGAAACGACCTTAGACCTCGAAGGCCTCCCACTGCTACGCTATCATAGCCGCGATGGGGCTGAAACGCATTATTTTGCTTAGCAAGATCCACGCGGCCGAGGCGAGGGCGCAAAGCGTAACTCCGCCCCATCCGAAGTCCATGCTCCAGGAGCTGGTGAATCGTCTCGCTTTGAGGACGTTACGCGGAGCCGGTCCACCGATAACACCATCCTCAGGACCGTCCAATATCCGTGCCCCTCGATCCTGGGCTCTTTTGAAATGAATGATCGTCAAGGTGAACAATGCGAAAGTGGCTGCAACGATGAACGTTCTCAATTAAAAATATTATCTCTTCTTTTATCTGAAATACTTGAAACCAACAGGATTTATTATTTTGCATTCACATTAAAATATACGTTTGAAAGGCTTCTAGATTCTGGAGTGTTTGAGGATATCTTATCGACGATAAAAGATGTTTACCTTTTATCGCAAACTCGCTGGATACGGAGGATACGAGCAAGAAGGAAAACTATTTTATGGAAAAAGAAAACATCTTTGGAATTCATGAAAGGAGGTCGGAGTCTTCTATTTAACTCCGGATAAGCATATTTCTTGGATAAGTAAATTATGGAACGGCATTCGTTACATTGAACGCTTGAATTTATCGACTGGCTTACAAAAAAGCAGGATTGTAAACGTATCGAACTTGAAACTTTGTAATATGCGGTCTCTGCTGTTACGGTGAGCAGCTCGTTTTGCGGTCGACTTCGCTAGAGAGCGCAGAAATCCTTGCGGTCACCGAGTTTCCCGCAACCAGGATATGCTTCACACCGATGAAGTTTATTCAGCTAAAGCGATTACCATTGTAACGTTGCTTCCCGACGATTTAACGACAAACTTACCTGCCAGTAGGTACATCACACCGGTAACGAGAACCGCCGATATCTGATGCCTGCACAGTCCAAAAAATCCAATGAGAACAGCGGTGCCCAGAATGATCAGGCAAACTAGAGAACACGAGATACTCAAATTCTGCATCCCTGCAAAGAAAAATGAATTTCCAGCTGTGGTATAACATTTTTTCTACCCTTTCCGACTCTTAATCTTTTGGAATATAAAATAACATGAAGCTAAAAAGGAGAAATCTATCTTTGAATGCTTCTTTTCAGGAGGATCATTAAGCTTCAAAGACACTTTAAAGCGCCAGGACGTAACAATAACGGTGGAAATAAAATGAGGAAAGAAAGGAAACATTGACCGTACTCACGGTTTTGCCAGGCGGCACGAATCTCCTCGTGTTCTTCGTCGGGTGTCAAGTAGTTAATGCACCTCTGCTGCGGGAAACGTACCTGACCCAGTAGTCGTATTTCCTCCTCTAAAACGGTAGAAATAAAGAGAAAAAAAAAAGGGGAAGTGTAAAGTTTAACGCCGCGAAACGAGACTGAACTTTCACGTTTTATTCCCCCATTTCTACGACTCGATTTCTCAATTAAACGATCCCTGGCATTTCCTTCTTTTCTACTATGAAATTTCGATGAAAAGTTTGCAATGTTCAGCCTTCGCATTTATAGCGAGGAGGAATGTCGTGCTGGAGTTGGAATTTTATTCTTTCTTTTCGTTTTAATTCTCCTCGACTGGAGGTTCATTCTTATGAAAATTTCCTCGCAAATGGAATGAGCCTTTATCTCCTCCGAGTGGGTGCAACATCGAATTCGCATTTAGAAATATGGCAACAACACGTCGATATATTCTCGGTGATTTAATTAAAATTGAACCAACAAACATCCGCTTCTATAATTTCAATTTTCAGCCCGATAGAAACGTTCGTCAATGTTGAATCAATTTTTATCGTCCGCTTAAGGATTTCGTTTACAAATGGATTTACCTACACGTTATCGATTAATCGGCTACGCCTAACGAGTAGTCGGATTAAGATGGACCACGAGCACGGAATAGTTGGAGCGTGAGATTCGATATCAGATTCCGAATGCTATCGTTGGAGAGGACGAACTTGAACGTGGATTTCCGTGAAATGTCAGGAAGACGAGGAGTAAGGCCGTCGAGGTCGTGGAAACTTTGAGAATTGAGTAATAATAAATCCTGAAGCAGAAATAGATCGACCCTCGAGTTCACCGGGTCTAGGTTGCCCGTCTTCAAGCTTACACACGTGCTAGAAACTCGCACATCGATCCAGGATAATTAAAGAGTATGTTTTCTTATTTTTAATGAGCCTCGACTACTCAAGCGTTCGATCATCGCACGTTAACAGGAAAATGAATTCATGAAGATCAGATTGATAAAAGAATAATGTACAAATTTTTCTTCTAATTCTAGGAGCTACCAACTTGCCTTTGTCTCGAGATCCAAAGCGAATCCGATTACCATTCATTATCAAACGCATGAAATTTTAATACCTAACAAGCTATGCTCATCTACACGCTACAAATGAAGTCGAGTAATCTCCATCTCTATCAGAACAGTACAATCGAGCGACTTAATTCACGTGAAAACAGGGAAACAAGATGTTAAAGAAAATTACACGTTCGCTCAGGATAACTAACGTTGCTCCAGGATTTATGAGCACAGTTTTCGACTGATTTTCATGAAGAGATCGCGTTGCTTCAAGGAACCTATACACGCTTTGTTCCAGACAGAACGGTTCGTGCCTGGCGTGACCAGGAACAATCAAAGGAACCTTCCTAAAAAAACGCTGAACGAACAAATCATGCAGTCATGCTCGTAGAAGGTCAAGTTTGTCTGTTCAAAAAAACACTGATAATTGAGCGACGATGGTGCATCATAAATTTCGAACGTGTTAAATTAAAACGTTTAGCGGTAAAACGGTAAAACGATTCAATTTCTACAGAAAACACTCATCTTTCCTCGATGAAACAGGAAAATTGAACGTTCCGAAGGTACGATCGATCATGATTGCGCGCCCACTCGTATCGTCAGGAATGGAGTTGTCCGTAAACGAGGAAAAGTTAAAGTTTCGGAGTTCTGATGTAGGGAGTTTTTTCAATTAAACGTTCGACGACAACGACGTTGATGAAAGGTCGAGCAACAACTTGGAACGGTTTCATTTTTCTCCTGTTTTGTCTCGCGGAGAATGTCCACTGAATTTTCTGCTCCTCTGTGTGAACGTTAACGAATCGTATCGCGAAATAATTGCACTGCTCGTTACCGAGTGCAGAGATAGAAATTAATAATAAAGAGTTATTAGATGTAGAGGACCAATTATCTCCTTTGTTAAAGGAAAAAATGCTCTAAAATTATTCGCTGGAATTTGTTAAATTAATATGTTCATCAATCATTCTGATGATCTATATTCCACTGTAGGATTGCAAATCTTCTAATGAAAGATCAATTGATCTACCATACAATTGGTCGTTTTTATATCGTTTATCCAGTTGATTTTATCGCATCTTAAAATGCTCATTTCTTTTCAGATATGGGAATCAATAGGAATGTTTGCCGCGAGCAATAATTCGCTCGGTACAAAGAGGCACAATGGTCATTTTTCGAACGGAGTTTAATTGAAGTTTGATAGCGGAGAAAAAGTAGTTTGATCGGAAGTACGAGCAAACTGTAATTACGAGGGGTAGATAATGTTTTTCTGTTCGACTGGCTGTCGGCGTCACACCCTTTCGTACTTTTCCACGATTGACTTTTTCCGGGACGCTTTGCCCGTTTTTCCCCCCGGGAAAAACGACCCAATTTCTCTGCTGTTTTCTTGAGATTTCATAAAGCTACCACAGGCATTTGGTAGAATCCGAGGGAACGTCGTAACATAGGTGAAGGGATCTAAGATTTGTCAATTGTTATCGTCGAAAAGGACCATGAGTTATTGGAAAGGAACAAATGTACTGATCGATTCGAGGAAGGTCTACGATTTCTCTGCTCTTTCCTCTAAGCCGAAGAAAATGATTGGCATGAAGTTTCAACGAAGAAACATCCAAGATGTTCACGGTCACGACACGGTTACTCAGATAGCACGATATTTCAGATCCTAATCGACTGGTCGATAGACTGGTCAGAGTCAAGGTGATGGTCTCCATGCATAGAAAATGTTCATACAGAAACGCGTCATTGGAGGCGATTAGGTGAAAAGGTGTGTACACACAGCTGTATCATTGAAAATACACATGGGCACGAAATCGATTTTCCATACGAGTCTAGAAAGGAAATTCTCCACTGTCCAATAAAATAACTTTGACTTCTCTTATTAGGAGAAACGTTTGGCTTTCAGAAAGAACGCTTAGATTTTATTAAATCTGGAGATACACCGAGGTAATCCTAATTTATCTATTTCATATTATTAATCAGAATTCCCTGATGATCGTCATGAATGAATTTAATATTTCATAGCTTACCCGTAAGGGAGACGCACATGATCCAAATACCGCCGTACATCGGGACGAGAAATGTGGGTCGTCTGCCAGAATGATGGTTCCTATGACCGGAAGCCGGCTCCAGCAACGCGACTTGTCCGTCCAAGTACCATGTGAGAGTAACGTTCGCATGGCTGAGAGCCTCTTTGTCCCATCCGACTTCTTCCCAATGGTCCGACATTATCGCGCCGCATAACAATCCAGTTGCTGAAACAAAAGCAGAGAATTGTTAGCAGACGAGTCGGAATTCTGTATCGCGTTTCGTTGACTGAAAGTTAGACACTTCCTTTCTGACCAAGTGGCCTCGTTATTTTAAGTCTGGAGAAGTCGGTGATCTCGAAGACCCTCCGGCGATATGCATAATAATGGAACAGTGCCATGAATAGAGTTACGTAGTGTACTTATCAAGCTTTACATTAAACTCTTGAAACTTTCGATCTTCGTCGATTTTCTTTCAAGGAATGTCTTTCATATCTCTTCTTAGACGTTGTTACAACAGTCCTTAAATTCTTCATTGAGTAAGATTAATAGTTGCCATTTTAAAAAATGATTATAGGGGTAGAAGGTTTATCTTCTATAAAGTTGGAAAGCAAAATTAAGATTACCGAGTTAATTAGTTGTCGGATGATCATGAGGTAATCTTTCAAGAAAAAAGAATCCAGTGTCTCTGAGTTGTCTCAGAGTTTACTCGTCGCAAAAAGAGTACAGCTGTCGCGTTCTTGCGACGTGCTGATCTCATTACGAAAGACTGGAAAGAACGATTCCACAACGCTGGTCGGGATCGATGCTAATAAGCGAGAATTTCCGCGTTTAATACTCGCCACGAGCCGCACGACGAGGGGCTTCTTCCTTGCTTTTCCTCCGCGTCACAGCTGCACCGCAGAGAAAATTTTATTGCATAAGAAATCTGTTAGCCGATGCTGTTGAGGACCCTCTAGCATAATAAGAGCACTTCTCTCGAGTGACCATATCCTCCTTGGCTAAAGAAAAAAAGTGTGCACGGTGCAATGAATTCAACCGGTGGTTGCTGACCCTGTCGCGAGAACTTCCTCTAGAAAAGATACTAAATAAACGAGACTCTGTTACCAATAGACAATGATTGATGTACTTCGTTTCTTAACCCGTTCGAGGTTTTGATGTGATTGTATGATCTTCAAAAGGAAACATTTTTGTCTAGTTATTGTAACAGGTAGATAACTCACTTCTTTTTTATTTTACTTTGGAAGTAATATTAATTTCAATTTTTACACGCTCATTTCAGATTTGCACAGTGTTATCTCTGAGAAAGGTTGTGGATTCCATGATACAATTTGTCCTTGATCAATTGAAAATTAATTAAAACACCTGGGAAAGTATGAAGAAGAAACGAAAAAGCTTGCATAGATTAGTTCCTCAGATTACTCTGTTTACCTCAACTAAGTGATTTAAAAACGTCTTACGAAGACTGTTAATGGGAAGAATAAATTCAGGCATGATCGAGCAGAAGAAATCCACGATAACTGTTCAGAGAACAAAATTGAGTGAGTTACGAAAGCATGATTATCCACGTGTTCCTCTTCAAACAGTCGAGATTCGCTTAATTAGAAAATCAAATACAGAACCATTCGTCTTAACATTCATAAGCACACCATCAATTATCAGTTAACACGATAAAACGACAAAAATTCACGTGATCGTTGGAAGAATTCGATCAATCACAATTTCGAAGAACGATCAAACGTATCGAAAGCATCTCGTGCCATACATGCCAGAAGTTCAACACAAATGTATCTCCAATAATCCTGGTATTCGAATCATCCTTCAAAATGGCACAGAAACGCGATCCTGCGGATCAGCTGATCGCATACCAAGGTGTTTAATACTTGAATACAGATGGGGATAAACGATACAGCTTGAGACCACGAAGCAAATGACTAAAAGGAAACGCTTTTTCACTTGTTTATTACGTAATGTTTAACGTACGGATGTTGATGGAAGCCGGTTGAACGAATCTAAACAAAAACAGAACGCTAGGAATGGGATGATGATAGGTAAAAGCAGATTTTCAAAGATGAGAAATTGAAATTGAAGAGTTATTACCTGCGAAAGTGAGAGCTAGCGTGGCAACGAGAAAAATCAGACGTGGACCAGGGGCCCTGGGTACACGGGTAGGCTCCATCCATGCAGGTAGTGCCCAGGGCGACCGCTGGCAGCCCACTGAAAGCCCGAACAACCGCACCGACACTCGCTAGTTACGCACTGACCAATCGTCACCCCCTGAGCCCCTGTGTTTTCGGCGACCCTCCACCACGTCGAGAGGGCAACCGACCAGCACGCCCTCTCCGTTCTGCGTCGAAGCGCACGAAAATCGACCGACGTACCACCCAACCGACTACCCCACCCGGATGCTGCGGACAACCCATTTTCTGATCCTCTACAATTTCCATTCGCTTCATCATCTTCTTCTCTTCTAGCTCTTCCACGCGTCTCTTCCTTGGCCTGTCCTCCTAATTTCTCATCTATCCAAACAGAGGATGTTTGTTGTTTGATCTGTGGTTCTTACTCTGAGCAAGAGTAGATGATCTATAGGGTAATTTGCTTGGTGATACTTGGACACTTCATCTATGGAAAGATTCAGGAGATGATTAAATGAACTACTTTAGTACCTTGAACGTATCAAGGGTAGTTGGTGTATAATTAAAATCATTGATGTCTTCATTTTTGATTTTAGGATTCTGGAAAATTCCTTTATGTTATTTTTCTATTGTCCATGGAAGCTTCTACGATTGTTCCAGTAATTACATATGTTAAAATTAGTTGAACACTGTAATAGAGAGATTTTAGAGATTCTCCACTGTGCAGACTGTAATTAGAAGTAAAATTACTGTGGTGTGAACTATAAACTGCGCCGCGAGTGTGACTGGATATTATAAGGGGTTAAGATGGCATTAAGGGTGTCTTATGTTTGCACACTGCTTACGCAATGTACTTAAGATGTTGTTTACCCAGCAGAGCATAATTTTATTTACCTTCGTTCTCTAGAAAAATAATTTTCTGAAATATCACTTTCACTGCTCAATAGCAGAATAGATGATAAATATCTTCTGAAATCTGAATCTCTTCCAGGTCATTAATCATCAAAGCCAAAGTTACAAGCGTTTCAAACTCTATCTCTCAAAGAAAATCGATTAAGACGTAAGAAACTTAGTCGAGGTACTCGACTTGTTAGCGGTAGCTCGTTTGCAAGAGAATCAGGAAACGACGATTGTGTCTTAACGAGGTGCTTCGGCAGTCTGCGCACCGACTCGGTGGCTCGAAGGCCATTCGGGTGCCCACCCTCTTCCCCAGAATCTGTTTAACGGTTGTTAAATTCGTAACACACTCGAAGGTCCTCGGTTCATTAATATTAACTAACGTATTCCACTGCCAAGGAAGAAATTATGCACGATCCTCGTGGAAGGCCCAACACGTATCATGCGTGGGTGGATTGCTCTGTACACGTCTTGATTGCATCGTGACAATCGAGTAACCATAGTGGGTGGACACACGATCAAAGAGTTCATTTTTCTCTGGCAAGGTGGAATTAAAAGGACCATCGGACCATTAATTAATTTGTGAAAGATGTATCGTTGTTGAAGAAATTCTTAGGAATTAATTGGCAATTTTCCTTGAAACTTTTGGTGTAATTGGTCTGAGATTGATTGATGTAACTGAACAGTCTGTTTTCTTGTTACAGATGGCTGACTACGTGGAGAGTGCAGCGTTCACCGATCCAACGACCGCGATATCCCACGGGAAACGGCACCTGTTAGTACGTGATTACACCATGGCCGTGACCGCGTTGGCGCAAGCTTGTCAGATGCTCGTCGAGAAACACGGGGACACTGCGGACGAGCTGGGCGAGCCTTATCTTCTCTACGGTCGTGCTCTCCTCGGTCTGGCCAGGGAAGAGGCTGGAGTGTTGGGCGGTGGTGTACCGGGCACCGAGGAATCCGTAGAAGCCGACGAGGAGGACGAAGAGGAAGGCGAAGATGAGAAGCTGAGCAACGTGGACGAGAAAGAGGACGAGGAGAGCGAAGAGCGTGCTAGCGACAATGGCACCAGCAAAGAGGAAGTCGACGGGAAAGAGGACTCGAAAACAGCTGAGAAAGCAGTGAAATCAGACACAGAAAAGAAGGAAGAAAAAGTAGAATCGAGTAGCGATAAGAAAGAAGAAAAGGTAGAATCAAGTAACAAGGAAAAAGAAAAGAAAGTAGAATCGAGTAGCAAGGAAAAAGAAGAAAAAGTAGAATCAAGTAGCGATAAGAAAGAAAAAAAAGTAGAATCGAGTAGCGAGAAGAAAGAAGAAAAGATAGAGTCGACTAGCGAGAAGAAAGAAGATAAAGTAGAACCGAGTAGCGAAAAGAAAGAAGGAAAACTGGATTCTAATAAAACTGAAGACAAGAAAAGCGAGCAGGTAGCGCAGAAGAAAGGCGAGGAAGCTAAAGCGGGCTCTAGCAAAGACCCGAATCACGTCAATGGACCTTCTTGTTCCACCGAACAGAATGGAGATATAAAAGAAAATGGAGAGGAGGCTGGTGAGGATATTGGAAAGGAGGATGAAGATGACGAGGTCAATAATTTACAGGTACGCTGAGCAATATAAGCATTCCTATAATTTACAAATAAAATATCTAACATTTGCTTTTATGTTAAAGGTGGCTTGGGAAGTGCTGGAGCTAGCAAAGCTGATTTTAATGAATCGCAGACAGCCTGGCTGGAAGCTACTAGCGGACGCTTATCGACTTCTAGGAGAGGTAGCCATGGAAGGTGGTAATTTTCAAGGCGCCCTGAACGATTTGCATCGATGCTTGGAACTGCTGCAACAAATTGAACCTCGCGAACCAAGAGCGATAGCAGAGATCCATTATCAACTGGCGTTGGCTCATTCTTTGGGCAACGAGTTCGACGCAAGCATCGAGGAGTTCCACAAAGCAACGGAATTGTTGGAGTCTCGTATAAAAGAGCTGGAGGAGATGAAGGAACCACCTAAAACGGACGATTCTTTCTACACCGTCGAAGGAGAGATACAAGAATTGAAAGAGCTTTTACCAGAGATCCAAGAGAAGATTTCAGACATGAAAGATTTCAAGCAAGAAGCTTGCAAGCTTGTTATAGAAGGCATTAAGAGCAAAGTGGCCGGTGGCTGTTCAAATGGTGCTGGACCGAGTGGCAGCAGCGATTCTACATCAAAAATTCAGAAACCCGCCAGTGATATATCGCATTTAGTGCGTAAGAAGCGAAAAGCCGAAGAACCAGAGACAGAGATTGCGTCTCCGTGCAAAAAACCAACGCCAGAGAAGACTGTTTGAACGGTTCTACCTAGTTCGGTGCACTTCAGACATTCTTGATACCTTGTTGCTTCGTTTTACGCGATAAAAATTGAACGAAAAAGAAAGAGAAACTCTATCGCAATGTGAAACTTTTAACGTTGGACCAAGATTATAGAGTAACGATCACCGATTCCAGCTAGGACGTCACAAATTGTGAAAATTTCAACACAACGTGGAACATGCTTTAATTTTAGAACCCGAACCGAGCACACTCGTTTGATTCTCTTATTTTATTTCATGATTAGGATTCGTGTAGTAAGTGCCTACATATTTTATTTTAGTTCTATTCGTTTAGCCTGTACGTTTCATTTATTTATTATGTATCTAATTAGCATTGACGAAGTTGCTGTTTACCATTTAAAATTATAATCATTTACGAAATCTTCTTTTCTAGAACATAATGAAACATTAGGGAATAAGGCTGTTTATGTATAAGTCTGATTAATAAACGTTAAATGATGATTTTTTTTTTAAGTGTGTCATACATTGCACAGGTACAGAAGAGTCTATTACCGTCGAATAGCACTATGTACTTAAAATCTGCAATCACACTTCTGGACGGATTAGTAATTTATTGCATACAGTGAGAGGCAAAAATAAATAGACACTGTTCAAAATAGAATACCTCCGTTAAAATTGGACTAAATAATTTGAGGTTTTCTGAGAAGCTATAAAAATTAATTCACTAAAATATGTATTTCATCGTTTTAAAAAATTACAATTTGTTGAAATTTGCAGCATACACATAACTTATCTGAATCTACGAAAGACATATTTTAAATTTTCATTATAGACTCAGATAAAAAAAGTTGAAAAATTACCATTCACTATTTTCTTTCACAAATTGAATTTTTTTAAAACGATGAAAATACATATTTTAGCTAATTAATTTTTATAGCTTCTCAAAAAACCTCAAGTTATTTAATCCAATTTTAACCGAGGTATTCCATTTTGAACAGTGTCTACTTATTTTTGCCTCTCCCTGTATGTACTTTGCTTGCTACTTATTCATTCACCTAAAAGTTCCTCTATATCATCTTCCTTCTCAGAGCTTTCTTCTCTTTGTATTTTCATTTTGTAACCCAGTGCTTCCAACACGCTTACATTATAATAATACGTTAAATTAATCCCAGGTACTAAACGCTTCAACTCCTCTATACTAGCACGTGCTTTATCCGTGTCACCGATATCGATGTAATGTTGGGTGATGGTTGCAAACAAGTCACCACGGCGTACTGATTGCTCCAAATCAGGTCCTTGAGAGTCTAGCAATTGACGCACCTGTTGCATTGCTGCACCTGTTTCGCCCCTATCGAACAACCTGCGACAGTACCACTTTATTAGTATTTATATTTTCTAATGGTATTTTATATAAAATAGTAAAAACATTAACATACTTCTTGATATCTAGGTAACGTTTAATTACAGTTACTCTGTTGTTCACCAAATCAACAGCTCTTTTATGAATATCAGGATCCCTCGGTGTGACTACCTTGGCAAGACACCTGCTGGCTTGATTCAAAGCATCCAGAGCTTTATCATAGTTCTGAAACTCGTCGATCTCCACTTGCGCGCAAGCAACATAAAAGTTTGCCAACAGATCCATCGCTTTTCCCTTGGAATAGAAATTAATAATATTCTTCAATACCTCCGGTTGATTTTGCCAATCCAACGACTGCAGGTAATTCCCAGCCATTATATAAATCTCTCTTTGCCTCGAGACTTGTGCGAAGAAGCAGATCTTCTCGGTATCACCAGATTTCAATAAAGCCTTCATGGCTCTCAATTTGTTTCCAGCTTGAGTGAACTTCTTGGTAGCTAAATGATAATTACCTTGCTCGAAAGCAATTTCTCCTATCCTCTGTAATATAGAGATTCGAACTTTCTCGCGTTCTACATCATTGTCTACTTTGTCCAGGGTCATCTTCTCTGCTAAATCTTCGCTTAAGAGAATGTTGTGCTGTTGGATCAGTTCCAAAGCTTCCATGTACTTCCTTCCTGTAGCCAGCAAGTCAACGGCTTTCTCAATCTGATCGTTTTCAACAAAGTAACTGGCGCATTTCTCTATCAATGCTGGGTCGGAATCTGCGTTAACGTCCATGATAATAAGCTGCAAGGCACTGTATTGTTTAGTCCTGAAAGCAATATCCAAAGCCTTGTGCAAAAGGCCAGCTTTATGGTACAATAAAACAGCCTTATCTGGTTGATCATTCTCTTCATAGTATTTCGCAACATCTATTTGCGTCTGCCTTGGTGCAAGCACAGCCAGGGGCCATAATTCTTCAAACATGTCGTGCTCCTTACACAAACGAATCGCGTTCGTGTAAGCTTTGGCTATCGTGTAAAAGTGAATGGCGTGTGCTACATTATTTTTTGATTCATAGTACGCAGCCAAGTGGTACGCCGAGGCAGCGTGATTTGTTCGTAACACTAAGTCACTGGCTTCATCTTCTCTGCCAAAATAACAGAGTAGTCTTGTCATTGCTAGAGTGTTTTTGGCTTGTTCGTACAGTCGTAACGCTCCCTCCATGTCTCCTGTAGATTCTATATACTGTGCATGCCAATTTTTAATTTCTGGATCATCAGAATTATTAAGATACGCTAGGAGTTCTCTTGGTCTCACGAGCAACATCCTTGGGACTTCGAATCTATGACATTCCGCTTTTGTGTACATCTCTATTGCCTCTGCTATTTTCCCTTCCTTCTCAAGAGATTTCGCATAATTGTAACAGCTCGTCTTTTCGCGAATTTTGTTCTCGTTTCTAGCCAACTCTATGGCTTCCTTAAACTTATCTCGAGCTTCCAGAAGCTTGCCCAATAGATCCAGCCTTTCCGCTTCGCGAAAAAGGTGTTCAGCATCGTTATATAATCCCAGCTCAACAGCTAATATTCCCACCTTGGCTTCCAGATTTAAACTATCATCTTGCATAGCTTCTCTAAGCGCCCTCGCAGCCTTAGCTTGTTTCATATGCCCCAAACACAAAAGAGCCATGTTCAACTGCTTTGTCTTCACGCACATTCTAGCCAAACTCTTCCAAATACCTTCGTTTTTTATGGACTTTATCGCCTTGAAAGCTTCATCCATATTAGCAACACTGATATGGAAGCTGAAGTCTAGTACAGCTTTCTTTGTAACAGCATCACATGTACCCAGTTCCTCAAAATCTCTCATGAGCACTTTCCTTACCTTGCTACTGCTTTCTGCAGTTTTTTCTGAGTTTAGAATAATGATATGCGGAGTCTGAACACCCAGTACTCTACAGTTTTCATCTGCAACTGGTTTTATGTCCTGTATGACAATCCCATGATCTGATGTGGCGAATATTGACACCAAGACTACAGTAGCCTTTGAAACGTCATAGTCGTTTCCATTTGTCTGTTTTGTTGAGTATTTAGAATCTCGACTATCCAATCTTTGAGCACGACATACTAGTAGTCTAGGATCATCCACGTCCCAATAATGAGTAGTTACCAATCTTCCTCTACATTTAACAGCTAGACTGTTATCGTCTTCATCGATATCATTAGATTCTGCAAAATCGAATTCGTGTATCTGATCGCTTTCTATATCCCAAACGTACAGAATTGAACTAGGCATCAAGTTAGTCATAGCAACTGTAATGGACACTAAACGACAGTCCATGTTACACCTTGCCTCGATGATTTCAGCAAAGTCATTGATCGCTTCGTAAGTTGCCATTGCTCTGGTATGCAACTTAGCTTCTCTTTTACTCAAGTCCCAGATTTTTAAGATACCGTTTAAAGATGCAACTGTTAGGTATTGTCCGGTGAGGTCCATCGTAATCGGTTCGCCTTCTTCTGGTAAGGTAGGTAACGTCTGAAGAACTGTACCTTCCATCGATCGTAATTGTATAACTAGAGGAGTCAGAACGATCAAAGTGTGGTCGTACATTAAGAGTTTCTCTGTGTCGCAATGGAAACTTGTGACTAGGGTAGTATTCACAGAACTATCTCTGTGCATTCTGTAAATCACCATTTGCCTACCCGAGGAAACAGCAATGTACTCTTTGTTAATAGCGACCAGTTGTACTTGAATATCAGTTTTCAAAGTGTAAGAAACGTCATCGATTTCTATTAAGATCTGAGTGGGAGTGAGTTGACTGGCACAAACGCCATCATTGTATGCAGCACACATTGGTTGTTGGTGTAAGATGAAAACATTCGTGATGCAATTAACTGCAAGCAATTGATTCCTCAATAAAGTAGCACCCCATGTAAGCTGTTTCACTGTTCCATGAATGGTACAAGATTCTGGTACACTTAGCCAACCATTTTCGTCATAGTCCACTTCAATTTTTCGTTTCCATAGATAGATTGTTCCCAGATTTGTACCAGCAGCCAAAGTACCTGAAAAACTTGAATAATGTATTTACTTATACACTTATGGTGTAAGTAAAATACCAATAGTACCATTGCTTTTACAGAAAGATATGCTAGTACAAATCTCCTGTGGTGTAGCAATATTTCCAGGAGATAAATCTGGCGGAGACAGCACGTAAGTGTCGCCAGTATGAAGATCCCAACAACGAACACCTAATTCTCCTGTTAGAATTGCTAGAGTATTTCCACCAGCCCAGCAAAGTGCTGGACCAGTTCGTGATACATCGGATCTACCGCTAAATTTCACCTAGAAATAAAAATTGATATAAAATTTGAAATGAAAATAAATAATTACAAATTAATTACTTTTGTTAATTCAACGAGTCGTCCAGTAATGGGGTCTGCCTGAAAATGTCCTATATTCAAACCATCTGTCATAATGATAATAGAATCCCTAGTTTGATGGTGCAACAGGAACTGTAATGCAGCACCATTTGTGTTAAGAACTTCTGTACACTGGCCCTGGTTATCGACAAAGTATATCACGCCGCTGGTGGTCCCAACATAAAATGCATAATTATCTTTTTGAGTTGCAACTGCTGTTGGTGCAGCTGTTCTAGGGCGCCAAGAGCTAAATATATCTAATGCTCTTTCATCTCCTGCAACTGCAGCTTTTGCTAAACCACTGTAAATAATTAATACTTCTTAATCCTTTCTAACAACAGGAAAGTGAAAACCATAAATGTTATACCTTATATCAAACACTGGTTTTGGTGGAATTGTTTTAAATACTATTTCTGCAAAAGAATCCTTTAGCTCATGGTGAAACATCATCAGCAATTGACCTCTGGAGTCAATTTTCCAGCCAACTATAGAACCAGTTATATCTGCAGATACTAATCTTCCTCCATGCTGACTCCATTGCAGAATTGTAATAGGATCACGATGGGGTGTGACTATCAAATTGAATTCGACGCTACCAGTATCACCTGGCCATACCTAAACATATATTCTCTCATCCACTGTTTGAAAGTTTAATGAAATTTTCAAAATTATTTACCTTCAATTCTCCGCTTTCCCATCCTGCTGAAAGCCACCGTCTTTCTGGATGCCAACCAAGAGCTGTCACCTGTGATACCGAATGTCTAGGTGATTCCACATCCTGTAAGGGCTCTCCTTGATCATCGTAGACAGTAACAAAGCCACCTTTATCTTGAGAGTATGCAGCAACAGCTAACAAGGGATAATTGGCATGCCAAATCGCATGAGTACTTATAGATGCTGTTTCCGGATTTTGTACACGCTTATCAAAGTACAGCGACATTATTTTTCAATTGTTGTACTTTTACTGTCAGTGTCGGAACTGTCATACGAGTTGATTTCGGTACGTTTTGTAAAAAGTACGTGTTCTTCTTTTAAGTTTGTTAATAGGAACTGTTCTTTTATATCGTTATAAAATACTGTATGTACATGGAAACTAGGAACCCATTGAGAAATTTATTATATTTACATATTGAAAATCCAAACCTTCTCATCTGACATTTGTGAGCTTGGTTGACATAAATGTTGCCATGGCAATTTCAGCTTTAGCGCCATCTTTTAGTCGAATATATCCGTACAGCGGGAAAATTAAAATATTGCTACTATTTCCATGCTATTTATTATGAAGAAGCATGATATACAATTATGATGTGTTATAAGCTACTTTACTGTTCTATAGACTCCAGTCGAACATTCTTCATATGAAGTATTTGATTTTCTAGGGCAGCTATTCTCTACAATTTTCAATACTTTGAATTAGAAAGTAAAACTTTACATTTAAAATAACATTTCTGATGTATAGTACCCTGAGATACTCCTGGGTCTGACATTCTGCTTTAGCCTCTGTTTCTGCTAGAAGCGTTCTATACTGTTCTTCTAGCAAGCCAACAACTTTGTCCATTTCACTTTGCTTTTTTCTATTCAAATACGTACATAACTCATTTTTCTGTTCTTGTAATCGTAGTTGTAAGGTTTTTATTTCTATATCCTTGTTCTGTGACAAAGCGTATCAAGTAATATAATGTTATAGATTAAGTGTGAACAGGATTACCTTGATTATGTTCGACATTTTCTTCTCATAATCGTACTCCAATCTCTCTTTCGACTTTTCAAGCTTCATAACAGCTTTCTTCAAAGCAGAAACTTTAGACATTAAGTGTTCATTTTGCTTTTGACTTTCGTGATCTATTTCAATTCTCATTTTGCTGAATTCTTCTTTCATTGTTGTATATTGCTCAATTAACATTGCCTGCAATTTATCCCCCTAAAAAAAAGTACAATACTATTCAGTAATGTAGATGTAAATAAATTTTAATATTTGCAATTCGTAACAAAATACATCTTTAATCTTGGTTTCCAATTTTGCTTCTAAATCAGAAATTTTATCGCTCAACGTTTCAATTTCTTCTTTTCTTCCCGCATCTTTCTTTAACAGTTCAGCGTCTTTCTTTTCAAGTAAATCTTGTTTCTGTTGCAGCTCTTTATCCTTTTCTCTTGTTAGCGCATCAAATCGTTCGCATATCAGATTAATTTTGTCCATCCACTGTTTCTCCATCTCTTTAATTCCTATATCCTTCAAAATAACTTGTGTACTTCTTGCTTTAAAAATAAAACTTTCACCTCTTACCTTACCATGGATGATTTCTTCTAACTTTTCACTTATCATAATTATGCTGTTATTCAGTGTCTCGTTCTTCATTCGCTCATCCTCTAATTGATGCTTTAATTTAGTAAACTGTTCTACAACTGAATAATGATACTCTTGTATAGTTTCTTTGTAACTTTCCTCTAAATAATTTTTTATTTTCTGCACCTCTGGCAACCTTTAACAATTTATAATTAATTTAAACGTATTAACTCTTTCCATTAGTATTTAGTGATATACTAACTTAGCTTTTAAAGCAATTACATCAGCAGTTAATCGACTGACACTTGCGGATAAATAATTATCCGCATTTCCATTATGATTCCCCCGATATTCTACCAACTGATTTTTTAAATATTCATTCTGTGCCTGTAGTTCTGTAATAACGGTATTAGATATGCATTTATACGTTGCTCATAGATTCTTTTGGTTTATTCTGATTAGTACTACAATTTCATACTCCTCATATCCATCATATGGTGTTTTATCAATGCATTACTTCGTTGATGTTGAACACATTTTGCACTTGGCCTTAAACAATTACGATGAGATTTCATGGCACAATCTGATAGATCACTTACCGATGAACTAATACAGACCTGTATCACATATTGATTATTTCTTTTCTGTTAGGGCAAAATTTAAAAATCCTAATATAAGTACCGTATGATGGGGCTTAGGTAATGGTAGAAGAAGTCCATTACACGGAGGCCTACTGAAAATTCCTTTTATGTGACCTGTTTTCAGCTGCCTGTACAATTCCAAAAGATATTCGTTTCTCAAACGACGCTGCGAGGAAGCAGCGTTTAATTTATTAAGCCAAACCTTGCATAACTGTGCACTTTCTGCAGACGACAATTCTAATACATAAGGCCTGACACGTGCTAATGTTTCCTTATAACATTCGTCCAGTATTACATCAGTCTTGTTCATTATATTCTTCAATTTTTTACATGATCTCTACATTTGTCAGTATTATTTCATTAGCCTGGCTATAGATACCATTTGAAACATGTAACTTAAGAAAAAGGCATTTTTTAAGATATTGATGCCTTTTAACAACTTGTTGCTTTTGTTTTTCACTAAATAACGAATATCACGAGATAGCCATGGATCACATAAAAGGTGAAAAAAACACGAAACCTTTGTTTTACTCGATAAATAATTTGCTTAATATTTTAGAAGAGATTTATGTCATATAAAATAAAATCGTAAGTTGTGTGCTTGTTACATATATTTTATACAAAAACATTTATTTACTACTATCACTTTGATATAAGCTTTATCTACGTTCAATCCTTTACTATTTCTCTTGCATTATTACATCGATAAGTATATTTTAAAAACAATTATTGGTTCAGAAATTTAGTAATAAAAAAGATTCCAGGAAATATATTGCGTATCGCATAAAATCTTTTTATACGGTTGGTTAATATATAGTTTTCATTAAATGTTTTCAGAGATTTCTAAAAGAAGTACAACCAGTATTTTCACATGCTATGGCTATAGTAAACGCAGATAGTTAGAAGCATATGCCATTAAGCACAATAGCCAAGAAATGTCTATCGAGCTTGATTACGTTACAAGAATCCTTTCATAGCCAAATATCACAGTACAGCTCATAAAATGACAAAACTCCGTGACAAAATCATTGTCACGAGCTTGTTCACTCCTAAGCCATGTATTAAAATAATCGTTCCATCTTTTATAAAATTATATTCCATGCATACAGCACAGTATCACTTTTTCAAATCTATTTTTACTCTCCTACGCTATTTATAAAATAAAATTGTACAATTTACTAAATCTTTTCGTACTTTGTTCATCAGCGTATCGCCGCCTGTATCGGAAGTTGGTCATTGAGATCTAAAGCAGTAAATTCTGCAACATTTTCACGAAAGCATTAAATTCGACTATTTAATTTGATTTGATTTTCCGTAGTTTGCTTTAACTCTACGAGTTTTCCTTTCATGGGCTGAATATTTGTACCTATCCATTCATCGATCGTTGACGAAAAGAAAATACTTTCCATTTGAAATCTTAGGTATCCTTCTAAAGAAGATAATTCTAATAGCAATCTGAAAAAATCATGTCCATCATTATGAAATCTTCTGGTGCAGATTGCTATAGAAATAAATCAGCTTACTCTGTAAAAGCAGGTACTAAGTTTTCTAACTGCATAGGATTCGTGTAATTATTTGCAACTTGCCAAGGATTCATCCATGTAGATATTCTGTAATATTATTATGACAGAAAAAGATAAGAATCGAAACTTCTTTTCCAAGATTAATTTAAATTATACTTACTGTTCACTAGTAGTGATATTATGATATTTAACTCTAAAATTTAAAAACCATTCTATGCCTACTGCAACCTGCCATCCAGGAAACAGTAAGTTACTGGGTATTGGCGCGGGTCTTGGTTGTGGTGTTATATGCAAAGGATGATCAATGTATCCTAAACTCTTAGCCACTTGATTGTGAATTTGTTCAGAATACCCATGAAGCCAAACTTTCAAGCATAACGCTAATGATGGTATTGCTGTCGGTAATAATTCACACAATGTTGCATAATGGTCATACCTAAAATACAGAATTATTAGAACTATTTCTTGTTCAACACAAACTTCGAATAAATTACCGGGACCATCCGGTAAAAGCTGTTCCCCGAAATTCATGAACTTTGTTCACGTGTACACCCAATTCCTCTAGCCACTTTTCATGATTACTTATATGGTGCCTTGTAACTGGTACATGTTGAGAGGATCCAGTAGCGCCTTTAAATGCAGTAGCTGCCCAAATATGGGGAAATACTGCAGCATATTTGTCCCATAATCCTGAAAAATAATTTTAATATCATGTATTACAACAATTAAATATCAGTATTTAAAACAATAAAAAATGTAAATTTTACCGGGAGGGAGAGCAAAATTATCTCTAGGATTGTAATGCCAAATCATAGGCTCTACATATTTTCCGATGTAATGATCTGAAAATTAGACAAAATATTTTTATGAAATTCTATGTGATACAGAGTAACAAAAATAAGTTATCAAGGTACCATTCAAAACCTGTAAATCTATAGATCTTAACATATCATCCCATATGACGATCTTTAAGTAGGGATATGTTTCTTGTACATATTGTGCAATGGCCAAAACATGTTCCAGGAACAAAGATGGTTTTCCATATTTGCTAGAGGCAGCGCGTTTTGTACAAATTGAGCAAAGGCCTAAATGCCAGACTTCATCTGCACCTATGTGCAGATATTGTATGTCTGGGTGAAAACTAACTATTTGTCGAATCAAAGACTTTACCAAAGGTAATGTCCTTGGATTAGATGGGCAAATTGAGCTTGGAAAATTTTCTACCTCTCTCAAGGATCTCCATTCATCGTGTTTCAAAACAAACTGAAAATATTTACACATTAGTCAAAATTATAATAACGTGTAACTCTTGAATGATTCTCTCTTACCTCCATGTGGCCAAAGGTTTGCACTAAAGGAACAACTGCTAAGCCACAGTCTCCTGCAATCTGTAAAATGTGCTTAGCCTCTTGAGCTGTATATCCAATAGTTAAACTGTTTAATCCATTGCTCCCTATCTGAGATAGTTCTCGATTGTATGGGAATGTATCTTCCCATTCTAGGAGAAGCCCGGTGGCACCCCATGTCCTCAAAAGTGGAAACAACTAAAATGACAATTGCATATTGTTAAAGATTATTTAACATTACAAAAATAGATAACACATATACATTAAATCATCTTTAAGAAATATCATGTACAGTTATAGCTATATATATGTATAATTTACGTATATATGAACATCATGCCGTATTACGCACACAAGTTCGTTCTATACGTCAGAAATTGAAGATAGCTTTTGTAACTGAAAGGACATCGATCAAATAAAAAAACCACATGTTAATGACATTTGAGAAGCGTCATGGTAATTATGATTCGACGGCACTGCTGTCAGATAAGAGATATGGTGTGTAAACAATGCGGTTGTTTATTCGGATAACAAACCTTTTCGAAATAACAGACTCGCGGTGGAGCACCCTTGAGATCTAAGTGAACTAGCCTACAAAAAAAAGAACATTACTCTATGACACGACAGTTACTCAATCGTAAAATATTTAGAAATTTATGTCAACCCATCGGCCGTTTACCTGTGCGAGCCAAACGTCAAGGCGTCCATCTTTCCTCCATTACTACAACGTTAATTAAAGAGCATAATATATCAGAATACTATTAATATTTTCTGTTATACAGATAACGGCATTTATTTTTTTGTTCTCCATTATTTTACATTTATATTCATTCGTCAACCTACAATTTTATGCCATATTTTGATTAAAACGCGCGGACCATGATTCAAATTTGAACGCTTAAGTAAAATATTCTTCTCGATTCTTATACAATTTTATGAAAGACATACGGTAAAATATATTTCTAAAAACGAACTTCGAAATATCCTTATCCTGTACGCATCCATTCTTAAGTTTGCATTGTATAAGATAAGGAGTTATCGATATAAATGCTGATAATGAAATAGCTGCATAGCTGTGTACGCAAAACATAAAAGAAGTAGGTTAAATTAAAAACCGTTCATCGACGAAATATAACTTTATTTCTGTATACGTTCAGCCTTATATAAAACATTACAACTGCACGCGTAATATGAACTTCCAAATGTATAGGTATTATTGGTCGTGTCCAAATGTGTAGGTATTACAGGTGCAGTCGGTTGTTGTAATGCGTACGATTGATGAATACGTCGGACGACAAAGTTATTTTATTTTTCTCATATCTTTTTTCGTACATTATTTTGTACGTCGTTAAACAAGATTATCTTCCCTTGTTTTGCGAATATAATTACACACACAAGTCTCTCTTAATAGTCTTAATATTTCGACAATGTATTGTACATTTTCGTCGTGTACGCATAACATACCAAACGAATCATTCGAATGGTACACCGATTAGATGTATGTTATAATCTTCTTTCAGGTGTCATTTAATTATCCGTAAGATTAGTACACGAGTCTAGTGTTTCATGGAAACATTACGCAAGGTTTCAACGCACATAGTATAGAAAATAATAACTTACGATAACGATAGGCACAGAATTGAAAACTATGAATGCAATGAATACTTGGCACTTTTCGTACGATTTATTTTACGGAAAGTGAACGTAGAATTATCGGATCTTATATCAGAGGAATATACGTTTCTTTTTTCGGTTGCTTTTCACATCTTTTACAATCTATATCATTGCGTTTGTACAGCAAGGTAAAACGATCAATTAGAAAAGAAAATATGTTAAACAGTGATTTTTATTATTCACAGTCACGCGAAATAATTCGCCTTGTTTGGATAATATTATCCTCATTCTTTTTCTTTTTTGCTATATGTTATCTCGTTTGTACAAGACTGATTCACCAAAGAATGGCTGACACGATGACCTTGAAAGTAAATTAATATTTCTTCTTACCTTAATCTTTATATAAGAGAAAGCTTATTAACTGGAACATAATTTTGATATATAATTAATGAAAGATATTAGTCGCGTGAACCACTCTTGGTGTCTCATGTATACAAGTGTCAGGGCAGGAATATAACAACAGTCAGCGATATACAAAAATGCGATCGGTCATTTTAAAAAAATTGAGCTAATCTTAAAACTACGCTTATGTTACTTTAGGACACGAACAGGGGAAATCGATCGCCGTGTACGCCAGCCTAGATTTCATCGAACGTAGAAAAAAAAACAAAAAAAAAAAAACAGAACAGTGGAAAAGAGAACTGAAATAGAGCAACGAACGCGATCGTTATTTTATTTTCGAAGGTTGACAATTAAAAGTTTCGTAACAACACGACAAACAGCTATGCTAACAGAGCGACATCCGGTCGATCTTGACTATTTTTTTAACAATTATTAATTTCTAGCTTCTCTCTTTTTGATCGCACGATCAAAGCGTAATAGTATAGTTGTTCGTTAAATTCTCTCTTCTAATTTTCAAAAGTAACTCCATCCGTGCCACTTTTTAACGATTATCGTTACAAATAGGAATTTCAAATCTTTTTTTTCTTTTTTTTTTGAGGCCTTTGTTTCTTTGTTTTCTTTCCTGTCGCATAGATCATATACGTCCAACCGATAAATGAATTTGCGTATTACATGATTTTCCTTACTTTTTCTTTCTTTTTTTTTTTTCTTAAAGATACTAAAGAAAACTTAAGTCTACCGCCCATGATACGTCGTGATAAATAAATTAATTATACAATCTAAAGTTTACACCTTGGTATTTCGACCGTACTCCAAAATTTGTTTATGATAAAAAAGAAGATACCTGAAAAGGAAACGTTTTTTCACTGGTTCCTTCGTAATGGTACTAACTGCACTGTGGCAAGTGCCGCGAACTCACCCTTCGCTAGTCAAGACATCTTTTAATCTTGCTCTCGTGATCAAATGGTCGTCACATTTAAACCACTGATCTCTTTGCTGCCGTATGAAGGCAGTGTAGTGTCCAGTCTCCAAAGAACCTTCATGATTTATCACCGCAAACAGAGAATACCTATTATCGCTGAATGCCATTTCTTCTCCATTCTTTGACAGCCCGTCCATCATTGCGCTATTGTTGTTACCGTTTCGCCTATGTGACATAAAAGGTGTCATGTCTAATTGTTCTGGAAACGAGATGAACGTAGAGATCTTCTTGTCCTGAATGCTAGAGTGTTCGAATCGTTTTAAATGAAAACTGGCCACAATTGGTAGCTGCTTCATCGTCAATTGTTTGGTACTCTCTTGGTAGGTCTGACAATTGCTACACTTTATTTTCGCGCTAGATCCCAAATGCTCGGCGCGCGTGAACCTTTCCAAACAATCTAATAATGAGGTAGGAGGACCAGAGCTATCGGAACCAGACGCACTAGCTGCTGGGCCAAGATCCAAGGATATATCCCAGAACGGATCTATCGTCGTGGACACTCCGCTAAAAAAATAATTATATTAATATAGATACTTTTCGGTTACGATACAGTGTATTGTGCATTTGTGTCGTACTTGCACGCCTGACAAACCACGTCGCTTTGTAGACCACCGGTAAAGATCTGATCGATGATACAATTACAATGATGTGGATTATCTTTTACTAAAATTGGCGCTGCCTCGCAGTGTCTATGCAAAACGTCAAGTGTAGCTATAAAGAATTCATGAGCATCCTGCTGTTCGTAACCTGCTAAATGTCTCGCGTGCGTCCAGATCAAATGAAGAAGCTTGTGTAGCGTCAACGGTGCTTTGCTACCGGAGTAAAATTCCTGAAAAAGGTGGGACACTTCACAGACCAGGCATCGAGTCGGTTGTGGGCAGTGATGACGGTCAGCAAGGAAATAATCTCTTAACAACGGTGTGTGGATCAGTGCCTGGACAATGCAGTTCATGAAACATGTACTTCCAAGATTTATGAGTCCTCTTAAACCTACAAAACATTATACGACAATTAGTATACATTTAACGTTTACTTGGCTCGAATGAACTCATATGATTCTTACCTATGGTAGAATTTTCTATAACGCGTCTTCTGCGCGGATGTTTCCTCAACAAATCTGCCTCTATTTGTGTGGGCTCCCATGCTCGATAAAATTCTCCAAAGCTCAATGATTTTGCAGATTCGCTCCACTGTGATTTGGCAACTGCCAATAATTCTCTATCGTATACGTAATCACCACATTGGAAGCACAAAATATTTCCATAAGACAGGTCAACAGCTGTAACAATCAATCGTATAATTTATAAGAAATAAACTGTTTAAACAGGCAATGTCAGTTTCTACACATAATTACCTAAAAAATGCTTTTTTGTCTTCGCATGTTCTTGTATATGACCCTTTACATAGCAGCCAAAGAATATACAGTGAAGACAAGAGTGAAGACGATCTTTGTATGTTTTACAAGTATGACACAAACAGCTGACAGCCTAAAAAGTACACAAGTTATTCATTTCTTGTATTGTATGAAACAAATATTGTTGTATTATGAAGTCAAGTATCATACAGATCAGATGAAAGCATTATTTCAGAAAAAATTTTGGAATATTTATGGAGTATTTTTTCATGCAAGGGTATGTTTAATGAAATACAATTGCATTGTATTGTAGAGTGCTGCAAATATTCATCAGACGAACGGTACCAGCAGAATCATAAATCTGCAATACCGTTACTTTACAGGAGCAACAAATCTGGCAAAACTGTGTACCGGCAGAGTAATCGTACAAAGCGGCCATTTTTAAATCCATCCAGGGAAGTACCAATTCAGAGCTAACAAATAAATTGCATCAAAATCGACATTTTTCTTTTATTGTATCTCTCAATTATCGCGACTAATTGATACATTTATTTTGTATTTATCTTTATTCAAGAAATCATTTTGAAACGACTGTTGTTTTCGAATCGAAACATCTCGTAAGGAATAACGAAGAAAAAAAAAATATATACTGATCGAATTGAGCAACCTCCTCCTTTTTCGAAGTCGGTTAAAAAAGAAAAATATTAGGAGAAAAGAATGAAGAAGGAATTTCGAGTAAATTTTGCTTTTACGAATTTTCCAAAATGTTTTGCTAAGTATACATCAAAGTGTTTAATGTTCCCAAATAACGTAGCCAAAGATTGTCGAAGTTAACCGTTATATTTGAACAGAAAAATAAATTTCTCAGCTAAACGTCGCAGTAAACGATGAGAAGCATCGATGGATCTCTTAAACCTACAAACACGAATGGACCACGAGAAAAGAGATAACACATTCCTGTTTTTAAAGTCCTGTAAACAATACGTGCGTGTTTGAAGATCGGGTTATCATTCTAACATTTGCATACCCTGCGACTCAAGATTGCGAGTGACACTAGAAATGACAAAGAAAGAGAATGATCTTGCAACTTCCTATACTGCTAAGGTCTTCGATACCGCAACAATTTCTCACTCTTTTTTTTCTTTTAATTGATCATTTTATCGTACGTCTAACGAATACGATACGTAGTAAGGCTAGCAGAGTGCGAAATGAAAAATAATAAACGATGAAACGGTAAAAACATCCGAGTAAAGGCGAAAGTGAGAGAAAGAGACAAAGACAGAACCTTGGCCATGGATCACGCAAGAAAAAGATAGTCGCACCTTTCTTACGCGTGCCTCGGTCGACGTGCTGGTCACGAAATAGGAGTGTATCACTTTGTACGGCTGGATACCCTTGGCTGCTTTGAAATTATTCAAGTGTATGCAGCCATGGTCGCTCATCTCAGGCTGGCACGACCGACGCTGCCGTGTCTCCTTCTCCTCAGCCTGGCAAAAGCCGTGGACGAACTTTGATGCTCGCCGGCCTTCCTCGAAGCTAACCACCAAAACGATGACCACGACGAACAGAAATCTGACCACCGACGCGACGCAGACAACGACGGGCCGTCGACGACGGGCACGATTACGTGGATCAGTCGCTTGACGACGACGACGGCGGCAGCAGCGACGACGACGATGACGGAGGCTGCTCTGTGCGGGGCGTAGCACGCTGGCCTTGGCAGGAGCGCGCGTGTCGTTGACATGGAAAACCGCGTGAGCCTTGGAAAAAAAGAGCGCAAGGGTTGCCCGTACAGTGTCGTAGCCGGTCGATCGCTGTCACTCCGCACCGATCTATCCCCGATGGGTGGAAAGAGACGGACAAATGGAAGAGGAGAGATAGACGAACAGAGATAGAGGCGCGCGCGACTGACCGACGAGACAGACGCTATTTCTTTATACCCACGATATAGGGGTAGCCCGCAAATCCTCTCGAAGTCGATCTTTTCAAGGGAAAGCACCGTTTCGGATCTTACGACTTCTCGTGTCCACGTTTTTCGATACCCGGGTGCTTACAGACACCAGCCGGTCACTGCAGGCGCTGCCGGTACGAGGCAGCCCCTCTGTGTCCCCACCACTAACGGTAGAACGTTCTCAGGAATGACTCTTGGAAGGGTGCTTAGGGTTCCTTTCCTTTTGTTTCAGTTTCTACCACCAGGAACTAAAATCATCTCGGAAATAAAACATTTAACTTTAGAATTTGGCAGTATTAACGAAATTGGAAGAGATTTCGTAATGTTGTTCTCGTCTGGGAAAAGATTTCTGATTGACAGAGCGCACGTGGTTTCAGATCCTGGAATCGGAATCGATTATGTATTGATGCAAACAATGTCTACCAATAACAAGGTTTGTACTTTACGTATTTATTTATGATTGGCTATAGAAGCTCTTTTTCTCAAATTTCATAATGAGAGATTGTTTAGAGAGAGATTCAGGGATGAGAGATGCAAGTATGTAACAGATGCAGGAATGTAAAGAATGCTGGGACGTAAGGAAAACAAGAGATGTAAGGGATGGGCGGTGTGTAAGGGATGCAGGGATGTAAGGAGTGCAGAAATGTAAGGGATGCAGGGATTGATACATTGAAGAACTAAAATAATAGAAGAATTTAAGTCAATTAAATAAATAACTGAGAAAATAAATTACGGGCATTAAATAAATAACTCAGAAATGAAATTGGGTGAATTAAATAATAACTCATTGTCAGTTGTTTTTTTGAAATGACTTATTTACCAAGGTGCACGAGGTGAATATAAGTTTGTCAAACAATTATAATGATAAATTGTTCAATCTTGTGCTGCTTTTGATTGATTTCTAAAAAAAAAAATAGAGAACAAAGAAATATCGATTGAAACGATTTGATTTGAAAAAGAATGCTTTTTATCGACTTTCAAAACGGCGGTCGTAAATTAAATTTTTTAAAATTCGATCCTAGCGCCATCTATACAGAAACGGCTGAAACTACTCGACAAGTTATCGATCGATTTTCCGAAACAAGGGAACACTAGCGCCAACTATCGGAGAACAGCGGAAACTATTGTAAGTCGGTAAGTAGCTTCTGTTGGTCGAGTAGTTTCAACCGTTTTTGTATAGATGGCGCTGGGATCGAATTTTAAAAAATTCAATTTATCGCGGTCTTTTTAAAATACAAGTTTGTCAAACAATTATTTTAATAATTTTTCAGTTTTGTGCTGATTTGAAAAGAAAATAGAATCAGAGGGAATGAAAATTGGTTCTTTTCAGAAAATAATCGGTACTGAACTCTTCGGAATATACCGCGCATGCCAAACAATTCCGCTTGACAACCACTGATCCAAATAACGTCAACGTGCTGTCAATACTGACAGCTACTAAGACGGCCTATCAGATTATCGAACTCTATTCATTTTCCTCTTTTTATTCACAGGGTTCAAGCAATTCAACGAATGCATTAGAAGAGAAGATCGAATTTCCATTACAGAAAGTAAGTAGCATGTTTCTAACATGTACTTTGCTCGATTTTGCCTATCAGAAGTATTTTACATATAGTACAATTTTACATCTGTTAATGTAAAGAAACGTGTTTCAAACAATATACTTTACATTTACAATTCTCTTCTATTCTATCGCAACAACATATCTAATTATTAATTAACTGCAACAGTTACTTGGTTGAAACACATCTCAACAGGCTACTACTTTTTCTCAGACAGTAACTTTAAAAGAAAAGTCTCCCTTATACATTGGACGTGGAGACGAGCTTTTTTTAGAACGTCGCATGTGAACGACCGACAAAGTGAAAAGACTGGCTTGAATAAAGTACGAGCTGAATTAAGCGAGAATGACCGATACCACGAGATTATGCCAGCCTCATCAGATCCGGAAGAAGATGAAGAAGCCTTTCCAGTAAAGAGAATTCTTCAAGTAGATTCGATTCATACGTGTATTTTGAAAAAAATAATTAAAAATCTATGATTAGAAACTATGACCAATTATAAAATTTAAATTTTTACGTACTAAGCAGAAATGATAAATTACTAAAGTTATAATATAGATAATTTTGCTATGTAGAACACAGTACTACTTTACAAAGGGACATGAACATCTGGGAAAAGCGAGAAACGTTTTCGAGGAGCGATCGCCGTTCGGTTATCCCCCTTGCTCTCTCATGTTCTCATATTTTCAATATTGGAAAGCGCAGAAACGTTCCGCGAATTTGGCACGAAGGAGTGGAGTTTATCAAGATAAAGAAGGACATGAACTTTTGCGAACACTTCGTGTGAGCAGTCTGAATCTATTGTTGTTCAAAAGCCAACAAGAATTTACACACTAAATAGCTGTATGATTTTCACTAAGGTCGACGTGGATATTGAAGCTTTTGAGGCGAAGAAGCACAAAGATTTACACGAAGGAATAGCCATCACTGACGTGGATCCAGAATTCTTTAAAGAATTGGCTGGCAGAGTTGTGAAAGAAAAGTTCTCAGTGAACGAATACGTGAACGATATCCGCAACATTTTCAAGGCTCGACTATTAGCGGGACAGGAAATGGATGATTGCATCCTCATCGACCAGCAGTTCGTCGAGGAACAGAGAATATTAAACAAAATCAAGGTCTTATCCTATTTCCTTTGGCTCGGTACCAACATTTAACAACCTCTCCACTAACTATATTAATCAAATTTCCCTATTAGAAACGTTATCGTCAATACGTCAGCGCCTTCGAGGACTTCCTGTCGAAGGATCACGAGCAAAGCATGAAGATCCTCGAGGAGGCCGAAAATGAGAGCAAAAAGACAAAAGAGATCACTCTGAGAAGAAATCAGCTCTCCAAGGAATTCGGTCAGGTCAGACTTGACGTGTATTACTGGGAGGAGAACTGGAGAATGGTGAAGATGTGCCAAAGATTTTTGTACCAAGTGTCACCAGACTCTTGGCGCGCGGAGCACGATTGGATCTATCGTACAGAATCCGCAGAGACCATTGATACAGTTCATACTGACGTTATATTCGGTCGTTATCGAATGCTGGAGAAAGTTCCATCCATCGACGTCTTGATAAGTAATGTATCTCCCTTCTTCTTTGAAATCTTGAAAGACAAATTTTGTATTACTATATTATTATATCGTTCAGGCAATTAATTTTTTATCTTACCCTATATATTGTTAGAAAAGAATGATATTCTCAGAGAGGAAATTTAGGGCAACAGAGCAATCTTTGTGAGACTCCTCTCTGCCCATTCCTGATCTATAGAGTGTGAATAGAGATGAGCAGAAGTTTGTAGAGTAGTTGAAGGATTTTAGGTGTGAATGAGGAGTGGTTAGAATCGAACAGAAGGCTCGAATGTCTGCGAGAGGGAAGAATACTTACAGCTGCGAGATTTTCTAGAGCGTATCTCCGTATAAAATCAAGTCAATATACAATTGTTAACTTACTTTAAGCCTTTCAAAGGGAATCATTGATTTTCAGATTTGTTCGAGGAGGATATTAGATACGCAGGTCCAGCCGAGCTGTACTTCGAGGATCCACAGGACCTGATCCGGGTATTTAGATCAATAGAGATGCAAAATTTGAACGCGTTGATTCATCTGGAATCTCTGGCAGAACCACTGACGGAGATGATATTGACAATCCACACTGCGGAAGCTAAGATCAAGTCAGAAGTCGAGGAGCTGACCAACGCCATCGACGAGCTGAAAGCAAGTACTCTTATCAGTAAAAATGATTAAAATATAGAAACAGAAGAAGAATATTGATTCTCTTTTTGTGTTAATCAAAAGAAGGATAAAAGAATAAGTAAAGAACGAAAGCAAATGAAGAAAGCTCATGTTCGTTGAAGGATTCCATTGATAAGCTGGAGACGAGGGCGGTGGATTTGGAGCAGTACGCGAACAAGCTATTGGACAACATGTTTCGCGAGGCTGTTTGTTCCGAGGAGGTGCTCCGTCTTCAAGTGTTCATCGAGGATGCTTACGAGTCTTGTGTCGGCCCGAATGACGCTGATTTGGACACTTTCGCGATGATGAAGTGGATCGAGAAGACCCACGAGGAGCTAAATCTGACGCTGGACTCTCTGCCGCCGGAAGTGGTACAGACTTATGAGAAGGAAGGCTTCAAGCAAGAGCTCAAGGCACTGAAGGAAACTGAGAGCGCTGCTAGAAAGGCGAGAGACAGAAATTACTATTCAAAGTTTCACAGAATTTTACTTTACCAAATAATGCTCACCGTGTTTTTCTGTTTCACAGTTCGAGCTTATGCACAGATTGTTAGCCTCTTTGAAGCGTGCAATGGAACCTCCTCCGATAAAAAGACGACCTTTAATGTGGCGTTCGATACCGACCAGTCAAAGGATTAAAGAAACTTCACGTCGACTGGAGCCTACCGAAGAAGAAGTTCAGTATCTTACCTTCTTCACCAAGTATTGCAAGGCGGAAGACTTCGTCGCCTATCGTTCTCAATTTCCTGACGACTTCGACCTCACTTTCCAACCTCGACGTCGCGAGACCATCCTTGAAGACGACGAGGAAAGCTCCGAGAACGAGGACAAGGAGGACAAGGAGGACAACGAGAATCCTGACAGCTGATCGATCCATCTTTTCGTAATAATTTAATAATAGAACATTGTGTTGAAGTCTGCTAACGTTGTACCTTATACATGGGCGAGTCTCTCATTTTATATTCATTTATTTCCATATTTATCCAGATGTATTTTATCCTGGTAAAAGAAAATGTATTATTTATTAAGAACTTTTTCTATTACACTAATAACTAGTTATATTACCAGTTAGGGGAGTGGAAAATTTTTGGAATTAGTAATATAAGGAGAGTAGAAATTACTGTAGAAATTACAGTGGTACCTAGGTATACGACCTTACTTACTTGAGATAATTATTTAAAAATGATGCAAATTCACACAAAAAATTTATGTCGAGCAAAATTTGTCACGTCCAAATAGGACGTATTCCAAAGCAGACGTATACCAAGGTACCACTGTACTTAGAATGGTACCTTAAAATTCTCTAATTTAAGACATAAATTTCTCAATAAAATCGATGAGACTTGCATAACCACAAGTGCAGAGACGTAATCGATTCGCAGCTATAGAAGATCGAATCGTTCCAAGATCGTTCCGCTACTCGTCAATTATTCAGTCTACCATATTCCATGATTTCAATATTACTTTCACAGACGGGCCGTTCTGAATAATTCATCAAGCTTTCAGGATCGAAAATCTTCGTCGTCCAATTAAGTAATTGAATTAATCAAATCTGCACGCTCGAACGGTCGATAGGAAACTTCCGTGTTTCTTGCGATTCTTCTTTTTATTTCACAAATTGAAATTGCTCGCGCGGCGTGGAAATGATGCACCCGTTGCAGTTTTTTAACGCCGGCTCCATGTGTTTCTTGTTTACGAGCGAAACCGCAGACGCGTGCTAACGCGAATTATGGCGTTTCAAGTTTTAATGGAGCGAGCGTTCCTCGAAGCACAGACGTCTATTCGGTGGGTTAAAAATGAAAATTTCACGAGTCCCCTTCACGGGAACGGGTTCCTTTATCTCGCCCTGGATTTCTCTGAAATTTCTTTCCTTCCTTCCTTTCATTTCCATCTCAAGCTCCTCAGCATTTAAAATTGCAAACTTCCAAGATCAATTTCATATCGGTATTTCTGAAACAAAAAGTTGAAACTTGAAAATTTACACCACTTTCATCTGTCGCGAATGGTTTATTCTGCTCGGCTGAATTACCGCGAGACCAGAGAAACGAAATTAAGAGAGCACCGTAGGTTCTCGCGATTCCTGGCAAACTCGATTCGAGAGGGAGCAGCTTCATCACGAAATTCCTACGCGACAAGAGAAAAAGAGAAACCACCAGCCTCCATAACTCGAGATTACTTTCGCGAAAAAAGCTTGCTGCGAAGAATGCTCATAGGTTCCTTCTTTGCATTCTCCTATCCCAAAGGACACTAGCTGGAGTCTAGCAAGAACAAGAGGATCCCCGTTGCCGGATGGGAAGACAGAGAGAAGACGCGTGTACGAGCCGGGAAAAACAATCTGAAAAAAGAGGGAAAGAGTTTAAAGGAGGGAAAGTAATTTCAGGAGTGATGCAGTGAAAAAAAAAAAAAAAAAAGTAGGACAGAAACGAGAAAATGCACGTCAAGAATTATATGGCGAATCGTTCATCTCGGAGGGAATAATTTCCATGAACAGGGACAAACAAATTGGCATTGCTATTAATTTATGAACCGAATTAACGCTTAATAAACGCGGTTATTAATTTACCACGGCCGACCTGATTCTCTGCAATTACCAGATTTCATTAGCGAATTAATGATTATTTTGATTCGCTTATCTCTTTGATAATTTATAAATGACGTTAATTATTTCAAGTTTCATAGTAACATATTTTAACAGTTTGTAACAATGATATCCAACTATCCAATCCTCCATTCCTTTGCTCTACAAGTGAAATCGATGGCAGACACGTGCTACTCGACTGACTCCAGCCACCCTCTCACCTTTACCCTTCCATTTCTGGTTATTTCGTGTCGAGACGATAGACCCTGAAGAATTCTCACTTACTTACGCGTTTCAACCCTGATTCTGACCCTCGATTCCACTCTATCTGTTAATAAAAATGTTGAGCAGTTAATATTATGAAATAAGATCCTTATTGACTATCAAATAATATTTCCTTTGAACCAAGATAATAATTGTCATAAAGATACAATAGGCGTTCGTTAATTCCCTGGTAGGAATGGCTACATAGCTAGACAGATGAATGCATAATTGTTTCACAGAAACAAACGAGTAGCCAACGAATAGCACTGTGATAATTTCTCGTTTCTTAAAAAGATCAGCCAGCGAAGGTTCGTATTACAGGGAATAATCGAGCGGTTATTGTAGTTTGCATGGTCCTAGAAGAATGGCAAAGGTCGGATTTTACGTACCTTCGGCAGACCTATCGTGATTATCCCCATGGCAACGAGGATTTGCTCGATAGCGCAGTGGCTAGGGTGCTCTTCAACCAGCGCCAACCACCCCTTCTTTCTCTCCCCTGTTTATCGTCTGTCTGTTTTCAACCCTCGGCTACCTTCTCTCCTTTCGAACCGCGTACTTTGCCCTTTATCACGTTCCTCTGCTCCTCCTCTGCTATATTATTCACCATTCAACTGTCCATGAACTGTTCGCGAAAAGAGAGCCTCTTTTGTCTCGTCCAACACTCATCTTCGCGTTCGAAACCGACTTCCCTGCATCGGATCACGCCTCCTAATATTTATCCTTGTTTTCTTCGTGTCTGCTGGTTCTTCTAAGGGAAAGTCGAAAGGGTTTAGTCATAAAAAAACTGTGCCGTTATAGGACATCAACTGTTCAAGGTGTGTATGCAGAAAGTGACGAAGTGGAATTTCAAGATTTTATGAAAGAGAGTTGGATTCTGAGAATATTAATAAGGTATTTGACAAAAATTATATTGTTATAATATAGAAATTACCGAGGAAGCGAAATTACTAGGTGGCCACCTAGGGCCCCCATAAGACGATTTTGCATCTAAGAACTTTTTACTTGAATATTAATCGATGTAAATGGAAATCTAAATTAGTTATACAAGCTTTAATGTTAATTTTATAAATTTTATTTCAGGTACTTTTTTTATGTCAAATATGTGAAGGGGCCCTTTTTCTCAGAGCCGGTCCTGAGGGAGCTGTAATTCCACCCTTTTTTCAAAATACTAATCCTTCCTTAATTAGATAACGTAACTACCTTTTACATTTTCAAAAGAAGAAACAAAAAGCTTCTTTATGTCACACTCTCCTCCTCCTGCAAACTCCTCTTTCTTTCATACCTCTACGCCACGTGAACGCGTCCTCTTTGATTTTCGCGGGGAAAGCTAAAAAAAAAGAACAGAACAGAAAACGTAAATCTGCTGTTAATCCAGCAGCAGCCGGACAATTTCAACAATGGATCTCCGTAGTCCTGGTGAACTACTTTATTCGTTATTCAGCCGTCCGTGAACTCGGAATAAAAGAGCTCTTTGTCTCGAGTGCTACTCGTCCACGCGTTTCAAATACGAAACCGTCTCTGCTGTATGCTCTCCTACACGAGGCGATATTGTTTATAGTACCTAGTTGAATATTATGACGATTGAAAAATAGTTAATGAAATTATTAACTAAATAACAGGTTTCTATAAATGTTTTCCAAAAATTAAACCATATAAGACGAGGAAACTTACAGCTATTTCTTGGTGAAATTCAATTCGTAAATAAAGTAATCGTCGGAAAGTCGTGTAATTGATCTTTCAAACTTTCTCACGAGCTGCACTTGGAAAACCGAGCTGATCTTGTAAAGACAAGAATAATTAGCTGTTCTTTCTTGATTGATCTATCTTGTGCATAGAATGCTTGAAAATAAAAAGAAATAAAGTATAATAAATTGAATTCTGTTAAAAGCAATTATTCCTTATTCGAACGATTGAAAGATCTTAAAAAATTAATCAAAAAAATCATTAATTTATACTAAGAATTCTATTTTGTTTGTTAGCAAACAAACAAAGTTAAATTGGATGCTGTTAATCTGTTCAATTTTAGGTCGCCGACTTCGCCAGTGAAACTAATGCCATCTTGTCCCCCTCGTGGCTACACATTCGGGTTAATTAGGTTCATTAAAGTGGACGAGCAGCGGCAACACGAGCTCTTAGCGTCTTTGTTCGTACTTATAAACGTCTTCGATAAGAAACCAAGAAAAATTGTAATTGCGTTCGACTTATTTGCTTCAGCCGAAAGAAAAATAAAAGCGTAGTCATTTGAAAAAATTCACTCGATTGAATCCAAACTTTATTCAAAGTCTTTTGATCTAAAATTAAAATATGAAACTTTTATTTCTGTTCCTTTGGCAATTTCAATCGTATCGAGTTCTCACTTGGTACCATTTCCGGTAAAGGAAAGAGCCTTTGAACAGGCGCCAGGCGAGTGGGCGTTCATGATATCGGAAGAGAGATTAATTTCATAAAATCCTACGCTACCTTATACGTGCGTATGTGCAATCTTGTTCGGCTGGGGAACCGCGTCGCCTTTTCTATCCACGTTTCTATACAAGGAGCGAACTATAACCCGAGGCGCCCACGAATCGGCGCCCACGTCGATTTTCAGCACTTTTGATACCGGATGTCTTTTCATCTTTCCTGTGTTCCCTGTTACCATCATTTGTAGATCAATCGTATCATTTAAATCTATAACAATATGAAAACTGTCAATCTGTATCTCTTTAAACCCTTTCACACCGGACGGGACATATGCTGTCCCAGTCTGGAAAATTTGATGTACCATCAATAAAGCTTGTAAGATCATTGATGTTGTTGATGGTGCGTCGTAATGCGTTTCTAAGATCTTCAAACTTACAAGCAGAAAAATTATTTAATCTTGATAATAATCACCTGGAGGAGAAGTAACTGTTCCCGGTAATGGGGCGCACTCGAACTGATTTTTTCGCCGTATTGAAAGGGTTAAACCCTTTTCGATTTGATCCCGAGTGTACACACATGGTTGTCTCTCCTTCGTTTAACACTTTCAGACGGCACTGTACGCACATGTGCATCTAAATATATTCGCATACGAAGCACGTGCTGCACCGCCTACAAGCAACACTACGTATTCTCCACGATGATCCGAGGAAAGCCCTCTCGTGTCTCGAGAACACTCGCGGCAAAGTTTTCTCGGGAAAAAATCTCTGTTGAAAAATAATTTATCTTTGTTTCCGTGCGCTCGTTTTAGTCGCGTTCGGATTAACAGAGCGAAAAAGCATCGTTGCCACGAGGAAACTTTGCGTTACGTTAATAAAGCGAACGGTGCGAACATGTTTTTGAAAATTATTTAATGTACCGTCGTTTAGTCTGTCTGGGCTTATTTGCAAGCTCAGTGTACTCGTCTCTCGAGTATTTTCAATGCAAAGAGACCACTCTGATCACTCTCTTCCGGCAATTATGTTTACCACTTCTTCTTCCCCGGCATGATAATAACAAGGCGAATGTTTCAATTGAAAATAGGGTAATGTATACACTTATTGACCCCTGAACAATGATTTTTTTTCTAAGTTGATAATGAGTGGAACTCAATCAGAGAAAGTATTTTTCAGTTAGCCTTTTAAGGATTTAATTTATAAAAGATGAAATAATAGAAATTTTTGAAAAAATTATTAAAAGCGAAAGAAAAAAGAAGTGAGATCGTCCGACCGGATGTAGTTGGGTAAAGAGTAACAAAGGGAAAAGGTTTATTAGAGAAGAAAAATGAACAAGACATTAATGTCGATAAATCAAGTATTACAGAAGCGTGAAGCAAGCGGAAACGGGATTTTAATTTGTAGGTCGATAAGTCCCGAATATTGATCCCTGCACAATGATTAACCCTTTTCCTGAGAAGTAAGTTGGGTAGCGGACCATGGAGAGACACCCAAGACGGCGCGGCGGACCAAGGAGAGAGCCACAGTTTTTTAATTATTATAATAAAATATAATTATCTTCCATGGTCCGAATAGAAATATAGAATTAATTCTACTTATTTAGGAAAAGGATCAATTACCCTATCCTGTAGAAACAATATCCCAACGTTACAGTGATATTATTGAATTCTAAAAGTCTGCGAAATCTTCTTCGATATGCACACTGTACGAAAGTGTCCAATTATTCGTTTATTTCGAGAAGTTCATCAGATGGTATCTAATTTTCGCCGCATCCGTCGTCCAAACGTACATATATTGTTCCCATTGTAACGATACAAACTTTCTATCATTGTTTCCGCGAACGTTCGCAGACTTCCTCTCTAACGAGGCAACGTTTTACAGCTTGTAAACGCGAACGCTTTCCATCCGGACGGATGCTATCGACGTTTCCATACAATCAAACTGAACCTTGATGGAACAGGGTAAATTACGAAGTAACTTTTTTACAAAATCGTTTGTAATTATTACATGCAACTGGGTTACTTTAATTTACAGTTTCCCTTTTTTATTTTCTTCCCGAGTAATTGACTCGACTAATTGAATAAAAAGAAGGCACTTTCTTTCAATTTCCCTTTCTTTCACCTCTTCTTTATTTTCTTCTAATTAATATTACAGCAAACAGATCTTTGCTAGTTGGTTCGTGAATCACCGAGGCAATTAAATAAACTTGTTTCAACCGGGAAAAAAAAAAGAATCTCTATACCTCGTTGAATCGTCATCAAGCATAATGGTGTACTGTTTTCACCAGGAGATAGCCTTGTTTGCTTTACTCTCTATCATGATTCTCAATGCATTTTTTGCCGAGTGCATACAACTTTACAGTGTCACACGTTACAAACGCGACACAATGTTCGAGCATCGGGAGCATCGCGACGTCGACTTCTAACGAGCCTTCCGGTAATTACATGGCACCATGCGAACTTTCTATGGCGGGCTTACAACAACGCTGCACTGTCTAAGCGAATGTGCGCGTTCTATTATCGAACGACTCGATCTTGTGGATTTTTTTAATTATCTTCGCCTGCAATTTGTCCGCAGTCTAAGACAAGTATTATCGAAAAAATTTTTAATAAAAAAAATATTTAATTTCTTAATAGGGTGTAGAAGATAATCACTCCTATTTAGAAATATTTTAATATAATTCTCAAATAGCAAAATATATCGTTGTTCCGTATTAAAAGGGTTAATAAAAAAAAAAATTTAATTTCTTAATAGAGTGTAGAAGATAATCACTCCTATTTAGAAATATTTTAATATAATTCTCGAATATCAAAATGTATCGTTGTTCCGTAATAAAAGGGTTAATAAAAAAAAAATTTAATTTCTTAATAGGGTGTAGAAGAGAATTACCCCTATTTAGAAATATTTTAATATAATTCTCAAATAGCAAAATGTATCGTTGTTCCGTATTAAAAGGGTTAATAAAAAAAACTATATATTTTCTTAATAGGGTGTAGAAGGGAATCACCCCTATTTAGAAATATTCTAATATAATTCTCGAATATCAAAATGTATCGTTGTTTCGTATTGAAAGGGTTAATAAAAAAAATACTTAATTTGTTAATAGGGTGTAGAAGGGAATATCCCTATTTAGAAATATTCTAATATAATTCTCGAATATCAAAATGTATCGTTGTTCGGCACTAAAAGGGTTAATAAAAAAGAAAATATTTAGCTTCTTAATAGAGTGTAAAAGGGTCAACCCTGTTTGAAAATATTTTAATATAATCCTCGAGTACCGAGCGTAGAATTCGTGAAACAAGTTGGACAACTGGTTCTCCATCTGGTAGCTATTCGTGTCGGCCCCATTGAGCCGGATCCTCCTCCAGGATCCTGAAAACAGTGCTCCCTTTGAAGCTGCAATCGCGTCGACGGTGCGTGCACGGCGTAAATGGCCGCATCTGAGTGCCACGTGCCGCGTATCCTATCCAAAGGGAACAATAACCGCGCATCGCGAAACACTCCTTTCCCCTTTTCCTTTTTACCCGTCTCGTTTTTTCCAGCGTGCACGACGCCGACTGATCCGCATGAACAAGTAGCCTGAGAGGAAACGCAACGAACGACCCACCAGCCAATTGTTATTGACCGGACGAAGGTAATTTCAAGGTTCGAGGAGACCGCTTCTTGGCTCGTGCTCGGAACTTGATGAGCTCGAGACTTATCCTCATTCCTGGGCTAATTTCTCAGAGTTTAATTAACGGAATTCCTTCTACCTTTGCTTTTCTATTGAATATGATTTAGCGTTTTCTGGATTTTAGGAAATTTCCGGGCCAAAAAAATTTCTGGGCCTTATAGAAAAAATCGATACCCTTCAATTTCGCGGGCCCTTATTTTGCCTGGGACCCTAGTTCTGGATGTCTTCTGGTAGAATTGAAGAAATAATCATCGGTTAAAA